GGGAGTTAGCACCCTTGATTAGCATATTGCCACATGATGCAGCCATAACAGCAATAACAGCTTTTTGGCTAAAAAATGGTAACAGCAACATCAGCTTTTAAGCTCCCATTGATATTTAACAGTAACTCCGCAGAGGCAGACAATGCCTAAATAGATTACAGAAATCTCAATGGGGTTGTCTGGTGTCCATGCAAAGGGAGGCAGAACTGCATTCAGGTGGTTGTAGAGACATCCGCGGGCCTTGCCACACAGCGGGAAGTTCCTTGCGGCCCTGCCTGCAATAGAACAATACTCTTCACACCTTCCTGTCTTCCACACCCATCACACGGACCCCAGCAGCTGACTCTGGGTGGCTGTCGGGCTGAGCAAGGCCGGACAGTGTCCGCCTGCTCCACACGGGTTCTTGGGTCCTTGGACTTTCTCTGATTCCTCACATTCTGTAGTTTGAACATGACGTGTATAGGCGTTGATTTTTGTCGTGTTTTGAACCAGGGGGGCACTTTTTTGGAATATATATTTATATTTAAGAAGTTTATTACCGTTTCATCTGCTTGGAAGGCATGGCTGCAGGCATGCAGGCTCACAGGAAGGCTGTTGCGTGGTCACCTCACCGAGCCTGCGCCATGTGGGGCTGGGCCAGCGGAAGCTAGGCGCCCCTTCACTGGTGTCACCGTGTGCCATCAACCAGCTGCACGAGCAGGAGGCTGAGTGCAAGCAGAGTGGGTGGGCCTCAGCCCCTCTGGGAGCGAGGCGGGCATCCCTGGGGCGGTGGGAGCTGCAGCCAGCCCTGGCTGGGTCCCTGTTCCCGTTGGTGTGGTGGGTTCAGAGCTGAGTCCTGCTGTGTGCATGGGGTCGGGCGTGCAGTAGGAACTCAAGCGTTCCCACCCGTTTCCCAGTGTCCCTGTTGGCCTGTTCTGATGTGTCTTCTGTTGTTTTGTCTTTGGCTCTGTTCAGGTCAGCAGCTGGACTTCCGTCTTGTTCTTCAAGTCTGAGAGTGATGGAAACAGGAATTTCCTGTTCCTGTTCTCTTGGTGCCCAGCTCCTTGGGAAGCTGTGGCTTCTAGTGCCCCCGGGATGCCACCTGGGCTGCCTGAGTGCTGCAGGCTGTGTTGCTGGCTCTCTCTTAATTCCAGAGCCTTCTGGGGTAGAGATTGGAGCCCAGGTTTCTTGCGGTGCTTCTGCTTGCCCTGCTCTGGCTCAAGTGTCGATGACATTGAGAGAGCTGACATTTGTCTTGGGTAGGGTGATCCCTAAGGCACCTGCGCGCGGAGTAAGGGTGAAGGATGGAGTCACTTAGCAAGCTTCACACCTGCCAGGGACGGAGGGTTATGTAGCGGTGCCAGCAGGGGAGCTTTTGCTTCTGTGCCTTAAATGAGAAGTATTAACACTTATTTGGTGAGTAACAGGGCAGTTGGAGAAACAGCGACACCTGTATGTATGAATGGGAAAAGCAGGTGGTTGACAAACTGTCAAGCAGAGTGAGGATGCGACACTTCGACACTTCGCAGAAACACAAGCCAAGGAGACATCACTGTGGCCGGGGGCTGTGTGGTGCACTCATCATGGGGCTGGCCTCTTGGGCACCGGAGTAGAATCTGCCTTGACAATGAGTGGGTTTTGTCTTTGTGCACTTCCTCTGCAGGTCTGTGGCTCTCCCCCGGGGGTTCCAACGCTGTCTGGGTGTGGCGCTGTAGTTCCCTCTGGTCTCCCATGGTGGCGGGTGAGGTTCAGGGCTGGTGCCAGTACTTGGGCCACTGCTGCTGGTTCAGGAATAGTGACCAGAGCTTCAGCTGTGCTCTAGTGTTGGGTACCGTCAGCTTGTTTTTTTTTTTTTTAAGATTTATTTATTCTTATTACAAAGTCAGATGTACAGAGAGGAGGAGAGACAGAGAGGAAGATCTAGCGTCCGATGATTCACTCCCCAAGTGAGCACAACGGCCGGTACTGTGCTGATCTGAAGCCGGGAACCAGGAACCTCTTCTGGGTCTCCCACACGAGTGCAGAGTCCCAAAGCTTTGGGCTGTCCTCAACTGCCTTCCCAGGCCACAAGCAGGGAGCTGGATGGGAAGTGGAGCTGCCGGGATTAGAACCTGTGTCTATATGGGATCCTGGGGCGTTCAAGACGAGGACTTTAGCCGCTAGGCCACACTGCCAGGCCCAGGAGTAGTTTCTTATGTGTGTGTATTGTTTTATTTTTTTATAATACGTTTATTTTATTTTGGATGATGTTTCTATAGTTGAGAAGGATGCATGGCCATGTGGACCACCAATTAGGGTGGGGAGGATCGAGGAATAGGGAAGCGTGGATGAGACAGCTGCCTCCAATCTCCTTTTCTCCCTGTATCTGGGGAAGAGGAGAGCAGGGGAGAGGACCACTCCCAGCAGCCTAACCACGGCAGCACCCAGGGGTGGGGGACGGCCACTTACGGTCATCCCAGGGTCCCCAGTGTGGAGCCTGTTCTGAGGGCACTGCCCAAGCAGGTTCAGCAGTTCTGAGGTGTTGATTTTGTTATTCCAAGCTTGGGGAAGTCCTCCCAAGGCCCACTGGCTGACACAGTCCACCTTAGGGTCTCTGCTCCCCCAGATACTTGCTGTCAAAACTTCACCGGGAGAGCTGTGCAGTTTGTCCTGCCCTCCGTGGTCCTGGACGTCCTCTGCAGGCCTCGATGAACTGGCTGTCATGTCCCGATGTGCTTCTGGGCGTGCCGTCCACCGCACAGGCTCCAGCACCCGAGCAGGCCCAGTTGTGACCCATGTACCCCACGGTCAGCGCACAGCTCCTATGATTGTCACTGTGGTTGGCATTCTGAGTGTGTTAAAGGGTCCTTTATGTGAAAGCCTGAGTTGCAGAGAGGTTGGGAGTGGACAGAGTGGTCTTCCGTCTACCAGCCCTCTCCAGAAATGGCCAGGGCTGGCCTCGTCTGCAGCTGGGAGCCAGGAGCTGCTTCTGGGTCTCCCAAGTTTTGGGGAGGCACCCACGCACTTGGACCATCCTCCACTGCTCTCCCAGGTGCCTTAGTGCTGGGGTTCCTGTGGCATGCCAAGGTTACAGGCGGTGGCTTAATCCCAGTTTCCTGGAGGAAGATGAGAGGTGCGGCGTGGTCAGCAGGACGGCACAAAAAGTACACGTAGAGACAGATGCTCCCCCGCCAGAGGGTTTCCCTGCTGTGGGAGTGGCGATGCCTCGCCCCGTCAGCACCGGGATGTGCCCAGCACTGCGGCTGTGTTCTCGGAGACCTAGGGAGGCTGGGCACAATGACGGGGAGGGGACACTTCCATCCGCTGACTCACCCTCAGATGCCCAGGCCCTGTCAGAGCCAGTCTCCATGTGGATGGAGCGACCTGCTGTCTTTCAGGTGCGCCCACAGTAAGTTGGATCCGAAGTGCACTAGCTGTGCCTGGAAGCGGCCCACTGGCGGGGTTGTGAACTCACCGGCCCACTCTGCCCCTCAGGCTTCCGGTGTCCCTCCCATGGCGCAGCTGTGGCCGCCAGCTGTGCCCTACCCTGCTCTGCTGTGGGTTGCCCTTTTTGGGGTCCCAGGGAATCCACCCTGCAGATGGTAGTGATGGCGGGACTCAGGTCCCCGGGCATGGTGCTGTGCTGTGCCACCTCTGTGAGCCTGCTAGGCCCGACTTGTCTCCATGCCCAGCACCTGATGCCATCTGGGGAGCTGGGGTACCAAGTCCACAGAACTGCTGTCCCAGCTTTCCCCAGCTTCCGGCCCCTTCTCTGGACTGGGGACTGCACTGTCACCATGGAGACCCCATGTCACCACCTTGGGGCCCAGAGATCTTCCTGAAGCTGCCTGTGGCCTGGCATGTCCCTGGGCTTAGTAGTGCTGCTTTCAACCAGGTAATCCGCAGGTCGTTGTCTGAAGTGGTCCTGGAGGACAGACATGGCGACCAGGTGGGGCGTGACCAGAGCTGGCCCAGAGCACTCTGTTTTTCTCACATTATTCTTTATGTGATACTTGGGCGAGTAGTGAGCCCAGAGTTGGAAGGTGGGAACTGCGTGTTGCTGACCGGATGCTGGGGGCCAGGTGAGGTGCTGGGGGCCAGGTGCTGAGCCCACGTGTCACTGACCGGGTGCTGGGACCAGGTGAGGTGATGAGCCCATGTGTCACTGACCGGGTGCTGGGACCAGGTGAGGTGATGAGCCTTGGCTCCAGGTCCTGCTTGCTGCGGGGCAGGGTTTATTTTCTTGTACATTCTTTCCTGTTACATTTTAAAAGGTTTATTTATTTTTATTGAAAAGGCAGATTTACGGAGAAAAGGAGATATATAAAGATCTCTGCTGGTTCACTCCCTAAGTAACCATAATGACCAGAGCCATTCTGAAGCCAGGAGCCAGAGGGTCTTCCAGGTCCCCCACGCGGGTGCAGGGTCCCAAGGCTTTGACCCGTGCTCCACTGCTTTCCCAGGCCACAAGCAGGGAGCTGGATGGGAAGCGGAGCAGTGGAACATGAACCCGGTGCCCATATGGGTTGCTGGTGCTTGTAAGGTGAGGATTTAGCCTCTGAGCCATTGTACCAGACCCAATTAATACATCTTATAATATAGCTTCGGTTGTGTTTGCTTTCTACTTTATTATTTTGTGATGTGTGCTATTTTTTGTGATATGAAAACTGCCTCAGGTCCAGCATGGCAGCCTAGTGGTTAAAGTCCTCGCCTTGTGTGCACTGGGATCCCATATGGGCGCCGCCGGTTCTAATCCCGGCGGCCCTGTCTGCTTCCCATTCAGCTCCCTGCCTGTGGTCTGGGAAAGCAGTGGAGGATGGCCCAAAGCCTTGGGACCCTGCACCCACGTGGGAGACCCGGAAGAAGCTCTTGACTCCTGATCAGCACAGCTCCAACCTTTGCGGTCACTTGGGGAGTGAATCAGCAGATGGAAGGTCTTCCTCTCTGTCTCTCCTCTCTGTATGTCTGACCTAAATGATGACCTGACGCACTGTTGGCGTTCGTGTGATATATTACATTTTCTTTTCTTGTGAATATTGTAGTGTCCTGAGAGCGGAAGTACCTGGGCTGGATGGAACTTGGCATTGGGAAGAGTCCTCTGTGTGTGGAGAGAGCGGTGACTTGCCGAGCGATGAAGCAGGCCCCCGAGAGCCTCGGTGCTGCCAGTGGGAAGCCGCAGCAGGGCTGCGAGGTGAGCCGTGAGTGCTCCGTGTTCCTCAGCAAGGCCCAGCTCTCGAGCGGCGTGCCCGAGGGCGTCCTGCAGAAGTTCAACGGTCACGACGCCCTGCCCTTCATCCCCGCCGAGAAGCTGAGGGACCTCACCTCCCGGGTGTTTAACGGCGAGCCCGGGGCCCAGGGTGCCAAGCTGCGCTTTGAATCCCAGGAGATGAAGGGAATTGGGACACCTCCTAACACCACCCCCATCAAAAATGGCTCCCCGGAGATCAAGCTGAAAATCACCAAGACATACATGAACGGGAAGCCTCTCTTTGAGTCCTCCATCTGTGGGGACGGTGCTGCCGGAGTGTCCCCACTGGGAGATGACGGACAGACGTCAGAGAGCACGGCGAGAAGGAGCCGCAAGCGGAGCTTGAAGCACGACGCCTTGCTGGAGCAGGACCCCATGGAGGCTGCTGCGGTGCCCAGGCTCTCCAGCCCACCAGACACAGAGGTATGGCTGGGGCAATGGCTGGAAGGCCGGCTCCTGGAGCGTCGAGACTGCCTGCTGTGGGTCCCCTGGCTCTGTGTGTGTGTGATACGGAAGGTCCCCGGGAGCCCCGGCACTACCTCCTGTGGGTCCCGTGGCTCTGTGGGGGGTCATCCGGGAGATCTCAGGAAGTTTCCCAGACTCAAATGGCTCAGGAAGCCAGGCCAGTTAAGATTTATTTTTATTGCAAAGTCAGATATGCAGAGAGGAGAGGAAGATCTTCCATCTGAGGATTAACTCTCCAAGTGAGCGCAACAGTTGGATCTGAGCTGATCTAAAGCCAGGAGCCAGGAGCCTCTTCCAGGTCTTCCACGTGGGTGCAGGGTCCCAAGGCTTTGGGCCGTCCTCGACTGCTTTCCCAGGCCACAGGCAGGGAGCTGGGTGGGAAACGGAGCAGCCGGGGTTAGAACCGGCGTCCATATGGGAGCCTGGCATGTGCAGTGTGAGGATGATAGTCATTAGGCTCTCCAGTGACAGCTTTGGAAAGGACTATCTTAGTCGTCTGGGCTGATAGAAGATTTTTTAAAAGGCCTGTGTATCTGTTTATTTGAAAGATCTACAGAGAGATGAAAGAGATCTTCCGTCTGCTGGTTTGCTCCCCAAATGTTGCTATGGCTAGTGCTGGGCCGATCCGAGGCTGGGAGCTGCCTTCTGCCTCCATGTGGGCCCAGGACTTGAGCGCTTGGCCCATCTTTTGCTGCTTTCCGAGGAGCTGTTAGGGAGCTGGACGAGAAGTGGAGCAGCCGGGACATGAACCTGTGCCTGGGTGGTGTGCTAGCACAGCAGGTGGAGGCTGAGTCTACCCTCATGGTGCCATCCTGATAGAAGATAGACTTTTAGAATATATTCATTTACTTATTGGAAAGAAAAGAGAAAATGGAATCGAGCTCTCAGTCTGCCTGTTCACTGGCAAATTCCTGCAGTGTTAGGAGCTGGGCCAGGCTGAGGCCAGGGCAGGGAGCTCTGCATCTCCCTGTGGGTGATGGGGATCAGCAGCACAGGTTGGCTGCCTACGGGCACCTGGATGTGGCAGTGGCCCCAGAGTGCTTTTGGGAAGCCCTGTGGCTGTGCTGCAGTGTTTGAGTTCATGGGGCAAGAGGCCCGGCGAGCTGGGCGGCCTGGATGTGCTGTGGGCTTCATGGACGGCTGGGTCAGTGCTGTGGCTTGCAGTGGGGACCTCGTACGTGTGCACGCCCACAGCACTGGCATCCACTCGGCTCCCCATCTGGTTCTCTGCCAAGGCGCCTGGGGAAGCAGCAGAGCCCACAAGTACTTAGGCCTGTCTCCTCTGTGGGAGACCCAGGTGCTCCTGACTTCTGCCTGGTTCAGCCCCAGGTGTTGCAGCCATTTAGGGGACTGACCAACAGGTGAGATCTCCCCTCCCCTGCCCTTTCCCTCCCTCCACCCCTCTCCTCTTCTCCCCTCCCCTACCTTCCCCTCTTCCCTTGTCCTCTCCTTCCGTCCTCCCCTCTGCTCTGCTCCCCTCTCCTCCTGTCCCCTCTTCTCCCCTCCCCCTTTCCCCTCTCCCCTCCCCTGCTTCCCTCCCCTCCATCTCCCCCTCCCGCACTTTCACTACTTTGCATTTCGGGTAAGTCAGACAAGTCTTTAGGGCACATCTGCACGCGGGCTGGTGCGCACGCCCTGCGAGCGAGCACTGTGCTCAGTGGACAGGCAGCTCTGTGCTGACTTGCCCCGCTGCGCTTACAGATGTTTGGGACATGCAGTGAGGTTCCAGGCCACCCCTTCCCTCCCAGAGGAGTCCAGGCATTTGTCCAGGCGCAGGGCCCCCCGAAAGTGGTTTCTTTTTTTTTTTTTTTTATTTTTATTATTTTTTCATTGGAAAGACGGATATTCAGAAAGAGGAGAGACAGAGAGGAAGATCTTCCGTCCGATGATTCACTCCCCAAGTGAGCGCAACGGCCGATGCCATGCCGATCCGAAGCCAGGAGCCTCTTCCGGGTCTCCCACGCGGGTGCAGGTTCCCAAAGCTTTGGGTCGTCCTCGACTGCTTTCCCAGGCCACAGGCAGGGAGCTGGAAGGGAAGCGGGGCTGCTGGGATTAGAACCGGCGCCCATATGGGATCCCGGGCGTGCGAGGCGAGGACCTTAACCACTTGCGCCACCGCGCCGGGCCCCCGAAAGTGGTTTCTAAGGCAGGGGCTCCCCTTTGGGAGGGAGGGGCCATGCTGGCTGAGTCCAGCAGCACCTTCCTGAGGGTTGTGCCCACGCCCTGGCAAACCCAGCCTGGGGCACCATGCTACAGCTGTGAAAGGCTCCTCTCAGGCTGGAAAGGTGGAGTCACTAAGCCTCAGTTAGTTCAAACATCGCGGTACGTAGCTGATTCCTCAGGTGTTTGCAACAGCTGGGGCGCCCGACCCAAGTGAGGACCTGAAGCTCCGTCGGGCCTCTCACACGGGATGACCTGCATCTGCTGCTTCCACGTCATGCATCAGCAGCAAGCTGGCATTAAATGTGGAACGTGGGTTTGAACCCAGGACTGGGTTGGGATTTAGGTAACCCATGTTTGTCGTAACAGCTGAATCAGTTCTGTTTCCCACCCCCATCCCTCCACCCCCGCCCCAGTGGATTTGTGAGGAATGGTATTTGCAGGTGTCAGGCCTGAGGCGGGGCTCTCACCACACACGCCTGCTGAAGTGAGGTGAGTGTGCACTCTAGGATAGCTTCCTGGAGCTGAGCAGTGGTCAGGAAGGGTGCTAATGGGTCTTTGTCCTTTCAGGTGCCAGTTCAGAAAGAGCCCTGTGCCAGCACTGGCCGAGACAGAGATCAGCTGTTGAAGTACAACGTGGGCGATTTGGTGTGGTCCAAAGTGTCGGGTTATCCCTGGTGGCCCTGCATGGTCTCTGCTGATCCGCTGCTCCACAGCCACAGCAAGCTGAAAGGTACTGTACGGGACAGGTCTCACTGCCGTTCTCAGTCCTGGCTTCCCTCCTCACAAGGCTCCACTGCGGGGCAGTCTGCTGCTGCTTACCTGTTAGTCCTGTGTGTGTGCGGGCACGAGGTGCTGCCTGACCTGTTAGTCCTGTGTGTGTGCGAGGGGACGAGGTGCTGCCTGACCTAGTTAGTCCTGTGTGTGCGACGGGACGAGGTGCTGCCTGACCTAGTTAGTCCTGTGTGTGTGCGAGGGGACGAGGTGCTGCCTGACCTAGTTAGTCCTGTGTGTGTGTGCGGGCACGAGGTGCTGCCTGACCTAGTTAGTCCTGTGTGTGCGACAGGACGAGGTCCTGCCTGACCTAGTTAGTCCTGTGTGTGTGCGACGGGACGAGGTGCTGCCTGACCTAGTTAGTCCTGTGTGTGTGCGAGGGGACGAGGTCCTGCCTGACCTAGTTAGTCCTGTGTGTGTGCGACGGGACGAGGTCCTGCCTGACCTAGTTAGTCCTGTGTGTGTGCGGGGACAAGGTGCTGCTTGACCTGGTTAGTCCTGTGTGTGTGTGTGAGGGCACGAGGTGCTGCCTGACCTAGTTAGTCCTGTGTGTGTGTAAGGGCATGAGGTCCTGCCTGACCTAGTTAGTCCTGTGTGTGTGCGACGGGACGAGGTGCTGCCTGACCTAGTTAGTCCTGTGTGTGTGCGACGGGACGAGGTGCTGCCTGACCTAGTTAGTCCTGTGTGTGTGAGGGCACGAGGTGCTGCCTGACCTAGTTAATGCAGTGTGTGAGGACACAAGGTGCTGTATTAGCTGGTTAATCCAGTATGTGAGTGATGTTGAGCGTGTGTTACTAGTTAATCCAGTGTAAGATGGGTCATTTGGTGTGTTAGCTAGTTAATCCAGTGTGCAAGGGGACATTGGGTGCGTGTTGACTAGTTAATGCAGTTTGTGAGAGACATTGGGTGTATTACCTGTTAATCCAGTGTGTGAGGGGATATTGGGTGTGTAGGAAGTGCAGTGTGCAAGGCACATTGGGTGTGTGCCTAATCTGACCTAGTTGTTGTTGAAGAAGCCACCTTGACCTTCTGATGCTGTTGGATTTTTTTTTTTTGACTGAGTTTGATTTATTTTGCTTGAAGGAGAGGAAGTGAGAAAGGCTTTTCTTTGGTTCAGTTCTCAGTGACTGTTAGAGCTGGAGCTGGACCAGTGCAGGCCGAGGCCCCTCCAGGTCTTTGGCAGGCGCAGTGCCCAAGGACTTTGGCCGTCCTCTGCTGTTTCCTCAGGCCAGTCAGCAGAGAGCCGGATCAGAGGTGGAGCAGCCGGGGCTTGAATCGCTGCTCACAGGGCATGCTGGCATTGCAGGTGGAGATCCCCTGCGTGTGAATTCATGTATGAAGTATACATGCTTATTTCATTTTAGTGTGATGTGTAGATATTAAGAGGAGGAGCCAGGTGCCTTCTGTGGTCCTTGACTCGGTCCTTCGCTCGACACTGGGGTGCCACTCCTGCTGATGGTGGCATCATGTTCCTTGCAGTGGAGGCATGGGCTCTGCATGGCCAGCCTTCCAGGGCCCGTGGGTAGGCTGGTCGTCTCAGCTTCTGTTTTTCCGTGTGGACGGTGAGGGTGTGATGCTAACAGTGCCTGCCGAGCCCACGGCAGGCCCTAGAGAGGTTCAGCTGCATGTTGTGTCGGCGTTGGAGGAAACACACACAGCTCAGCTGCACACAGGGTCGGCGCTGGGTGCAGGGCGCTGGGAGCGGGGAGCTGGGAGCAGGGAGCTGGGAGCAGGGGCGCTGGGAGCAGGGCGCTGGGAGCAGGGCACTGGGAGCTGGGAGCAGGGGCGCTGGGAGCAGGGGTGCTGGGAGCAGGGGCGCTGGGAGCAGGGGTGCTGGGAGCAGGGGAGCTGGGAGCGGGGAGCAGGGCGCTGGGAGCAGGGGAGCTGGGAGCAGGGCGCTGGGAGCAGGGGCGCTGGGAGCAGGGGTGCTGGGAGCTGGGAGCAGGGGAGCAGGGGAGCTGGGAGCAGGGCGCTGGGAGCAGGGGCGCTGGGAGCAGGGGTGCTGGGAGCAGGGGCGCTGGGAGCGGGGAGCTGGGAGCAGGGGCGCTGGGAGCAGGGGAGCTGGGAGCAGGGGCGCTGGGAGCAGGGGAGCTGGGAGCAGGGGAGCTGGGAGCAGGGGAGCTGGGAGCGGGGAGCTGGGAGCAGGGAGCTGGGAGCTGTCCCCACTGCTAGTCTCAGTCACAGCGGTGTCAAGTGTTAATGCTTGTGTGTGTCTGAAACAGTTTCTTGTTGGCTTTGCTTTCTGTTTGTTGGTCAGGGCAGGGCCCAGCACTGCTGTCCCCTCCCTCCAAGGTCTGTCGCTCTGGGTGTCAGCACCTGCCCTCTGGACAGCTTGGCTCCTGCCTGGCAGTGGCACTCTAGCTGTCTCCTGAGCCATTGTCATGGGAAACAGTCCCTTCCCCTCTTGACCTCGAGCTGTGGTGAGACTCAGATCGGAACGGAGCCCAGAGCCACACCCTGGCGGGTGGCAGCTGCTCTGCCAGCCTAGCCCTGTGCTGTAGCCCCATGGTGCGCCTCTGCAGCGGAGGAGCCCTAGTGGGCATGAGCAGACGGACTGCAAATGGAGTGCCAACCCTGCAACAAGGACGTTCTGAGAACCCCAGGGGCCACTCGCTGTCCCATGTCCCACACCCAGGACTCCACATGAGGGAGCCACCAGGTCCTGGCAGCTGTTTCCCCGTGTGTGTCACAGGTGCCAGGGCTCAGGGCTTGTCAAGTGGGAGCTGTGTGTGTGTGTGTGTGTTTAAAGATTTATTTATTTTTATTACAAAGACATATTTATAGAGAAGGAGAGAGAGAGATCTTCCATCCACTGGTTCACTGCCCAAGTGGCCGCAATGGGCAGAGCTGAGTCAGTTGGAAGCCAGGATCCAGGAGCCTCTTCCAGGTATCCCACGTGGGTGCAGGGTCCATCCTGAGTGGATGGCTTTGGGCCGTCCTGGACTGCTTTCCCAGGTCACAGGCAGGGAGCTGGAAGGGACGCGGGGCCGCTGGGACACTAGTGCCACGTTGGGGTGCCAGGACTGCAGGTGAAGAGTTAGTACGTGGGCTTCCATGCAGACGCTCAACTTTATTCGATGAATTAGATTTCATTGCTGTATTTGCTAAGATCTAAGGTAATCTGCTGTTGTGCAGGCTTGTGTGCGTGATGTGAATCAAGGTGTTTAGTTTTTGCTCCTCCTGTGAGGTGCTGAGAGGCGTGTGGTGTTCGTGCCCCTTCCCACTCAAGGCTGTCCTTTTCCTGGCCTCTCGGGGGTCTTCTCCGTTGCTCCCACCCTCCCCAGCACTGAGGCCTCTCTAGGCCTGCTGCCCAGGGCCCAGCCTCCATGCGGGCAGCAGCCTGCCCGTGTCTGCCTCTTGTTGGCCTCCCTCCCACCGGAGAGGCTGTGTCTTTTGTGTCTCCTGTTGGCCAGCCTTAGTGGCTCTGGTCAACTCAGTGGCTCCACCGACTCAGGAGGAAGGTGTTGGCTCTGTTTAGAGCAGATGGCCAGGGCCCCAGGTGGCCTGGTGAGCTGTGGCGGGAGGAATTGGGCACCAGGAGCCTTAGTGGAAGCCAGGGTTAGGAGAGCAGGACGAGCACTTAGCCTCAGAAATGGGCATGGGGGCCTAGCGGTGTGGCCTAGTGGCTAAAGTCCTCGCCTTGAATGCGCCGGGATCCCATATGGGCGCCGATTCTAATCTCAGCAGCTCCACTTCCCATCCAGCTCCCTGCTTGTGACCTGGGAAAGCAGTTGAGGACGGCCCAAAGCTTTGGGACCCTGCACTCGTGTGGGAGACCCGGAAGAGGTTCCTGGCTCCTGGCTTCGGATCGGCACAGTACCGGCTGTTGTGTTCACTTGGGGAGTGAATCATCGGACACAGGATCTTCTTCTCTGTCTCTCCTCCTCTCTGTATATCTGACTTTCCAATAAATAAATAAATCTTAAAAAAAAAAAAAAAAGAAAAGAAACGGGCATGGGAAAGCAGGACTCTTGCTAATGGTATTTGTGTGCTTAAAGTGTGAGATAGTTGCCTCCTGGCCCAGAATCAAACTCAGCTGCCTCAGAAATACCTGTAAAGGGACTGGTGTGCAGGGTGACGCCCTGCCTCGGGTGCCAGCACCGTTGGTGGCGTGTCGATTGGGGTCTCGGCAGCTCTGCTCTCATCAGGAAAGCTCAAGTGGACCCATGCCACCCATGGGAGACCCAGGAGTTTCCGTCTCCTGGACTCAGCCTGGGCCAGTCCCTGCCACTGTGGCCGTTTGGAGAGTGAACCCCTGGAAGGAAGATCTCTGTCCCTTCCCCTCCTCTCTGTGGCTCTTTCAGAGAAGCTGGAGAGTCTTAGTGAAGGGTGACCCTGGGCAGTGAAGTTGGGTTGTCAGCTCGTCTCTGGGTAGGGAGACCTCACAGAGGCCATGGGGTCAGGGTGGAGCGTTTTGCTTCTGTTACTTTCCTGTATGAAGAAAACAAACACGATGCGAGTCATTGTATGTGCTGCACAGATGTTCCTCCCTGGGAGGATGCTGGGGTGAGTGGGCGGACAAGGGGGAGCCTTTTTTCTGCCAAGGGTCATTTGGATACTCGTGACATCATTGGTGAGCCACTGGCTGCAGTAGATTTAGGGAATTGTGGGCCTGGCGTGGTAGCCTATTGGCTAAAGTCCTTGCCTTTCATGGGCTGGGGCCCCATATGGGTGCTGGTTTCGTGTCCCAGGTATTCTACTCCTCATGCAGCTCTCTGCCTGTGGCCTGGGAAGGCAGTGGAGTGGACGGCCCAAAGCCTGGCACCTGCACCCGTGTGGGAGACAGGAAGAGGCTCCTGGCTCCTGGCTTTGGATTGATTCAGCTCTGGCTGTTTTGCCCACTTGGAGAGTAAACCAGCGGATGGAAGATCTTCCTCTCTGTCTCTCTGTATAAACCTGACTTCCTAATAAAAAGAAATACATCTTAAAAAAATTATGGAACTGCGAGTCCTGCCTGTGGTCACGTGGTTAGGGCCAGATCGGGTGGTTGCTGGCACAGCTCCACACCCCTGGTCTAGATACACTTTCCTTTCTAGCAGAAGCTCTTTAGCAGTGGAGTGCAAACCATAAACCCCTGGTGTCTTCTGGAATCTTGAGTGTTTCTGGAGCAGAGGTTTGCATATCTGGGCGCAAGCTGCTTTGCCCTGGAGAGTGGATGTGAACATCTTCCCACACGTTCTCCCTCCCAGGATGCCGCGGGTGACGGGGAGGCCGAGAGGAGGCGGCGCTTTGCTGCACCGAGCAACAGGCCGGAGCTAGGCTGAAGGCCTGTGCTGGACACTCAGTCTGGTTCCCCGGCCGGCGCCACCTGCCGCCTCCAGGTGTGTCCTGGCAGGCTCCTGGAGTGGGCGCAGAGCCACTCTGTTCCCGCTGTAACTGCTGTGGTTTGGGGTCTTTGGTGTCTGAGCCTGGGCCAGCTCCCAGCTCCCTGCTCGTGTGACACGGGAGGACCCGGGGACGCAGCAGGAGTGAGAGGATCCTGGTTCCCGCCTGCCGGCCGTGGGCACCGGAATGTATCGTTGAGATGTGTTCTGTTGGTTTCTTACTCGGTGACGATCGAGATGAAGGCCGGGTTCTTCATTTCCTGGCTCTGGCCCCTAAGGCCATTGCTGCTGGTGAATTATGTGTTTTTATGAATTTGTATAAATATTAAAGGAGAAAACAACTTATGTTCTGCATTGTGCTTTATTGTAACCCTTCTGTATTATCTAGAGTTAGATGTTGGCAGTCAGTGCACATTTGCAGTGCTGACACTGCGGTCAGCAGTTTACCTGCTGTGCCATGGTGCCGGTCCCTTTGCTGCTTTGTGTGTGTGTAAAGGTTTATTTATTCTTATTGGAAAGTCAGATATACAGAAAGGAGGAGACACAGAAAGATCATCTTCCAGCTACTGATTTACTCCCCTAGTGGCCTCAATGGCTAGAGCTGAGCTGATCTGAAGCCAGGAGCCAGGAGCTTGTTCTTGGTCTCCCATGCAGGTGCAGGGTCTCAAGACTTTGAACCATCATTGATTGCTTACCAGGCCACAGGCAGGGAGCTGGATGGGAAGTGGAGCGTGCAGGCGAGGGCTTAGCCACTGAACCATCATGCCAGGCCCCCCCTTAGGTTTCTTTAAGACACTTTCCTGAGAAACTTGCATTGTTTTCTGAGGTTTCACGCTGAGCTCTTTGTTGGTTAGCTTTCCCTTTGTGCTAGAGTGTGTTTTCTGGCATTCTAGGCAAGTGTGTCTCCAGGTTCATAAGCTGCATAAAGATCTTATCTGGAAAAACCATGGACACACACAGGTACAGATCCTCCACCCTTTGTTCCCTCCTCAGGCGGGCCTGGCTGGGCTGCAGCCAGGAGGAGCTGGGAACCCCACCCGGGCTCATGGGGTAGGGGAGAGCTGAAGTGCTTGGCCAGGGCCGTTGCCTCCCAGGTGCACCATGGGATCTGAGTCGGAAGCTGAGCAGCTGGTGCCGGCCCAGCGCTGTGGGCAGTTTCACCTGCACGCAGCTCAGGTGCCCCTTGTGCTTGCTGATGCCCTGGTTAGTATTTCACAGCTGCACCTCGGAAGCCAGTGCTGTCTCTTTGCAGAGTCCGCTGGCTGCTGGCCTTTTAGGGTGTGTGTTGTCTGTCTGCCGCAGCTCCCCGGGGACCTTTTGTTGTTTCTGGGAGGCCTGTCCTGGGGTGTTCGCGGGGAAGACTGTTTTCCATGGTGATCCTTGTCTTTTTAAAATTTTCATCGGAAAGGCAGATTTACAGAGAGAAGGAGAGACACAGAGAAAGATCTTCCATCCATTGGTTCACTCCCCAAATGGCTGCAGCAGCCACCGCTGAGCTGATCTGAAGCCGGGAGTCAGGAGCTTCTTTCAGGTCTCCCACATGGGTGCAGGGTGCCCAGGCCTTGGACCTTCCTCGACTGCCTTCCCAGGCCACAGGCAGGGAGCTGGATGGGAAAAGGAGCAGTGGGGCACTGACTGGAGCCCATGTGGGATCCTGACGCTTGAAGGGGGAGGACGAACCGATTGAGCCTTTGTGCTAGGCCCAGATTTTAAATTTCTAGTACCTCTGCTTTTTTTTCCTGCATTCCCTTTTCATAGCTGAGTAGGGTTTTGCTTTGTGGTGTCTGCGGCCCTGCAGCGCTGTGAGCTCCTGTGTGTTCTGTGCTCACACGTACTGGGTCCCTCCTTATGCCCTGGGGACACCTGGCCGTCTGCAGCCTCGGGGCCAGCTGGTCGTTGGCTGCTAGCTGGGGGTGGGACGTGTTGTGTGCTTCAGCTTTCCTGGAAGTGTCCTGTAGTGGTTGGTACACTTGGTCCCTGGTTTTGACTGGGGTCCCTGCGCTTTCCCTGTCTTCCCTGCTGGCGAGCCATCTTTCCTCATCTGCCGTGTCTGGCTGTGCTTCAGGCCCTGCTTCCTGTAGCTGAGCTGGAGAAGCTGTGGACTCCTGGAGGTTGCGCGGTGATCCCAGTTGCTCCTGGAGACCGTGGGGTAGCTGGCGGCTGTGTGATGCCAGTTTTCTTGCTGTGTGCCCCGTGCCTGTACTCTGAAGGTGTGCCCTGGGTCGTGTGTCTTGCACCTGCCCCCTCTTGGCAGTGGCGGGGTGGCATGATGGAGGCGAGCAGGTTAACATGCTCAGAGCACCAGGCCACTTCAGAGTAGCGCTAGATTTGCCAAAATTCACCCTCAAATTCTAACTTCCTGTTCTACTGCTTTGTTTTAAATAACTAGGTCAGAAGAAGAGTACGCGACAGTACCACGTGCAGTTCTTCGGTGACGCCCCAGAAAGGGCGTGGATATTTGAAAAGAGCCTCGTCGCTTTTCAAGGAGAAGAACAGTTTGAGAAGTTGTGCCAGGAGAGCGCCAAGCAGGCGCCCACGAAAGCTGAGAAAATGAAGGTAACACGCTCCTTCAGGAGAGTTTCCGATCAGTTTTAGTTTTTGTCATATATTGTTTGGAATTTGTAGTTGAAGTGCTGTCTGCTGGGTCAGCCAAGGTCAGCCAGGTCAACCAGGGTCAGCCGGGGTCAGCCAAGGTCAGCCGGGGTCAGCCAAGGTCAGCCGGGTCAGCCAAGGTCAGCCAGGTCAGCCAAGGTCAGCTGGGTCAAGCAGGGTCAGCTGGGTCAGCCAGTGTCAGCCGGGTCAGCCCAGGGTCAGCCGGGTCAGCCAAGGTCAGCCAAGGTCAGCCAGGGTCAGCCAAGGTCAGCCAAGGTCAGCTGGGTCAAGCAGGGTCAGCTGGGTCAGCCAGTGTCAGCCGGGTCAGCCGGGGTCAGCCAAGGTCAGCCGGGTCAGCCAAGGTCAGCCAGGGTCAGCCAGGTCAGCCAAGGTCAGCCAAGGTCAGCTGGGTCAAGCAGGGTCAGCAGTGTCAGCCGGGTCAGCCGGGGTCAGCCAAGGTCAGCCAGGGTCAGCCAGGTCAGCCAAGGTCAGCCAAGGTCAGCTGGGTCAAGCAGGGTCAGCTGGGTCAGCCAGTGTCAGCCGGGTCAGCCCAGGGTCAGCCGGGTCAGCCGGGGTCAGCCAAGGTCAGCCAGCATCAGCCAGGTCAGCCGGATCAGCCAGCGTCAGCCGGGCTGTGCTGGCGGCGTGTGGCAGGTCTGTCCCTGGTCTGGTGACCCCTTTATTCCCGTCAGGCTGGTAGGTTCCACTGGCTCATGCGGGTGCCCTGGGATCGCTAGTTTAAAGAAACAGTGAAGTGACTGTGTGGGACTGAATTGTATCCAAAACCTAAGTCAGCCTGTGCCCTTGGGCTCACCTGAAGTTGGAAGCGTGCCTTTTTAAGAGTGAGAGGACTCGGGAGTGTGTCTGAGCTCGGCCATCTTTTTCTTCGCAGCTCTTGAAGCCCATTTCAGGGAAGCTGAGGGCGCAGTGGGAAATGGGCATGGCCCAGGCCGAGCAGGCTGCAGGCATGTCTGTCGAGGAACGCAAGGCCAAGTTCACCTTCCTGTACGTGGGGGACCAGCTTCACCTCAACCCGCGAGTCGCCGAGGAAGCCGGCCTTGCGGTGGAGCCGCTGGGCGCAGCGGGAGAAGCCCCGCCGTGTGTGAGGGAGGAGGCCGTGAAGAGGAGACGGAGAGCCAGACCCTCGCCTGCCGCGTCCGAGCGGGGGCCTGGCTCCGCGCACAGCCCCCCGCTGCACCCGGCGGAGGCGGACCCCAAGAGAGGAGTGGGGCTTTCCCCTGGCAGGAAGAGGGCCTCGGTCCCGGCCCCCCGAGGCAGGCGAGCAGACACGGCGTCCCAGTTTCTGGTCTTCTGTCAGAAGCACCGGGAGGAGGTCAGTGGTCAGGCCCTCGTGGGAGGAGCGTGCGTGGGCGCTGCGGGTGTCGGCGGGGGCTGCGGGTCCCTGGCCCACGCTGCGCCCGGCCTAGTCAGTACTGACACCCTGGTGGTCACTGGGCCACCTGGGAGGGTGCCAGGAGCTGGGCCTCGCCCCGCTGCCCTGGGTGGCACACCGGCCTGTGAGATGGTGGCTGGCGCTCCCTGCAGGCCTGCGGGGAGAGCCTGGGAAAGCTGCTCACGGCCTTGGTGAGATGTGGAGTCTGGTACACAGGGGGAGGTGGGGGACCGGGTCCCCACGTTTGGCAGAGTTCACTGTGACTTGGAACTTTGGGTTCTGGCTTTCTGTTGTACTCCCCCTTTCGATTGCGTTTGCTTGGGAATTTTCCGAATAGCAGCCTAAATCCCTCATGGTTAAATGTTCTGATGCTGATTTTATAGACGCTGTCATGAATGTTTAACCAGCAGCTGTTTCTGCGTCAGCAGCATGGCATGGTGACGGGGCCGTGGGCAGTTGAGACCAGTGAGAGCGTGGGTCCTGGCAGGCACCCCGGCCCTGAGGGCCAGCGACATCCTGCAGGCAGTGGGAGGGACAGTGGGAGGAACTGGGAGGCTCAGGGCGGCAGGGCTGGCTTTGTGTTAGGAGACTGTTGCGGTGGATCGGGGTACACACGATGGGTAGACAAAGGGCTTTTGGTAAAATGGGTCCCTTCCTCCGTGAAGGGTGGTGGGCCTTAGCAGGTGCAAGACCCAGATGCCGTCCTGGGCCCTGCCTTGGTCCTCCAGCCACGGCTGTGCTTGGAGACTTGCTCTCCTCCCGGTCGCTCTGCTCATGTGTGTCACATTTCATTTATTACAGGGTGGAGTGAGTCTAACTCAGGAGACACCACGCTGCTTTCCCCTTCCACGGCGCTTTCTGTTTTTAAAATTTAAAGTTCTTCAATAATAATTTACTTTATTTTGGATGATGTTTCTATAGTTGAGAAGGATGCATGGCCATGTGGACCACCAATTAGGGTGGGGAGGATCGAGGAATAGGGAAGCGTGGATGAGACAGCTGCCTCCAATCTCCTTTTCTCCCTGTATCTGGGGAAGAGGAGAGCAGGGGAGAGGACCACTCCCAGCAGCCTAACCACGGCAGCACCCAGGGGTGGGGGACGGCCACTTACGGTCATCCCAGGGTCCCCAGTGTGGAGCCTGTTCTGAGGGCACTGCCCAAGCAGGTTCGGTAGTTCTGAGGTGTTGATTTTGTTGTTCCAAGCTTGGGGAAGTCCTCCCAAGGCCCACTGGCTGACACAGTCCACCTTAGGGTCTCTGCTCCCCCAGATACTTGCTGTCAAAACTTCACCGGGAGAGCTGTGCAGTTTGTCCTGCCCTCCGTGGTCCTGGACGTCCTCTGCAGGCCTCGATGAACTGGCTGTCATGTCCCGATGTGCTTCTGGGCGTGCCGTCCACCTCACAGGCTCCAGCACCCGAGCAGGCCCAGTTGTGACCCATGTACCCCACGGTCAGCGCACAGCTCCTATGATTGTCACTGTGGTTGGCATTCTGAGTGCAGCGGTCCATTTGGGGTGAGGGGAGCAGAGGTGACCCCAGAGCTGACTGCTACGTGTGCCAGCCAGTCCGGGGTCCGTCTTCGTCCACCACTCACATCAACTTTTACACAGATTCACCTAGTCACCTATCAGACCTGTCCCCAGCCCCAGCTCATACGCAAACCCGTGGATGCGGTGGCCCAGCCTCACCCTGTCCACCACACACTTGGCTCCACATTTACCAGCGGGAACTGTAGCCTAGTTGGCTGACCCCAGTAACTACCACCTGGCTCTCCCCCAGCCCATTTCTGCACAAGCAACAGATTGGTCCCGTCTTCCCTGCATCCGTTGAGCTCTCATACAGACCCGCGGGTGTTGGATCCTAGCTCATCCCAAGTGACCCCACTATCCAGGCCACACTCATGCTGGTGGGTGCCACTGCCTGTCCAGCCACGCCTGCCCCAGCCCTGGGTACTAGTGTTGTTCAACTGTGGGAGCTGTGGCCCATTAGCGGGGTGCCCAGTTTCCCTACTAGGCCCACTCCCTGGTTCTCATGCCCACGAGTGGAGCTGTGGCCCATTAGCGGGATGCCCAGTTTCCCTACTATCTCCCTTTCCTTCTTTTTACATTCCCTTGTTTACTTCACAAATAAAACTTATTTCTTTGCACATGTGTAACCAAAAAGCCATGACGGAAGGAGAGGCACAGAGATTCAGACCCCACATGACAGCCTGGCTAGGGCAGGCTGAAGCCAGGGGCTGTCCTCCGCTGCTTCTCCAGGACACAGGCAGGGAGCTGGATCTGAATGGAGCAGCCTGGACTTGAACCAGTGATCATAGGAGATGCTGGCCTTGCAGGTGGAGGCTAAATTTGCTGAGGCACAGTGCTGCCCCGTGCCATTTGAATAAATAAGCAACTGTAAAATGGGAGGGCTGTGTGTGAGAACATGAACATAGATATACAGCCGGTGGCCGTCTGTGACCTGGGAGCTGCCTGTGGGGGTCTCGGGTATTTAGGGAGAGGTGCCCCCTGCCCTGGGGAGGTTTGATGCTACCCAGTGGAACGCGCAGTGTGCGTCCTTTCCATCTCGGGGTCTCCCCTCTGCGTCTGAGGAGGCACCAAATTGTTCAACACTGAGAGGCTGTGCAAAGTGTGTCAGCCAGGGGTGCTGCACAACAGCTCTGCAGGGCAGGCCGCAGGTGCTGTGCAGGCCCTGGCCCATGTGCCAGCTCTGCCGGGTGTGCAGGCCCTGGCTTGTGGACCAGCGCTGGCTCAAGTCCCAGTTGCTCTAGCTCCCGTGCTCCCGGGAGAGCAGTGCGGGGTGCTCAGGTGGGAGACCTGGAGGGGTCCCGCACCCCAGGCTTAGCCAGCCCCGGCCATTGTGGCCACTTGCGGCGTCTCCGTGTGTGTCTCTTCTTTCTGTAACTCTGCCTTCCAAATAAAATAGAAATAAACAGTTTTCTAAAAAAAGAAACTGTCAAGGTTAAGGAGCTGGAGATGTTACTGGTCCCTGTGTGAGTGCTGTGTGCATGTCTGCTGTGATGCTGGTCTTTCGGTCATAACGCGGTTTTCTTAGAACATGGGCCTGAATTTGTGGTGATTACAGTCTTTTCCCTAATACCGGTTTTTAGATACATTAGTGTTGGATGAGTGCCTGTGTCATGTTCATGTTATACATGACCTCAAAGCTTAGCTTGTTTCTCCTTTTAAGATTTATTTGTTTTTATTGGAAAAGCAGATTTACAGAAAGGAGAAACAGAAAAAGATCTTCCATCCACTGGCTCACTCCCCAAGTGGCCACAAGAGCCAAGTCTGAGCTGATCTGAAGCCAGGAGCCTCTTCTGGGTCCCCCACGCGGGTGCAGGATCCCAAGGCTCTGGGCCGTCCTCGACTGCTTTCCCAGGCCACAGGCAGGGAGCTGGATGGGAAGTGGGGCTGCTGGGACAGAAAGCGCAGCCCCTATAGCATGCCGGCACCTATAGGTGAGGATTAGCCAACTGAATCATCACGCTGGCACCTCAGAGCTTAGACCTGGAGACAGCAGCCGTGGGTGGGCTTGCAGTGAGACCCCTGGGGGGATGCCCTGTGCTGGCGCCCCAGCCTGGTTTACTCCTGGGCTCTGTGTGGGTTGCTGTGGCAGTGGCCTCCCAGTGTGTGTGCACTGGGAAAGTGGTGCAGGCTCAGGGAGCTGCCGGCGGGGGGCGCTGCCCCCTTACAGCACGGGGACCTGTGGACAGGGTTGCCAGCCGCGCCGTCCTCCCGGCCCACCACAGAGCGAGGATTCTCAGGCACATTTCTCACTCCCTTGTCTTGCCAGGCGCCTGCTGCTATTTTTTCTTCTTTTTTACTTATTTATTTTTTTAAAGATTGATTTATTTGAAAGGCAGAGTGGCAAAGAGTGAGTGAGCACGGGCAGCTGTTGGTTTACTGCCCGAGTGGCCATAGCAGCCACGAGCGGGGCAGGCGGAAGCCAGGAGCTCCCCCGGTCCCGTCACGGTGACAGACACGAGCGCCAGCAGAGTGCTGGACTTTCCGCAGCCCATGGGGGATGCCAGTGTCTGCCTGCTGCCCCCGGGCGGCCCATGGCACTGGGGACACAGCTGGCTCTGCCCAGTCTGGGAGTTGGATCCCCAGCACTGCTGAGAGGTGCTTGGGGCTGTAGTGACGGCTCTGAGCTGTGGCATTTGGTGTTCTGTGTACAGAAAGAGGAGATAGCCATGCCGAGGCCTCCGCTTGGCTGACAGATCCAGTGTGTCACTGTGTGAACTGGCATCCAGTATTCACAGTGGCCTTTGCTGTTTTATTTCTTCACTAGAAGATATTAGTTCTTACAAATAGAAAGCTGTGCTTATTTACTTGGAAGGTAGAGGACAGAGCTTCATGCAGAGGGCCGCACTGCCACTTGAAGCCAGGAGCTTCCTCTGGTCTCCCGTGGAGTGCAGGGACTCCAGGACATAAGCCGTTCTCTGCACTAGCAGGGAGCTGGATGGGGAGCGGAGTAACTGGGACTCAAACCTGCCTGTGTGGGATGCTGGCATTGCCTCAGTGGACTCACCTGCTGCACCACAGCACTGCCTGACCCTTGGGGTGGGGTTGGGGCCACGTGCAAGGCTAGCCTCAAAGGGGATTTGGGGATCTCAGAGACAGTTCATGCTGCCCGCACATTGGTGAGAGAGGTGTGGAGGTACTGGGCAGGGGTGGCTGAGAGAAGGAGGCTGGAGGCATCCATGGGTGTGCTGTGTGGAGTGGTCAGACAAGGAGGAAGAGCTGGAGGCAGTTAAGCAACAGCCAGCCTGCACCCCGGAGGGCCTGTGTGAGGCTGGGGTGCCCAGTATGATGGTGGTGGTCGCCGGGGAGACAGGTGCAGCGTAGCCTTGCAGGGGGAAGGGGTGCCGTGTGGCTGGAGGGGAAGGGGTGCAGCAGGAGGCTGGATGTGTGAGGTGACCGTCTTACGAGTAGGGCTTGTCTGTGTTGGATGGTAGGTTGCTTTTTCTCTTTTTTAAAGATTCATTTTTATTTGAAAGGCAGGTTAGCAGAGAGAAATATTTTCCAGTCCCCTGCTTCTCTCCCCAGATAGCTACAGCAGCTGGAACTGGGCCAGCTTGCGGCCAGGAGCCTCTTCCGGGTCTCCCACATGGGTGCAGGGGCCCAGGACTCGGGCCGTCTTGCTGCTTCAGCAGGCCATTATCAAGGAGGTGAATTCTAAGTGGGGCAGCCGTAAGGGATGCCGGCACCACAGGCGGAGGCTTAAGCTACTCCCCCACGAAGCTGACCCCATCTTCACTTTTCCAAGGAAGAAACTCTTAGGAGATTCACTCACTTCAAGGGGCAGGGGCGTGAAGAGCAGGGATGGAAAGAGAGTCTCGCCAGGTGCCCACCACAAGCAGGCTGGGCAAGGGCCAAGGCATACCACAGTGGCAGGGCCTTGAACTGCCTGGTGCTTGCAGGTTGGATGTACGGCTGGGCCTCGAGCTCACCCACTCGGGGCGGACCCACAAGTCCTGGGGGGTGTCCCGGCCCAGCAGCGCTTGCAGGGGCCTGCTCTCCCTGACTTGGAGCTCAGCGGCCCGGGGGAGTGGGGCTAGCTCCTGGCGTTCTTGATCCCGTGTTGACACGAATGTGACAGTCGTGCTCACTGTCGTGAAGTGCAGCAGGCGCTGCCTGTGTGGAGGCTGCCATGCTCATGCGCTAGCTGTCCTAGTGTCCCTGGGCCTGGTCCTCTGACCCCAGCCCTCCTGTCTGCTCAGGTGGTGGCGGAGCACCCGGAGGCCTCAGGGGAGGAGATTGAGGAGCTGCTGGGGTCCCAGTGGGACATGCTCAGTGAGAAGCAGAAGGCTCGCTACAACACCAAGTTTGCCCTCGTGACCTCGGCTGCACCTGGAGACGATCCCGGTGAGTGTCGCCCTGGGCTGGCTCCTCCACGCCGTGCACCGTGGCTGACTCCCTCAGTCTGCCCCCAAAAGCCAGGCTCCGTGGTCTCTGGGCCTGGGGGCTGTCAGGGGGAGGGGAAGGCCGTTTTAAGGCCTGGGGTCTGTCAGTGACTTGTGGGGTCAGATTTGGCATCTGTAGCCCCGGGGGGGGGGTGGCTAGAAAGAGTCGGCACAGTGCGCTGCGCGTCTGCTTGAGCACATGCAGGGGGAGCAGCTGGCAGGGTTCCCCTTGGGTTTATGCTGCCACTCTGCTTTAGGCTTCCTGCTGTGACACCTGGAGCACGCGTGTAGTCATGGTGAGGGCTGTCAGACGGCATGCGTGGGATGAGAGTTGACTTCCACTGTGTTGGAAAGGCAGAGGGTCAGAAATAGTCTGGGTCCCTCTCGTGCCCACAGAGTTGTGTCTCCCGTGGGTGGCCCCAGTGTGGTCATTAGCAGGAAGCAGACACTGGGTGGGTGCAGGCACCCACGCCGTGACTCACCACTGTGCCGAGTGGACACGTCAGTGTAAAAATAAGAGATGAATCCAAACACAAATGATCAGAATTCATCTGTGAGTTGTGCGGAGGTGAGACCCGAAGTGTTGGAAGACAGGTAGCTGGACAGCATGCCCAGACTGCCTGGGAGTGCCCCGTGCGCTCCATCCCGGCCGGGCTCACCTGCGTGCCCTGTTCCCTCGGTGTTGTTGTCCTGACTCAGGGTTTTCTAGTTTGCTGTATCAGCTATCTAATTATTCTTAATTTTGATTTTGTTCAGTTATGCCATGCTTGCTGCAAATACTGTAATTTAGAATAGCAAGGATCTTTAGGGATTGTGTACTTTCTTTGAAAGTCAAAAGTTTGCCTCTTCATGATCAGCGACTGACTTGCCTAAGGCTGAAGTGGGCATTCCCAGAGGCGGCGTGGGCGTGCCCCTTCGGCTGTCGGCAGGGCTGGGCCCACAGGCTGGTCTAACGTTCTGCATAACCATGCTGTTGACGGCCCAGACGGCATCCTGTCTGTCACCAACCTCGTTTAGGGTCATGGTAGAACAGTGAAGCTCTGCCTCATTCTGTGACATGTTGGATCGCCCTGCTGCAGGCAGTCCAGGCGCGGAGGGACACGCTGCTGGCAGACTCTGGTAGTGTGGTGGGCAGAGGTTCTAGGGCTCAGGCCGGTGGACAGCTCAGTGGACCCCATTGTTTGTTACTTGGCTGGCCCCTCCCTAAGGTTGTCTGTCTGCCAGGGCAAGCATGGTGAGGGCCCAGCTGACATCTCTTCGGGAGCCTAAGGCCTGGCTGAAGACATGCATGGTGCTCTGGGTGAAGATGATGGGGCTGGTGGAGCCTGACCTCTGTGAAGCCGTTGTGCAGACAAATGGCTGGCTTGTGTTGGCAGCACCTGCCCAGGGCCACCCTCAGCTTTGTAGGTCAGGCCTGCTGGTGCACCTGCAGACTGGAGGGGTGGGTGTTGCGGGCACAGTGCCATGAGCAGTGGGAGAGCCGTTAGGGAGATGCTGTGTGGCAGGGAAGTGACTCGAGGGAACCATGAAGAGCTATGAGCTGTATGCTTTTAAAGGCAGTTTAAATGCTACTAGTCTTTGAATGTTAGAAAAAGATTATTTAAGATACACAGATTCAGATTTAAGGCTACAGGACATTAGAATTGTGAGAGACCGTGTTGCAGTGCCTGTGCGAGACGGGCCGGGCCACCGTGTCACCAGCTGTTCAGACCCTGCCCCGTCCCCCACGCCCAGGTACCTTAAATGGGAAGAAAAGAAGCCACCCAAGGAGGCCCTCGGACACTGCAGAGGACGCTGAGGACACGCCCAGGAAGAGACTGCGGGCAGATAAGCCTGGCCTCCGAAAGGTAAGGGTGCCAAGCCGGGCTGTCCCCTCGGCTGCACGCGCTGGCAGCTGCTTCTCCAGTGTGCACAGTGAACTGGCCAGGAAATGAACTGCTGGAGACACACGTGTTGCATGCCAGTGACCAGCTGGCAATGGTTTGCTGAGCTCCATCAGCTGGTGTGACCCTGTGGCTCTGGTGTGAGCTCCAGTGGCTGGCAGGCCTGTCTGATGGAGCAAGGGGGCAGCCCAAGCACAGGCCCCCACTTCTGAGGGGTACGCCTGTGCCCAGGGCCGTAGACCCAAAGACCCAGTGCACCGTCGTGTCCAGCATGAGATGTGTGAGTGTGCAGAGGCTTGAGCCCTTCCTGGGGGTGCATGCCCAGGGGGCTGGAAGCAGACTTGGTCTTTACATTCGAGTTGACATCGTGCAGTGGTGGCTTCCGTAGGCTGGTCACGGTTACCACCTTCTCAGGAAGAAAGTTCTGTGTTGGTACTTCTGCAGAACACAGGCAGACACGTGCTGCTGCAGTGTGGCCATGTCATCTGCAGTGTCGGGGAAGCAGGCCGCCTCCCCCCCATTCCCAGAGTCGCCTGCTGGCACCTGCTCTCAGCTGGGGGGGCGGGAGTAAGCCAGGTGAAGTTGAGCTGGGTCACTGAGGCCCGCAGCTCCCAGGAGGTGCCGCGGTGGGCTCCTAGCAGCTCCCCACTTGGGTCGGCTGCTCTGACGTGTGGGTTCCCATTGGGCAGCCAGGGAGCAGTGGGGATAGTGGAGAGCGTAGGGCCCCCCAGGCCACCCCGGAGTCCTCTGCTCTGAGCGGTCTACAGGGGTCGTGTGCCAAGGGCTGTGCAGCCAGGATCTTGTTTGATTTTTTATTTTATTTTATTTTTTGATTGATTTAAAACTGAGTGATGGTGGAGGAGATGGGAGAGAGAGCTTTTCTGTCCCCTGGTTTGTCCTCAAGTAGCCTTACCAGCCAGACCTGGCCAGGAGGCCCGCCATGTGCCCGAGACGGGGCCTGGTGCCTGGCCATCGCCTGCTGCCCCCCAGGCACGTTAGCAGGGAGCTGGGTGGGGGTGGAGCAGCCAGTGCTCCAGTGTGGGATCTGGGGCTACCCAGGGGGCTTACCTCAGGGCAGGCAGGGCCCACCGAGCCTCTGTTGGCTGGTGAGCATGCGGGGTCACTTGCCTTGCTCTCAGAGGGGTGAGCGCACGCCTGCTCTCCTGAAGGGCAGGCCAGCCGCGGGCAGCACGTCCTCCTGGGCCACTGAACTGAAATTTTTTTAAAAAGATTTATTTTTATTAGAAAGTCGGATGTACAGAGAGAAGGAGAGACAGAGAGGAAGATCTTATGTCTTCTGATTCACTCCCCAAGTGGCCACAATGGCCAGAGCTGAGCCAATCCAAAGTCAGGAGCCAGGAGTCCAGGTCTCCCACACGGGTGCAGGGTCCCAAGGCTTTGGGCCGTGCTGGACTGCTTTCCCAGGTCACAGCAGGGACTTGCGTGGGAAGTGTAGCAGCCAGGATTAGAACTGGCACCCATACGGGATTCCAGTGCATGGAAGGCAAGGACTTTAGCCACTAGTCTACCACACTGGGCCCAGTTAAAACTTTCTTTAAAGATTTATTTATTTCAAAAGCAGGGTTACAGAGAGGAGAGAAAGATCTTCCATCTGTTGGTTCACTCCCCAAATGGCCTTAATGGCAGGAGTTGAGCCGATCTGAAGCTAGGAGCTTCCTCTCCTGGGTGTATGGGCCCCAAGCACTTGAGCTGTCCTCTTCTGCTTTCCCATGCGTATTAAACAGGGTGCTGGATCAGAAGGGGAGCAACCAGGACTCAGGTGGTCCCACAGGCAGAGAAGCTGTCTGCTCGCCCGGGTGCCCGCCCTCACGGTCACTTCCGACTGGGAGACCTCTTGAGCAGAAGGACTTGCAGAAGCAGGTTTCCTAGTCTGTCCTTGGGTTCGGATTGAGCAGAAAGCAGAGGAGGTGGTGCTGCACAGCCTTCCCAGGAGCACAGGCTGCCAGCACAGTGCGACGCGGATGACGAGCAGGCTCTGGGGCGGCTGGGCCGGCGGCTGCCCTGGGGGCACATTGGCAGCCACCTGTGTGTGCCAACACAGGGAGGCTGGCTCTCCTCGCTCTCTGTTTTCTATTACAGAGAGACACACTAGCCGACAAAACAGCCAGGACAGGCTCCTACAAGGCCGTGGAGATGGCCTCCTCACTCAAGAGCCAGGCAGGTAATGTACTGGCCGTGCTGGGCAGGGTGGACGGGGCAGTGCCGGCGGTCACTCTCAGGAACCTTCCGGAGCTCGGAGAAGAGGGGGTCCTACAGTTGAAAAGAAAGCTTGAAGTGTGTAAGTTGTCTTAGGAATTTAGCACACTTGTATTCAACCTATTTCCCACTGGTTTTCACCTGAGGAGTGAGCTGAACGTACCGGGTCAGGCTTTGCTCCATAGATGCCCCTGTGAGTGCTGTGGGGTACTTAGTCCTGCCCAGGCCCCGTGTGAGTGCTGTGGAGTGCTTAGTCCTGCCCAGGCCCCGTGTGAGTGCTGTGGAGTGCTTAGTCCTACCCAGGCCCCGTGTGAGTGCTGTGGGGTACTTAGTCCTGCCCAGGCCCCGTGTGAGTGCTGTGGGGTACTTAGTCCTGCCCAGGCCCCGAGTGAGTGCTGTGGGGTACTTAGTCCTGCCCAGGCCCCGTGTGAGTGCTGTGGGGTACTTAGTCCTGCCCAGGCCCCGTGTGAGTGCTGTGGGTGCAGTGCTTAGTCCTGCCCAGGCCCCGTGTGAGTGCTGTGGGTGCAGTGCTTAGTCCTGCCCAGGCCCCGTGTGAGTGCTGTGGGGTACTTAGTCCTGCCCAGGCCCCGTGTGAGTGCTGTGGGGTGCTTAGTCCTGCCCAGGCCCCGTGTGAGTGCTGTGGGGTACTTAGTCCTGCCCAGGCCCCGTGTGAGTGCTGTGGGGTGCTTAGTCCTGCCCAGGCCCCGTGTGAGTGCTGTGGGGTACTTAGTCCTGCCCAGGCCCCGTGTGAGTGCTGTGGGGTACTTAGTCCTGCCCAGGCCCCGTGTGAGTGCTGTGGGGTGCTTAGTCCTGCCCAGGCCCCGTGTGAGTGCTGTGGGGTACTTAGTCCTGCCCAGGCCCCGTGTGAGTGCTGTGGGGTACTTAGTCCTGCCCAGGCCCCGTGTGAGTGCTGTGGGTGCAGTACTTAGTCCTGCCCAGGCCCCGTGTGAGTGCTCTGGGATGCTTAGTCCCACCCAGGCCCCGTGTGAGTGCTCTGGGGTGCTTAGTCCCACCCAGGCCCGTGTGAGTGCTCTGGGGTGCTTAGTCCTGCCCGAGTCTTGCTCTCGTGAGTGTGAGGAGCACCCCCACAGCAGGAGGACAGACTCAGGTCTTCGCATGGTCTCTGAGGGGGTCTTGGTGTGTCCACCTTGAGAAGGAAGTCCTGTCCCAGGCAGCGGGTGGAGGGGCCTGGGAGGCCGCTTGCTGTGAGTGCTGCTTCTCACCCAGGTAAACTGAGTCGAAAGCAGAGGGCTCTCCCGCTGCCTCTGCACTGTGTGCAGGCGAGGCCTGCCCCTGGCAGAGGCAGGCGCTGCTCCAGGTGGACGGGAACACCGCTTCAGGAGCGCACCCTCACCCACGATGGCCTTGGCCCCTGTGCTCGCAGCCAGCTTTGATGAACCAGTGTGTGGCAGGCTGGGGAGGCTCCAGGGAAGCAAGGAACTTGGGCGGTGGGTAGGCCTGTAAAGCAACCACGGGGAGCCACAGCAGGGCTGTCGTCAGGGGTACTTAAGATGCAAGAATGAATAATCAGCGTTTGGCTTACACACACAGAGGAGGAATGTGAGTGTGGACCGGGTGTCTGGTGCTGCACGGGGCTGCTTGGGATTCTGACCTTGTGGTCCCAGCGCGGCCTTGTTAGAGACGCGGGAGAGCTCGGCGTCGAGCGGGCGCCGGTTGAGTGACCGGATGAGCCTCCGCCGTGCAGGCGTGTGTGAGCAGGCGGGCACGCAGGGTGTCCAGTGTGGGCCAGTGTGTAGTGGAGGAGTGATTTTAGAGCAGTGGAGACACTGAGGATGTGAGAGCCCAAACTTGATAATCAACTCTTCTCTTTCAACAGCAACGAAAAATCTGTCTGACGCATGCAAACCACTGAAGAAGCGGAGCCGGGCCTCTGCAGCAGCGTCTTCAGCTCTTGGGTTTAGCAAAAGTTCGTCTCCTTCTGCATCCTTAACTGAGAATGAGGTAAAATAATCATAATAATGATAGCCATGGCATTCCACAGGCCATGGAGTAGCCAAGTTGTGGTGTGAGTAACGGCCCGACAGTAACGTCTCCTTACACTGGTGTCCGTCAGCGTAGCAGTGCTGGGTCTACTGCCCGTCTGCCGCCGAGGAACTGAGAGCAGTACGCTGGCAGGTGACTGGGCCATGCCAGCCTGCAAGTGCACAGTGTGTGTAAGTGTGTGCAGCCTGCTTCTTGTAGAGCTCTGTCCTGGAGTGTGTCTGGCCCAGCCCTCCCACCGTCCTGCTCAGCGGAAGCCTGAGGCTGGCCGCGGCTGGCTGCGATGCCCTGGGACGGCAGGGGCCGGGGCACGCACACCTGGCTCCCGTGCTCCTGGGCCGAGGCTTGGCAGGAGCCAGCTGGTCCTTGGTCCTCCAGTAGTGAGTGGCTTTGGACCCACCCAGGTTTTGGGGCCTTTAAATTCTGGCACATTCTTTGTTGAGGTGAATTAGCGCTACCATCGCAGCACGTCCCCTGTCTTCTGGAATGTCTGTGGCAACAACTTGAGAGCTAGGCAGGCCCGCCAGCCGCCCCTGGCACCCGGGAGGCACTGCGGGCAGGTCCTTGCCGAGAACAAAGCGGCAGGACGCATGCTGGCTTCCTGACTATAGGGACCGCCTGATGAAGTTGATATCCAAGTTTTGATTTCTTTGTTCCCTGTGATTCTATTTTCCTCACTGTAGAAGTGAATCCTATTTTTCTATTCATGAGCTGGCGATAACTTTGGGCTGTTTTTTGTTTTTTGCTTTTTTTTTTTTTTTGACTAGAGAAGTGAGGCAGGGATGGCTGGCCCCTTCCTGCACTGGGCTGGAGTGTGCCTGGGCTTCTCGACCCGTGGTCCCCCGCGGACTGAGGTGCCTCCCTCATATCTTTCTGCACTCAGAGGTGGGACCTGGGCTGTCAGCGAGGCACCTGGAGAGCTCTGTGGCCTGGGCTGTGCTCCTTGGCCCCGGTGTCAGCCCAGCCCATCCTCCAAGGGACTTGGGTCCCCAGCTGTGGGCAGGGGCTGGGGCACCTGCTGGCCTGGGGCATGTCCATGATGAGGCTGTACAGTTGGACATGGAGTTCCTCAGGGAGTCCCCAGGAGCCTCCTGGACAGAGAGCGTCTTCCTTCCCCCTGTAAATTGAGGCAGTTACCCTAGAAGAGCAGACAAGGTGGTCTGTAACTCCAGTACTAAGAATAGGGTCCTGGAGGCCTTTTCACTTCACTTGGCGGTTTTATTTGGAAAAGTTTTTGATGAATTTTTCCTACATCCTGTGTTGGTTCATGTATCCAGCTGAGGTTTCACTTGACGCCATCGAGATGCAAAGGAGAACGCGGGCTGCTCAAGGCCTGTGTGTTCTCTGACCGTGACGGCTTGGAGGAGCCGGCCAGCGGCGTGGTGTCGGAGACCTCTGTGCTGGCCCGGAGCCTCGGGGAGGAGTGTGGCGGAGACTGCTCTAGCCCCTCAGAGCCCGAGCGTTGGCTGGCATCTCGTGAAATGCATTTATATTACGTATTAAACCCGTTCTAGCCACACGCCGTGTACCTTTGCAAGATGACGCCTAGACCCCACAGTGGGTGTCCGTGCTCCCTAACAGACCTGGTGTCAGGGCCAAGTGCGCTGGGCAGCCTGGGGCCGCTGGGCCTGGCTCGCACCCACGGGCGGTGGCCGTGGGCTGCCGCTGGGGGCCCAGACCGGCTCCTTGTTGGGGCCACCCTGTGCATGTCTCACTCCTTCCTTTCATCACACGTGATTGGAATAAGGGGTTTTCATAAAGTTTCTATTTCAAGACCCTTTAGGCCATCTTGTAGTTTAAATTCTTGATGAAAAATGTGTATGTGATAAATAAAATTTCTATTGAAACACGTATGCCACGTGCTGCTACGTCACTGGAAAGCAGACTGCATGACGAGGCCGTGAGGGGTCAATGTGATGTGTTTGTAACTTCATTTCTTATTCCCTTAGTAGAGCAAATTCTTATTTTTCTCGCCTTCACTGGTAACAGCTTTTATGGGAGCCCACACCAGCCAAGTTGGACTTGAACTCAGCTGCCCTGTGCTGCACTTAACAGGCTGTGGCATTGCAAGATGTCCGCGGCAGGCCGTGTCTCGTCGCGCACACTCAGTGGCATTCTGTCACAGTCATGTTATGAAGATGTGTGATAATCTGTTTTTACTGGTATTAATAGACACATGCAAGGAAGAAAGCAGATAACAAATTTTAAGACCAAGGTAAGATACCTAATAAGGCCATTTAATCAGTCACATTCATTTCATGATAGAAACACATTCATACGCCAGTGGTCAACGTAGAGTTCAAGTCGGGGAGCTGGTGCCTCCCTCGGGGTGGCCCCGTGGAGGTGGGGGTCCCCTCGGGTTGGGCCTGTCGGCATCTGTGCCATGAAGGACTTGCCAGTTGCTCTCTGCCCCACATAAGAGGCAGGGAGACTTTTGATTCTTTTCCTGAGCAGTTCTGCTAAGGGTTAGAGAGAGTCGGTTTTTAGGTCGAGTACCATTTGTAGGATCCTTGTGAGCCGGTGGCGCCACGTAAGGCGCTCTGCTGTGTCATAGAACTTCAGCCGTCACGTTGGTCCTGCTTCGGGGTGGCCTGGTGCCTGCGTGTTCGCACAGCGAGGACAGCCCCTGTGCCCTCGGCCTCTCGGGCGTCTTAGTGGTGACGAATGTCCCAGCTCAGCCTCACTGCTCACTGTCATGGTGCCCATGCCTGCATCGAACCCCCAGTGTGAGTTAGGCTGTGGCCTGTGCCAGGTGTGCAAGTGCACAGCATGAGGGTGCCAACTTGGGGCTGAGCGCTGAGCTGCCACCCTGGCTCTGCTCTGCTTTCGGAGGGACAGGGCTCCCAGGCCCCAGAGCCATCTGCCTTGCACTGTCAGGACATGAAAGAGCTTGGCTGGATCTTAGGTTCTTTAAAACAAAACAAAAAGATCGCTACTTCGAAAGTTGGGAAATGGCTCTGGTTTAGCAGGGGGCACTCCCAGTAAAGACCAACTTGAACGGCCTTTGGTGAGAAGCCAGCAGTGTGGGAATTAGAGTGGGTGGCCAGCTGCTAACCGCCCACAGGCAAGCCCGCGGTGCCTGCGCCTGTCCTTAATGGGAGTGACCAGCTGGCATCCAAGGGGTGGCCCAGTCAGTGTCAGGGATGTGGTGAGGCGGGGTGAGGGCTGCACGGCTTTCCTGGTGCCCAGGTGGGCTGAGTGTGTGCTGACAGGAATGTCACGGGCTCCCCATGCTGTAGTGGACTTGCTGGGGACAAGGCCTTGGAGTCCTTGGTGAAGCTGGCAGCGGTCACTGTGGCCTTGAGGCCACTGGACTGCCTGTGGTTGGGATGTGTCCCTCTTAACTGCAGTCTTACAGGGTGGTGCTGTGGCCTCGAGGTGATGAGAAGGGAGAGCTTATCTGAGTCTGAGGTGCCAGCCGTCCTGGCGAGCGGTTGTGCATGTGGTTGGAATCCCCCGAGGGGCCGCTGGGGGAGAGCTGTGGCTGGTTGTGTCCCCTGATGGTGATGTGAGTGGAGCTGAGCGCTCCTCAGGGTACCACGTGGGCCTGTGCAGGCCGCACGTGGGAGTTGTTGTGGCTGGTGGGAGTTCTCGTGGCTGGCGTGCACAACGCCCCGGCTGCAGGGGCCGTGGTGCCTGCGTGTAACGTGATTCACACTGGCGCTGGGGGCTGGGCTGCTGGTCAGAGGCGGCGACAGTGCAGGAGGGCTGCATGGGTGGGGACGTGTCACCAGCTGGAGCGGCGCAGGAAGCAGTGCGTGGGCTCTAGAGTGTCAGTGGCAGCTTCCTGTCTCCCGTCTCCAGGGCAGCGTCCGGAGCTGAGGGGTGTGACATCTGCAGGAGTCTGTCATGGGGTGTCCTGAGGGGCGCCCTTGGTGTGTCTGACTTACCAGTGATGAAGAAGTGCCCTTGGCAGGAGGCCCCCAGAGTCCGGCAGACAGCGCCCTGGGTCCCTGGGCCTCTCTGAGGGCGCAGCTCCCGCCTGCCAGGCAGTGGGGATTGAGCCTGGTGCCCCTGGGCGGGTGGGCTCTCTTGGTCTCCATCTCTGCACGAGTTCTGACGTGCTCGTGTGTGCATTGAGCTTGGGACCAGCGGAAAGTGTCAGCATCTGTCGCTTTCACGCCAGGCCGCCATGGCTGATGACAGCTGCCGGTCTCCGGGATGGCGAGTCTGAGCCAGGCCCGTGCGGAAGGCTAGGCCGATGCTGCAAGTTGGGCTGGCTTGTTTCTGTTTTAGAAAAGCAGACGAACTCCTCTAATAGGTTTTCAAACTTTGGGCCAAAGAAATCAGGTTTTAACTGGGATGGTAGAAATTGCTCTTTGCTCCTGGAGATGGAAGCTGGATGTGAGGAGACGAGGGGTGCGGTGTGTCAACTTTCTGCTGTAGGCTGGCGGGCGTGGGGCGGCCCTGGCGGGGAAGGCTGTGGTGCGGCTGTCAGCAGCCCACCGGACAGCTTGGGTCCACTTGGGTTGCCTTTCTGTCACCTAGGCAAATTGTGTGTGCAACAAGTAGCTGAGATGGGGCAGGAGTCTGCTGGTCACCCGTGCAGGTGGACAGCAGACGGTAGTGAAGTCACAGCCCTTCCCCAGCACAGTGCCCGCAGGACAGTCACTGCTGGGCACGCCGTCAGAGCTGGGAGCTCTCCCTCCGGCCAGGGCAGGCTCTGAGCCGGGGGCAGCAGCTGCGTGGCCACACGGAGCAGACTGGCCCGGCTACGTCCTGGGGACCCCATGGCTCACCCCCTTCCTCAGTGTGCAGGGGCAGCCAGGAGGGTTCTGGCCATTTTAATAAGACTTACTATGAAGTTAGATGGATTAGTTATTTGCAAGTTGTTTAAGTTCCTCTCTGGGACCGCACTGTGACGCTCACCTGGAAGGCCCGAGACGAGTTGGTCTGCCGAGCGCTGTGAAATGCCTGCTGCTTGTCACTGTTCCTTTGCAAAAACATAACCTCAACGCGAAATGATGTTGGTTTATAGAAACATTGTTCAAGGTCTGTGACTGTATTTCAAACTGCTGTAGTGTTCTGCTGTGAGGGGTTTGTCTTGTCCATGTACACAGAGCTGTCGGACCAGCAGGGCGGCCCGCGGTCACGGGTGGGGCGGCTGCCGCCTTGAGTCCCTGAGGGAGGAGCTGACTTGCACTAGATGGTTGGGGACGTGTGGGAAAAGGCCTGCGTTCCTGCCCCTGGGGGAGGCAAACAGCCCACTCGGGTATGTCGCATCCCGAGCGGAAAGGACGCAGTGACCTCGACAGGCTGTGCCCTTCCCCACGGGGCGTCCCTGTGCGCGCGAAGGCAGAGCTGCAGCTGGAGGGCAGGGCGCACCTGCTCGTCCTGGGGAGCTGCTGAGCGGGTGCCACGGGGCCCTCCCGGCTGGCCAGCTGGGGTCCCCGTGGTCCCTGGGCGTGCGGTGCCTCGAGACCTGTGCCATGGACTGTGCTATTGTAAGGTCTGTGTTGGACCGTGGACCCCAGCCAGGAACCGAGGCTCCTGTGTGTTGCCAAAGTTCTATTTCCATTCGAAATATGTACCGGTGTCGATTTCCTCGAAACAGACTGTTAACTTAGGAGATGTCTCCAAGCGGAAACGTGCTCACTTTTCTGTAAATCTGAAATAAAAGGTGCTGTTCCTCCCTCGGACCCAGGCCTGGTTTGTGTTTCTGTCTTTCTCTCCATCAAACTTTTGTGGGGTTTTTTTTGTTGTTTGTTTGTTTGTTTGTTTGTTTTCACTGTGGAATGTCCCAGCCAGGCAGAGGGGCCTGTGTGGAAGGCGCCTCCTGGCCGGCAGGTCCTCCGGCAGCCGGACGAGGGAGGGACGAGGGGGCCTGCAGCGGCCAGGCCCTGGGCTTCCTCCAGCCTCCCTCAGGGCTCAGTGCCCCTGCAGCCCGTCACCCCGTCTGCCGAGCGAGCTCTGGTTGGCGTTTGAAATCGGAGCCTTTCGGGGGGCTGCTGACAAACAGAGAGGGGAGTTGGTCACGGGACAGACCCAGAATGTGACTCTGTAATTTATTTATGTTCATGTTCCCGGATGAGGTGGAGGAGCTCGGGTCATAGGCTGCCGTGGGCTCCGTGTCCCCGTTAGCCATGTCCGGTGAGGTCCCGTGCCCCCTGCAGCCGCCCGCCAGCCAGCACCCACGTCGCCCTGCGAGGCGGCCCGCCGGATGCCGAGTTGAGGTCGGCAGACACTGCTGGCTTTTTGCTTGTTCTCCCGCCACCCTTCTCACTAGTTCAGTCAGCTAACTGCGAGCAGCGCATCGATAGGGCCGGAGGCCTGGTGGCGTGTAGTGGTGGTTTGATTTTGTGTTTTACTGTGGCCCTGTGCCAAGGCTCGGCTTTGAGCTGCCGGGCACCAGCCGGCCATGACCAGGAGGTACCAGGTGCTTGGGCCTAGGCCCGTGTCGGGCGTTCACGTAAGACGCACCGTCTGCCAACACCCAAAGCAGCTACAAGTTTCCACGTGCCCCACATGGTGAACGTGTGCTGCTGTTGCGGGGGGAGGTCTGGGCGAGGGCCACGCGGTGCACCGATGTCACCGCTGCTGCCGAGCATTTGGTCGGGTGTGGCACCAGCATGGTGGGCAGGCTCGCCTGGCTCTCCTGACGGGGAGGAGTGAGTGAGCTGCGACGTTGGGGGGACACAGGGACACGACAGGAGGCTGCAGGCGTCAGGCGGTCAGCACGCTAGCGTAGGACGCCCTCCTGAAGAGCCCGCTGTCCACTCCTGGCCGCCTCACGAAGCCCTGGTGCCTTTCACAAGGGCTTGGGCGTTAGCACGTGTGTCTTAGGCTAGCCGGCTCTGGGCGCTGCGGAAGGAAGGCCTGGCTCCAGAGCCGTCCCTGCCCCGCCGAACGAGGCATGTTCCCTCTGTAAGGAGTGTGCTTGTCCCTGCGGACACTGGATACCAGAGGCAGACATCCACCTGCAGGCTCCCACACGCGCAGCCGACCATCGTCTCCCAGCCGGGCTGGCGGCGGATGTGCCGCTGGGCACCCCCGTGGCACTGAGGTGTGGGTGGGGGCCGGGTCTGGAGGCCGCGCCTGCCTGTCATTGTCCATGAGTCCTGAGCTGTGCCCACCTCCTTCGCCTCCAGGTGTCGGACGGCCCAGGAGACGAGCCCCCGGAGTCGCCCTACGAGAGCGCGGATGAGACCCAGACAGAGGCGTCGATCTCGTCGAAAAGGTCAGAGCGTGGAGTGACCGCCAAGAAGGAACACGTGTGTCAGGTGAGGCTGTGCTGCACCCCGTCCCCGGCTCTGCACGCAGCAGCCAGCCCGCAGAGTGCGCACGGAGCGCTGGCCTTGGGGGCACTGCTGAGTGGACGTTGAGGGTTCCTTGGGCCGACCGCAGCTCTGTGCTGTGGGCTGACGCGATGACCTGAGCTAGGGCCCTGTGGCTCAGCCGCGGCCCACCCCTAACTCCCAGGTGGAGTTGGAGTTTCCCAGTGGGGCTGTTGAGGTGGGACGGGTGCTCGCCAGTCCTGTGCCCAGCCACAGCCCTGCTACAACAGTCATTTCTGACGGGAAGCTGCTGTGTGCTGCTTGTTCAGACTAATGGGAAACACACTGAGGCCCCACAGGCCCATCTTCCTGTGTGCCCCGACCCGTGCCCCTGTGTGTCCCACTGCCCCATGCCATGCCCCTGTGTGTCCCACTGCCCCGACCCGTGCCCCTGTGTGTCCCACTGCCCCGTCCCATGCCCCTGTGTGTCCCACTGCCCCGACCCGTGCCCCTGTGTGTCCCACTGCCCCGTCCTGTGCCCCTGTGTGTCCCACTGCCCCGACCCGTGCCCCTGTGTGTCCCACTGCCCCGTCCTGTGCCCCTGTGTGTCCCACTGCCCCGTCCTGTGCCCCTGTATGTCCCACTGCCCCATCCTATGCCCCTCTGTCCCACTGCCCCGTCCTGTGCCCCTGTGTGTCCCACTGCCCCAACCCGTGCCCCTGTGTGTCCCACTGCCCCGTCCTGTGCCCCTGTGTGTCCCACTGCCCCGTCCTATGCCCCTCTGTCCCACTGCCCCGTCCTGTGCCCCTCTGTCCCACTGCCCCGTCCTGTGCCCCTGTGTGTCCCACTGCCCCGTCCTGTGCCCCTCTGTCCCACTGCCCCGTCCTGTGCCCCTCTGTCCCACTGCCCCGTCCTGTGCCCCTGTGTGTCCCACTGCCCCGTCCTGTGCCCCTCTGTCCTACTGCCCCGTCCTGTGCCCCTCTGTCCCACTGCCCCGACCTGTGCCCCTGTGTGTCCCACTGCCCTATGCCATGCCGCTGTGTGTCCCACTGCCCCGTCCCGTGCCCCTCTGTCCCACTGCCCTGTCCTGTGCCCCTGTGTGTCCCACTGCCCTGTCCTGTGCCCCTGTGTGTCCCACTGCCCCGTCCTGTGCCCCTGTATGTCCCACTGCCCCGTCCTATGCCCCTCTGTCCCACTGCCCCGTCCTGTGCCCCTCTGTCCCACTGCCCCGACCTGTGCCCCTCTGTCCCACTGCCCCGTCCCGTGCCCCTCTGTCCCACTGCCCTGTCCTGTGCCCCTGTGTGTCCCACTGCCCTGTCCTGTGCCCCTGTGTGTCCCACTGCCCCGTCCCGTGCCCCTGTGTGTCCCACTGCCCCGTCCCGTGCCCCTGTGTGTCCCACTGCCCCGTCCCGTGCCCCTCTGTCCCACTGCCCCGACCTGTGCCCCTGTGTGTCCCACTGCCCCGACCCGTGCCCCTGTGTGTCCCACTGCCCCGACCCGTGCCCCTGTGTGTCCCACTGCCCCTACCCGTGCCCCTGTGTGTCCCACTGCCCCGTCCTGTGCCCCTCTGTCCCACTGCCCCGTCCTGTGCCCCTGTGTGTCCCACTGCCCCGTCCTGTGCCCCTGTGTGTCCCACTGCCCCGTCCTGTGCCCCTCTGTCCCACTGCCCCGACCTGTGCCCCTGTGTGTCCCACTGCCCTATGCCATGCCCCTGTGTGTCCCACTGCCCCGTCCCGTGCCCCTCTGTCCCACTGCCCTGTCCTGTGCCCCTGTGTGTCCCACTGCCCTGTCCTGTGCCCCTGTGTGTCCCACTGCCCCGACCCATGCCCCTCTGTCCCACTGCCCCGTCCTGTGCCCCTCTGTCCTACTGCCCCGTCCTGTGCCCCTGTGTGTCCCACTGCCCCGTCCTGTGCCCTGTGTGTCCCACTGCCTCATGCCATGCGGGACACTAACAGCCAGGGTAAGTGGTGGTGCTTCTGCGGGGCTCACAACGCCCCTCTGTCTGCAGCTGTGTGAGAAGACGGGCAGCCTGCTGCTGTGTGAAGGCCCCTGCTGTGGAGCATTCCACCTGGCCTGCCTCGGCCTCTCTGGGCGGCCCGAGGGGAGGTTCACCTGCCGTGAGTGCACCTCAGGTGAGTGCGCATGCTTCTGGCCGGCCGGGCTCCCCGCACTGATGCTGCTGTGCCAGGGACTGTGCCAGGGACTGTCCCACGTGCAGCGTGTGACCCTAAAGCAGGCACACAGGGGTCCTGCCCCTCTACTGCGGGGCAGCCGGAGACAAGGATCAGAGCCTGGCAGTTCCGGGCCATCAGGTTGCTCGCACTGGGGTCCCCTGACGTGGGAGGGTCTTTGTGAAGACTCAGAACTTTGAGCTGAGAGAGGGTGGGGAGTCGGGCCTCTAGGGTGCTGCCACACTCACCGGGCTTCGTGGGGCGCACAGTTGTCCAGTGGCCAGGCCTCTAGGGTCTCCTGGGTCAGGTCAGCCAAGGGCCTGGGACCCGCGTGAGTGTGTAAAGGCCTGGAACGGCAGCACTGCTGACCTGCACCGAGTCCTGCCCCGGGCAGCGTGGGCTGTGGGGGCGCAGTGTCAGCGGGAGCCGGGGCGACTACAGCGAGCTCTCCCACGGCTGGGCCTGGGTGGGGGCGTGTCGGTCACGTGGGCCTGGCAGCCTCGTGCCTGACCTCGCGTCTCCCCCACCTGTCTGTCAGGGATCCACTCGTGTTTCGTGTGTAAGGAGAGCAAGCTGGAGGTGAAGCGCTGCGTGGTGACGCAGTGCGGAAAGTTCTACCACGAAGCGTGTGTGAGGAAGTACCCGCTGACGGTGTTTGAGAGCCGGGGCTTCCGCTGCCCGCTGCACAGCTGTGTGAGCTGCCACGCCTCCAACCCCGCCAGCCCCCGGCCCTGGAAAGGTACCGCCCCCTTCCCTGGCCTGGCAGGAGAGTTGAGTTGGGGTGTTCGACAGACGCGCCCCAGTCCCTTTTTTCACACTACATCGAACCTGAAGGTTGGCTGGTTTTAAGGGAGGAACACCCCCTGAGCCTGATGGACTGTGTCCACTTCAATGGCTGTTTACGTGAGGACCGAGTTAGACCAAGTGTGCTGTCCGCACTGTAGGATGGGGCGTCTGCGGGCTGGTGGGTCCTCCGGCACAGCGGGCAGTGTCCGTGGGGGGTCTGGGGGTCGTGCTCCTGGCACCTGCCACCTCCACCCACCCAGCCCCAGCACCGTCCGGCTGAGGAGCGCTGGTCGGCCTTGGGACCGCCCGGTCCGCCCTGGTCCGTCCTCTGCCCTCGTTCAGCGTCGCGGTCGGCGTGACTGCTGGAGCTCAGCGGCCGCGGTGTGGACATGCCTCTCCCGGCAGGTAAAATGATGCGCTGTGTGCGCTGCCCCGTGGCCTTCCACAGCGGGGACGCCTGCCTGGCGGCAGGGTGCGCGGTCATCGCATCCAACAGCATCGTCTGCACGGCCCACTTCACGGCACGCAAGGGCAAGAGGCACCACGCGCATGTCAACGTGAGCTGGTGCTTCGTGTGCTCCAAAGGTGAGGCCCCGCCCCAGCTGCCCTCCCCGGGGCCCACGCGGGGCCGGTGTCACGAGGAGGGCTGTGTGTCGGGCTGGAGTTGTTTTATCTCCTTATTGGAAGGCAAAGCATCAGAAAGAGACGGGCGGAGTGGTCTTCGTTCCGCAGAGGGCCGCGGCAGGAAGGCTGGCCGGGCTGCAGCCTTGTCTCCAGATGGGTCCTGGCGGTGGGACTGGCACCCCACAGCCGGGGCGCCCGAGCCATGGTGGCACGTTACAACGCCTGTCCCCGTGTTTACAAATCAGCCGTACCATGCCGCCACCCTCTCCGTGCTGTAGGGCTCTAGGGGTGACACTGCGGGGTTCTGTGCTGGGGACAGCTTGCTGCCACCGCTCAGCCCCCCTCCTTGGCAGGCGGGAGCCTCCTGTGCTGCGAGTCGTGCCCGGCCGCCTTCCATCCGGACTGCCTGGGCATCGGCATGCCCGACGGCAGCTGGTTCTGCAGTGACTGCAGGGCCGGCAAGAAGCTGCACTTCGAGGACATCATCTGGGTGAAGCTCGGCAACTACAGGTGTGAGAAGCAGACCCCACCTTTGTCCGTGCGCGGTCACACCTCCCCTTTCACTTTGCAGTACTTACATGTCGCAGTTGTTGTCGCTGTCTGAAGAATCTATGAATCCTGTTTTTAATATTTATAATAGATGGTGGCCGGCAGAAGTTTGCCATCCCAAAAATGTTCCCCCAAATATTCAGAAAATGAAGCACGAGATTGGAGAATTCCCTGTGTTTTTCTTTGGGTCTAAAGATTATTACTGGACGCATCAGGCACGAGTGTTCCCGTACATGGAGGGGGACCGGGGCAGCCGCTACCAGGGGGTCAGAGGGATCGGAAGAGTCTTCAAACACGGTAAGGAGCTCTCCATGGGGCTGGGCACGGGTGCCTTCGCTGGCTTCTGCACGCGGTGCTCAGCTGACCGCGGGTCTGAGCTGGGGGAGGCCTTGACTTGGGCCAGCACAGTGAAGACACAGTAGTTCCAGGCGGCAGTGTCAGGAATTGCAGTTAAGGCAGTGGGGAGATAAATTCGTGGCTGTCAGATGCAGCCATGGAGGGTTCCTGTGAACCTAGAGCTCATGCTGTCCAGGCAACAGACTGGATGCCTTGTGGTACTGGGATGGGCAGGTGGGCAGGGCAAGTGTGAGGAAGAGAGATGGAGTGACCCTGGATGAGCGGTGTTCCTGCTGGGGAGTGTCAAAGGCTGGGGGGCATCTGAGGGTTTCTAGAAGTAGGAAGTGGCCCAACACGCCGGGTGTGTGGACTGGGGAGCCGAGGCGGACCCCAGGGTGCGCCAAGCACTGGCCTGCCTGCTGCAGGGGGCGCCGCCAGCTTCTCTCGGGCGGCGAGTCCCCGGCACCGCGTCTGATGCTTGCTTCGGGGCTCTGCAGGGCTGGGGATTACAGACTGAAACGGTCGGCTTGGGGCACCCCGCAGCTGCTGGCAGGCCGACCCTCTGGTCGGCTGAGGCTCTGGCTGTAGCTCGTTCGGGGTGGCGCTGTTTGTGCACGGCCGTCCGCGGGGCGGCGCTCTGACCTGTGCCTGTTGACCCCAGCACTGCAAGAAGCTGAAGCGCGTTTCCGGGAAGTGAGACTGCAAAGGGAAGCGCGCGAGACGCACGAGAGTGAACGCAAGCCCCCGCCCTACAAGCACATCAAGGTGAGGTGGGGGGGTGTGCGCATGCGCCCCGTCTGTGTCCACGCATGTGTGCAGTGCGGGCCCGCAGCCCTGCGGCAGGACTGCCCGCCAGGTGCCCGGGACTGGAGCTCTGGTTGCTGAAGGGGCGACATGCAGGTCCCTCAGTCAGGCCAGGCTAAGGGATGCCCTGAGGGGTGCCCTGGGCTGTCTGTCACAGACCCCAGATGAACAGTGGGGGACGTTCTGACAGTCCTGCAACCGTTTGGCCCTCCCTCCCGCCCAGGGATGGAGGTGAGAGGCCCTGGGGGAATGCCAGTGTGTCGTTTGCTGAGCGGGATCGGAAGCGGGGCCGCGGGGGCTTGAACCAAGGCCGCAGCCTGGGAAGCTGGTGTTGGGTGCCCAGGCCTCACATTTCTCGGCTCTGCATGAGGGACTGGTGCGCCTGCCGTGCGGAGGCCAGGGATGAGCGGGTGCTGGTACTGGGTGTCCCAGAGGCCTCGGGGCGCAGTGGGGCTGGGCGGGCCAGGCCCCTGTGGGCATGGGCACGGGCACGGGCCTGACGCTGGCACTCTCCGCCAGGTGAACAAGCCTTACGGGAAGGTGCAGATCTACACGGCCGACATCTCCGAGATCCCCAAGTGCAACTGCAGGCCCACGGACGAGAGCCCCTGCGGCCCCGACTCCGAGTGCCTCAACAGGATGCTGATGTTTGAGTGCCACCCGCAGGTGTGCCCCGCAGGCGAGCGCTGCCAGAACCAGTGCTTTACCAAGCGCCAGTACCCCGAGACAAAGATCATTAAGACGGACGGCAAGGGCTGGGGCCTGGTGGCCAAGAGGGACATCCGCAAGGTGCGTGTCGGCCCCCGGCCCCCGCGGGGTCCTGGCTCCTTGCTCATGCACACGTCAGAGAACTGAAGTATTACAATTAAATGTTTGAATGTCACACGAAAAGCATCATTCAACATTTGCGGTCTCCCTGAAGGCCTGTGTGGGATGGTGCTGGCTGCAGTCCTGTGACAGGGGACGGCTTCCCTTGGACACACCCAGTGGGTGGGCTCGGGGTCCGCCAGGACTGCCCAGCTCCGGCCAGCTCAGGGTCATGACCACAACACCTGTGTGCAGTCCGGGGACAAAAAGCGGATGGAGGACTCAGCACCTCCCACGGGGTGGAGTCGGACACTTTGAGCACCCAGGTTGGCACAGCCCAGGTGCCAGCCAAGGCTGAGGGATCTGCCGGGTGGCACGAGGTGGCTGGGAAGCGCACACTCCATGCCATGTTTCTCTGCCACAGGGCGAGGTGCGTTCATCCTGAGTGGTCCCAGGGGAGGCAGGGCTGTCCCCCCCCGGGACAGAGGACCCCTTTCCACGGGAGCCCAGAGCCTCACGGCCCCTCTGCTTCGCAGGGAGAGTTTGTGAACGAGTACGTGGGCGAGCTCATCGACGAGGAGGAGTGCATGGCCAGGATCAAGCACGCGCATGAGAATGACATCAGACACTTCTACATGCTCACCATTGACAAGGTACGGGCGCCCGCGGGCGGCGCACGTGGTGCCCTGTGTGTGTGTTAGGGAAAGGCGTGCGGCACCGCTGGAAGCTGGCTGTGGGAGGCTCGAGCCGTGGCTGGACTCCCGACCTTGACCCAGCTTTGCTCCAGTGTCTACCCTGGGAGGTGCAGGGAGGGCTCGGCAGTGACCCTCGTCCCTGTGGGGGACTTAAAGCAAGTTCTGGCCCGCCCTGCCTGCTGCGGGCACGCGGGGGTGACCCAGCGCATGGACCGTTGGTCTGCCTTTCGGTCTGCATCCCACACTGGTCCTTAGCACAGACGCCGCCTGCAACATTGCAAACCACAAATGATGAACGTTGTGACAGCAGGCCGGGGAGCGGAAGTCTGGCAGCCACTGTTTTCACCAAGCCTGTGAAGAAATGGGAGTGTGTGCCCAGTCTGACCATGACTCGGCAGCGGTTGTGGTACAGTGGGTGGAACTGCACCTGCAGCACTAGCATCCCATCTGGGCACCAGTTCAAGTCCCGGCAGCTCCGCTTCCCACCCAGCTCCCTGCCTGTGGCCTGGGAAAGCAGGGGAGGACGGCCCCAAGCCTTGGGACCTGCACCCGCGGGGGAGACCCGGAAGAGGCTCCTGGCTCCTGGCTTCGGATCGGCTCAGCTCCGGCTGTTGAGGCCATCTGGGGAGTGAACCAGTGGATGAAAGCTCTTTCTCTAACTCTAGTTTTCAAATGAACCTTTTTAAAATGCAGAGCAGCTGGGACTTGAACCGGCACTTGTATGGGATTCTGGTATTGGCCTAACCTGTGGCACGTGGCCAGCCCACCACTCAGCCCTGCTCCGGTACAAAGTCAGCCCTGCAGCCGCCATCCCTCCACACGTCAGCCTGGAGATCCTCCGCAGTGCCCGCAGACTGAGTCGGGAAGTGGGCTGGGAATGATGGGTGAGGGCGAGGCCCCACGCGGACCCCATGGGCGTCTCAGCAGGGACTGGAGCAGAACCGTTCCTGTGAACAGACCTGGCTCCCGTGGACGAAGGCCCACAGGTGTCCCTCCAGGCCCACAGTTGGAACAGTAGGCTACAACCGAGTGGGGGAGGGGGTTCCTTGGCAGAAACCCTCCTGATTTCATGGGAAAGCGCAGCGGCGTGGACGCGCGTGACATGTGGGGCCCAGAGCGGGGTCGCTGCTGTGCCGGGCTGTGCTTGGAGAACTTTGCTGACAATGAAGTACTGGGAACAGACGTTCCCGGGCCAGACCTACGGAGGCCGGTACGTGGGCACGGGGCCATCCGGTTTCGAGTCCCAGGTGTCTCATGCTGTCATGCGTGGATACACGTTGCCTAGACTGGGACTCAGCTGTTCTTCAAACTTGGCATGTGTACAGGCGAGTCCTAAAGACAGTGTGGCCCAGAGCCCGGAAGGGGACCCCAGGCACATGAGCCCTCGGGCGTCCCCGCATCAGGCCTTGCGTGAGCGCTGACACAGGGAAACTCGGCAGAGGGAAGGAGCAGTAGACAGGCCCCCGGGAGATTGCTGGCATCCTGTGCCAGCACGCCTCGTCTGCCTGCGGGGGCCAGGAGGCAGCAGGGGCAGCTCCAGAGTGGGCCCTGCTCTCGCGTGGACACTTCTGGCCCCAAGCGTGGACAGTGGCTAGAAGACTGCTCCAGGCCCTTCAGATGGAGTGAAGATGAGGCCTTGTCCATGCGAAAGGACTCGCACGGGCCTTGCCCCAGGGAGGCACACAGCACAGGTGACGGCCGGACAGCAGGAGGAGCCAGTGTTGGCGGGCACGTGGGAACCGGAACCCGGGAGCACCACTGGATTCACCAGCAGTGGACGACAGTGCGACAGGACCCCCCAAAGTTAAACTGACGACGTCCAGCAAATCCACACTGAAGGACAGAGAGCACCAATTCGAGTTCCGGCTGCTGCACCGCCCGTCCGCTCCCTGGGAAAGCAGCAGAGGGCGGCCCAAGGGCTCGGGCCCTGACTTGCACGGGAGACCCAGAAAAAACAGCTTTGGCCTGGCCCAGCCCTGGCCATCGGAGCCAATTGATGAATGAACTAGTGGATGAAAGATTTTCTCTCAAAAAATATATTTTTTTAACATTTTATGACTTATCTGGGAAGTAGAAAGTGAGTTACACAGATTCTGTCTGCTGCTTCACCCCCCGATGGGCTGGTTCCCCCATGGGCGTGCCCGGGCCGGGCTGTTGCCGGGTCTGAGCACACCTTCGCCGTCACTCTCCAAGTGTGTGCAAATTTGATCCTGGCCACTTACTGCGTTGTCTGTAGATCTGCTCTTGGGGAATTGTTTGATTATAGATGTTTACATTTTACATTTTTTATTTGAAAAGCAAAGAGAGAAAGACTGGCAATAAGATGCCATTTCAGGCACAGCAGTTGGGTTGGACCCGGGGCTCCTGCATGCGTGGTGGGGACCCAGGTGCTGTGCTTAGCACTGCCACCTCCCCGTGTGCAGCTGCAGAGCCAGGCCTGCCCTGGGCCGTGGGCATTTGGCCGCCCCATGCTCCTGTGGGCCAGGGCAGAGTGGGTCTCCCCGGGTCACACGGGCAGTGCAGGGCCTTCTCTGCTGGCGCTCACCGGGGCTCGGTCCTCTCCTTGTGGTCCCGACCTGCCTTCCGTGAGCAAGAGAAGCAGAACTGGTTTGGGGGTGTCCTGTCCGAGTGGATGCAGGACGCCACGGTTCCCAGTGCGACAGAAAGGTGCCTCGCGGGCCTGCCAGGGTGTGTCCCCAAAACTCACCTGTTCAGACCTCCAGAGGCGCAGGAAGACAGGAGGTGCGCCGTGGGCTCCGTGGCAGACGTCTTCATTGCGTTGCGTGGGATGTAGCAGCAGAGTGCCCCAAGTTTGAAAGGCGGAGTAAGGGAGAGAGCCAGCTGCCCTTCTCTTGCAGGACCGTATCATTGATGCCGGCCCCAAGGGGAACTACTCACGGTTCATGAACCACAGCTGCCAGCCCAACTGTGAGACCCTCAAGTGGACGGTCAACGGTGACACCCGCGTGGGCCTGTTTGCTGTATGCGACATTCCTGCAGGTGCAGCCCCTGGGGACGGGCGCCGTGGGAGGCTGCGGGTTAGAGGGCAGGCGCAGTGCGAGGCTGCGGCCTGGTCCAAAGGGCCACGTCCAGTGTGGTGCCCCCTCCCCGCAGGGACAGAGCTGACCTTCAACTATAACCTCGACTGTCTGGGCAACGAAAAGACGGTCTGTCGCTGCGGGGCCTCGAACTGCAGTGGCTTCCTCGGGGACAGGCCCAAGGTAAGGCCTGGCGGCTTGGGGCGGCCACGGGGAGGGAGGCGGCTTGGCGCTGGGCCCTCCCTGACCCTCAGGCACCCCCACCCCGTCTGGGCCCTGAGGCCGCTGCCCTCCCATGCTGTGGAGCCTGGCCCTGGGAGCGCCTTTTGTCAACGTCTCTACTTGCAAGGCGGAGGGAGCAGCTTCCGTCCCCTGGGTCACTCTGCAGATGGCTGCCACGGCCAGGACTGGACCGAGCAGAGGCCGGGAGCTGCAGCCACAGCGAGCAGCAGACGGCAGGCGCTGGGCCCGGCGTGGGCGCTCCCCACAGCGGCCCTCCCGCTGCAGCCCAGGGCACGGCGGGCCTGCTTGCCCCCCAGTGAGCCGACCCCGTTCTTGCAGACATCCGTGCCCCTGTCTGCGGAGGAGAGAGGCAAGAAGACCAAGAAGAAGAGCCGGCGGCGCCGGGCCCGCGGGGAGGGGCGGCGGCAGTCGGAGGACGAGTGCTTCCGCTGCGGCGACGGCGGCCAGCTGGTGCTGTGCGACCGCAAGCAGTGCACCAAGGCCTACCACCTGTCCTGCCTGGGACTGGGCAAGAGGCCCTTTGGTAGGTGCCCGCGCCGGGGCTGGAGCCCTGTGCAGCTGCTCCTGGTCCTCTGTCCGCGGGGCCCAGGTCCGGGCATGGCGGCCGGCTCTAGCTCTGCCAGCCTTGTCCGTAGCAGAGGGTTCTGAGTGGTCACGGGTGATGCCAGGGCAGCCAGCTCCGGCAGGCACAGGTTAGGGTCAGGGATGCCCTGGGCCAGGCCGAGCTCGCCTGGTGGCCGGGTCGCTTTCGAATATGCGTTTGTCAGTCTGTTCTGAGGCTCCTGTGCCACTGTCGCCTGCAGGGAAGTGGGAGTGCCCGTGGCACCACTGTGACGTGTGCGGCAAGCCTTCCACCACCTTCTGCCACCTGTGCCCCAACTCGTTCTGCAAGGAGCACCAGGACAGCGCAGCCTTCAGCGCCGCCCAGGACGGCCGGGCCTACTGCTGCGAGCATGACTTGGGGGCGCCGGGGGGCCCCCACACGGAGAAACCCTTCTCGGAGCCAGGGAAGCCCGCGGGGAGGAGGAGGAGGAGCTGGCGGAGGCTCACAGAAGGCAAGTAGCGCAGCAGCGGCTTGCCCGGTCGGGAGAGGGGGCGCCGGCCGAGGACCCCCCCACCGCTCAGCCGCACGGGAGCTGCTGTGTGAAGGCTGGCCGCACGTAGTGTAGTGTGTGCCGGGAGGAGCCCCGGGGCCGCGCTTCTCTGAAATGTGTCTGTACTAATGTGAACCCCGTGCCCCCGGCTGCCAGCCGGGCCTGGCCGCACGAGCCCCTCACCTGCAGCAGGAGCCCCGGGTGACGGCTTTCCCGCCCCGTTTCTGACCTTCGCTCTCAGTGTATTTTGGCTAAACCTCGTTGACCAGCCATGCCGACTGCCATGCGTGTTCACTGACGCGCCCTGGTGCTCCCGGGGGAGCAGCTGTGCCCCACAGGCCGGCCCGCTGCCCTGCTCCTCCCTCCCCTGGCTCCCTGGGCTCCCCGGGGCTGCCCCGTGCGGTCACCGTGTTGCTGAGGGACACAGGGCAGTGGGCCCATTTCCCAGGCGGGGAAACTGACCAGCAGATAACACTAACTAGATGCCATGTGAGTCACTGGGGAAGCGAGGCCATCCCCCGGGTCTCCCCAGACCCCACGCCCACAGCCACCCCGCGAGCACTGGTGCTCCGCCCAGTCCAGCCATCGAAACTTGAAATTCACACTGGGGCCAATATACTGAACGAGATGTGAGAACTGCCAGTTAGGGAAATAGCATTTACAGTGGGAACTTGTGTTTGGAAAACTGTGTACGAGTATTTTTGTATTAAAACATTTTAAAGGCTTTTCTGCTTCCTTTATTCCACGCGGGCGCCTCAGGACGCGTGGCCCATGGGCTTGTACTTCTTGAAGCGCGTCCACTGGCCCGTGGCGTAGTTCATCTCGAACACCGTGTCCACCAGCATGGTGGTGGTGCCCTGGCCGTCGGCCTTGGGCAGGTCCTCCGTGTGCTCGCTCAGCTTGATCTGGACCACGTCGCCCTGCTCCTGGCACGGGTTCTCTGCAGACGGGGGGTGGGCCGCTGGGTGGGGGCCTGGCCCGGGAGCCCCTCCGCCCCCCGCCCTGCCCCGGCACCCACCTCGGGAGCCCGCCATGAAGCGCAGGATGAGCGCCTTCTCGGGCCGCGTGACCTTGTTGGCCGTCTTGAACATCTCCTGGGCGGCCAGCATCTGCTCATTCTGTGGCAGGGAGAGTGTGGGTGCCCAGGGCGCCCCACCCCCGCTGCTGCCGCCCGCCCGGCGCCCGCCCGCCCCCCGCCTACCGTCAGCAACAGTTTCTTCTTGGGCTGCTGGGCAGGCGGCTGTGGCTGTGCCACCATGGCCACCGTGGGCAGCGGGCCGGCGGCTGGGGGCGTGCTGGGCGTCAGCGGGGACGAGGGGGCTGCGGGGGGCGGCGCCGGCGTGGCGGTGCTGGGGCTCAGGCCGCTGTTGTACAGGGGGGCCCTCTGTTTGAAGGGCGCCGCCAGCGTGGGGCTCGGGGTGCCGGGCTCCTCGGACGGGGGGCCGGCCTGCAGACTGGCTTCCCGGGAGGACGGGGCTGCGACAGAGGGGCCCCCAGGTGAGGGAGGGGGCGGGTGGTGGCAAGGGGTCCCCTGTCCCCCGTCCCAAGGCCGGGTGGCCTGGCCCAGCTCACCCGCAGGGGCCTCGGCGCTGGCCCCGTAGGAAGATGCGGGCACCACGCTGGGGGTGGAGGGCAGGTAGCTGGTGGAGGGCAACGCAGCCTCGCTGCTGCTCAGGGACCCCAGTTTCTGGAAGACAGAGGTGTCGGTCTCCCTGGGCGCCCGGCCAGCAGGGCCTCCCACGCCACCCACGGGCAGAGCTGCCGCCCCCCAGGCTCGCCCCCTGTGGGTGAGGCCGTCACCCCGCCGCGCACCCTCAGCCGCAGCACCCACCTGAGTGGACACCAGGCCGGCCGCGTAGTCCGGGGTGGCGTTCTCCACGACCGTCTCCTCCTTGGCCGGCTTGTCTGCCGCCTCTGCATCTGCTGCCCGGCAAGACACTCCGTGGGCCGGGGCTCTCGCCGCCTCTGCCCACCGCACACGCGGGGTCCCCTCGGCCGCGCCCACCGCACACGCGGGGTCCCCTCGGCCGCGCCCACTACACACCCAGAGTCTTCCTTCGCCGCTTCGCCTCTCGGCCAGCGCCCACCATGTCCAGCTCAGAAATGTCCAACAGCTGCAGGGAGAGAGGCGCGGGGTCACCGGAAGCCCGGCCTGGGCCCTGGGGGCGTCCCGGGGCGGGGGGCCCACCTTCACGCCCCTCTCTTTCCTCAGGGGCGTCCGGGACGGCGGGATCGGGGTGCGGTTCCCGGTGGGGCTGAAGACGCTGGGCGCCGGCGGGCTGCGGAAGGGCGCCTGTTTGGGGATGCCCTTGAGGGGCGCTGCGGGAGCGGGGGCGTCAGCGACGGGGGGCCCCCGCCGACCTGCGACCTGCGCACAGGGAGGCCCAGACCCCCTCCCCCCGGCCGCCCCCTTACTCGTGGTGTCCATTTTGCGCAGCAGCCCCCGGCCCTTGGTGTGGAACGGCACCCCCGCGCTCCGCTTCAGCTGCTGGGCCGTCTCGGTGGCTGCGGGGAGGTGCGTGTGCGTGTGCGTGTGTGGCCCCTGCCAGGGTGGAGGTGCCCGCCAGACGGGGCCGCACTCACCGGCTCCCCCGCACTCACTGCCCTCCCCTCCCCGCACTCACTGCCCCCCCGCACTCACTGCCCTCCCCCCCCCACTCACTGCCCTCCCGCACTCACTGCCCTCCCCTCCCGCACTCACTGCTCCCCCCGCACTCACTGCCGCCCCGCACTCACTGCCCTCCCGCACTCACTGCCCTCCCCCCCCACTCACTGCCCTCACGCACTCACTGCCCTCCCCCCCCACTCACTGCCCTCCCGCACTCACTGCCCTCCCGCACTCACTGCCCCCCCGCACTCACTGCCCTCCCCCCCCACTCACTGCCCTCACGCACTCACTGCCCTCCCCCCCCACTCACTGCTCCCCCCGCACTCACTGCCGCCCCGCACTCACTGCCCTCCCGCACTCACACTTCTGCAGCAGCTCGGCCCGCAGCGTGGCACTCTTGGGCTTGCGCTTCAGCTGGAAGTGCTTCACGGGGGGCGTGAGCGGCCCGGCCAGCGTGGTCAGCGCGTTCTTGTTGAGGTACTGGCACTCGAGCGGGAGCATGGCCGACGCCTCGCACTCGCTCACTGCAGGGGCAGGGGCAGCGGCGTGAGGACAGGACGCCCCCAGAGCACAGGCGCCCCCCGGCCCGCTGCCCCTACCCTTCTCTCGGAGCTCCCCCAGGATGTCCTGCACGTTGGGGCTCTGCTCCTCCAGGTCCAGGTTGAGCGAGCCGGTGTCGGGGAAGGACTTGAGGATGCCGGCAACCATGAGCACCCAGGGGTCCGTGTCCAGCGCCGCCAGCTGGATGATCTCCAGGAGCACGCCCTTCATCTGGGGGCACAGGACACGCGTGACCACCCCGCCACACCCGGCTCACGGGGCTCGTGGGGGCGGGTCACCGGCACGCCCTGAGTGGACACGGGTGTCGCTGCCGCCAGTGCCCGGTGACCGGCTCACGCTCCACAGACACAGGCTGGACGCCTGGGGACCCCGAGGCGAAGCGTGACCGTGTCCCCGGGGCTGCCCTGGTCACCGAGGCGGGGCGAGCTGCAGCAGCCTGGGCTCCGGGCGTCCTCGGCACGACAGCAGCTCGCCAGGCGCAACACAGGGCCACACTCCACAACGCAACAGCCCTGCCCTCCACAAGCTCCACACGAACAGAGGGGTGAGGCAGGCCCGCCGCGGGAGCCCACGCCATGGGAGAGCCCACGCCACGGGAGCCCACGCCACGGGAGCCCACACCACGCCGCTGCAGCCCACGCCACCGGAGCCCACGCCACGCCGCTGCAGCCCACGCCACGGGAGCCCACGCCGCTGCAGCCCATGCCACGGGAGCCCATGCCATGGGAGCCCACACCACGCCGCTGCAGCCCACGCCGCTGCAGCCCACGCCACGGGAGCCCACGCCACGGGAGCCCACACCACGCCGCTGCAGCCCACGCCACGGGAGCCCACACCGTGCCACGGGAGCCCACACCATGCCGCTGCAGCCCACGCCGCTGGAGCCCACGCCGATGCAGCCCACGCCACGGGAGCCCACGCCGCGGGAGCCCACGCCCCAGAGCCCATGCCACGGAGCCCACGCCGCTGTAGCCCACGCCACGGGAGCCCACGCCACGGGAGCCCACACCACGCCGCTGCAGCCCACGCCACAGGAGCCCACACCGTGCCACGGGAGCCCACACCATGCCGCTGCAGCCCACGCCGCTGGAGCCCACGCCGATGCAGCCCACGCCACGGGAGCCCACGCCGCTGCAGCCCACGCCATGGGAGCCCACGCCGCGGGAGCCCACGCCGCTGCAGCCCACGCCATGGGAGCCCACGCCGCGGGAGCCCACGCCACGGAAGCCCACGCCACGGGAGCCCACACCACGGGAGCCCACGCCCCAGAGCCCATGCCACGGAGCCCACGCCGCTGTAGCCCACGCCGCGGAGCCCACGCCGCAGGGCTTCCCCTCAGCCCCTGCACTAGCGGACAGAGCCCCAAACTGCTGCTGCACATGAAACAGTGGCACAGGCTGAGGGAAAGCCGTCCCACAGCAGCCCTGCCAGGGCGAGGCTGGCCCGAGTGCCCAGCCCCTGCGCCCTGGCCCCACGCAGGCCTGGCCTCTGCGGCCGTGGGCGGTGGCAGCTAGACCCAGGGCCTGGTGTCACCCAAGACGAGGCCGCAGCACAGCGACCACGCGTGCTGTCCAACAAAGCCAAGCGGGCACCCTCGGGTCAGCGCACACAGCCGCGGACAGTGAGTGGTGGAGGGGGAGGAGGGAGAACCTTCCCCCTGCTGGGTCACTCCCAGAATGGCCCCAGTGGCCGGGCCAGGCCCAGGAGTCTCCCAAGGCTTTGGGCGTCCTTTGCCAGGGAGCTCGATGGGAAGCGGGGGTACCAATGTTTCTGCAAGTGGTTTAACCTGCTGTGCCCAATGCCAGCCCCAAAAGCAATTCTAGCGCCCGGTGCAGTAGCCTAGTGGCTAAAGTCCTCGCCCTGCATGTGCTGGTGCCGGTTCGTGTCCTGGCTGCTCCACTTCCCATCCAGCTCCCTCCCTGACTGTGGCCTGGGAAAGTAGCGGAGGACGGCCCAAAGCTTTGGCAGACCCGGAAGACGCTCCTGGCTTCGGATCAGCTCAGCTCTGGCTGTTGCAGCCACGTGGGGAGTGAATCATCGGATGGAAGATCTTCCCATCTCTCCTCCTCTCTGTATATCTGACTTTCCAATAAAAATAAATCTTACAAAAAAGCACTTCTAAATCACACGGTCAGTGAAGAAATTCCCACAGAAATTGAAAGAACCGTGCCATGACACAGGAAACACGCTATCAGCTGGAGCCGCGGTTGGAGACCCGTTAGGGGCTGGGAACCAGGTGACATCTGTGCCAAGAAGCTGGGCACATGTACAAGGCAGCAGGCAGAGAATGAGCCCAAAGTCGGCTCTGGGCGAGCCCGGGCAAAGCCCTGCGGGGACGGACCAGGCACCAGGACAGCGGCTGGGCGACTCGGTCCTAGCTCGCGGTGCCTGGCTGGCACCTAAACCACACCCTGAGCCACCAGGTGGCCCCGCGCCCATCCAGGGAGACACAACTGACACCAGGCCACACGGCCATTCCCAGCCATCCCTCCCAACAGCCCACCCACAGTCGGGTCGGCTATGGAAAAGCGCTGGCCCCGGAGCCAGCATGGGTGCCAGGCGCACGGCCGGCCAGCCCGCAGCGCCGCAGGAGGCCCCATGGCAGCTTGTCTGCCAGCTGCGGCTGCCGCAGGCACCCCTCGGCCAGCAGGTCAAAAGCACTCACGATCAGGAGTTGGAGAAATCTTTCAGAGAGACAGGAACATTTTCTAGCCAGGCCAAGAGGCGACAGACCCTCCCTGTGTGGTCAGAAGCCACCCTCTCTGTGTGGAGGGCACCAGCGGGCACCGACACCAGGGACGGTCACGGAGAGGAGCGGCCAGAGGGCAAAGCTGCTGCCAGTATGGGCGCCACGTCCGCTCCCTGCCAACGTGCCTGGGAGAGCAGCAGAGGACGGGCCAAGTGTCCAGGAAGAGACTGGGAAGGGGCTCGGGGCTCCTGGCTCCTGGCTCGCTCTAGCTCTGGTCACGGTGAGCGGCAAAGCGGGAGATCTTCCTCTAACTCCACCTTTCACAAGTGCCACACATACACGACTAGAACCTGCTGTGCCCTTGGTGCTTTCAGCGGCAGCAGCAGCCTCCAGCTGTGCGGTGGGCACGGGGCCAGCAACTGCAGGCCTCTGCGGCCTAACACTAACGTACAGAACACACAACCGACCGGGGGACTGCAGACTGAAGTGGGGGGTAACCGGGCCGGACCCCGCACTGGCTGGCACACGTAGCAGTCAGCTCTGGGGTCACCTCTGCTCAAGCTGCTTTGGGCTCCCCTCACCCCAAATGGACCGCTGCACTCAGAATGCCAACCACAGTGACAATCACAGGAGCTGTGCGCTGACCGTGGGGTACATGGGTCACAACTGGGCCTGCTCGGGTGCTGGAGCCTGTGCGGTGGACGGCACGCCCAGAAGCACATCGGGACATGACAGCCAGTTCATCGAGGCCTGCAGAGGACGTCCAGGACCACGGAGGGCAGGACAAACTGCACAGCTCTCCCGGTGAAGTTTTGACAGCAAGTATCTGGGGCAGCAGAGACCCTAAGGTGGACTGTGTCAGCCAGTGGGCCTTGGGAGGACTTCCCCAAGCTTGGAACAACAAAATCAACACCTCAGAACTACCGAACCTGCTTGGGCAGTGCCCTCAGAACAGGCTCCACACTGGGGACCCTGGGATGACCGTAAGTGGCCGTCCCCCACCCCTGGGTGCTGCCGTGGTTAGGCTGCTGGGAGTGGTCCTCTCCCCTGCTCTCCTCTTCCCCAGATACAGGGAGAAAAGGAGATTGGAGGCAGCTGTCTCATCCACGCTTCCCTATTCCTCGACCCTCCCCACCCTAATTGGTGGTCCACATGGCCATGCATCCTTCTCAACTATAGAAACATCATCCAAAATAAAGTAAATTATTATTAAGAAAAAAAAAGTTCCTGGGCCTGTGGGCTTGCGCGGTGGCTGTGGCACAGCGGGTTAACCCCATCTGAATCTGAGGCATCCCGGCCGCTCCACTTCCCATCCAGCTCCCTGCCCGTGGCCTGGGAAGGCAGTGGAGGCCGGGGGCCTCGGGACCCTGCACCCGTGGGAGACCCGGAGGAGCTCCTGGCTTGGAGACCTGGCAGCGCAGTGGAGCTTAAACCACCCAAACGCCTTTTTCTCTCCGCAACTAATCTTTCAGTACACGTGGAAGACTTTCCAAAGTGGCTGGTGTTAAGCAGCATCCCACATGGACACGGGATCAACTCCCAGCTGCTCCACTTCCAGCTCCCTGTGGCCACCTGGGAGTGACCAGTGCACGCGAGTCCGCTGCTTCTCGAGGACCAAGGGGCCCCCGTTCCCCCAGGCCCGTTCCCCCAGGACCCCCGTCCCACCAGGCCCGTTCCCCAGGACCCCCGTTCCTCTCAGCCCCCAGGCCCGTTCCCCCAGGACCCCCGTCCCCTCAGCCCCCTGTCCCCCAGGACCCCCGTCCCCTCAGCCCCCTGTCCCCCAGGACCCCCGTCCCCTCAGCCCCCGGCCCGTCCGCCCGTCCCCCCCCCCGTCCCCTCAGCCCCCTGTCCCCCAGGACCCCCGTCCCCTCAGCCCCCTGTCCCCCAGGACCCCCGTCCCCTCAGCCCCCGGCCCGTCCGCCCGTCCCCCCCCCGTGCCCTCAGCCCCCGGCCCGTCCGCCCGTCCCCCCGGTCCCCTGTCCCCCCGTCCCCCACAGGCTCCAGGGGAGAGCCCGGCGCCCGCCTCACCTCGTCCACGGTGCGGCGCGGGAGGTGTAAGGTCCCCAGCAGCAGCTTCAGCTTCACGGCCGACGAGAGGCCGTGGAAGCACAGGCGGATGTTGTCGATGACGGCGGTCGTGAGCAGGGACGCGATGCTGGGCGGCGCCCACAGCTCGTCCGTGGCCCCCAGCTTGTTGTGCAGCCACAGGCCCGTGTCGCTCTCCCGCATCGACGCCATCTTGGGGGAGCGCGCCGGCAAATGACGCGGACACCTGCGCGCCCCCGGCGAGGACCCCGACATGGCGTCGCCCGCCGCCCGCGCGGGTCCGTACGGCAGCATGGCGGCGCCCTACGGCAGCACGGCGGCGACGGGAGATGACGTTCAGCGGGCGGCTGCTCAGTGCGCCTTTGAGGAATAATACGGCATCCGTAGGGGTTGCGGCATTCTGCGGCGAACGAACAAAAACCCGGGGAGATAAATAGACAAAAGCCGTGGTCTGGCGAGGCGCAGGAGGGTCTTGCGTGGCCGGCCTGCTCCGCCATGGCAGGGCGCCAGCCGCATCCGCGTGTCCGCTCTGCTCAGCGGCCTGCTGGGCCCCGGGGTCAGGAGGGCGGCAAGAGTTCTGATTGGAAGGCTGCCTCGCTGTCCCGGCGGCCACCGGGGCGGAGCTGAGCCGGGTGGAAGCCAGGAGCTTCTTGCGGGTCTCCCAGGCCAGAAGCAGGGAGCTGCGTGGAAGTGGAGCAGCCGGGATGCGAACCTGCGACCCGGCGCTCAAGTGGCATCCCAGTGCAGCACACGGAGGATTCGCCCTCTGCACCACAGCGCTGGCCCCTGTGTGGGGAGGAGTGCCCTGATAGGCCAGATCTGGCCTTGTGGTCTAGGTTTTGTTAACTTCTTGCCTTTTACTTAAAAAGCATTTTAAGCACAGACACCCACAGGGCATGAACAAGCCATTAAGTTTATTTGGAAGGTGAGGAACAGAGACTAGCCATATAACATAAAGTAAAAGGGAGAGATTGATACATTCAGTCCTAAGGGGAGAAAGAGAGAGAGAAGCCCAACCCAGAAGCTGAGCCCAAAGTGCCGACCGTGTCTGCAACCCAGTGCCCAGGCAGGGGAGTGTGGCTTCCAGACTGGTGACCCCAAACTCACTGCCTGCCTAGACTGTGGTCAACTGAGACCATGATGGACACTGCAGAGTGGATGCTGGGGGCTCCAGGAGCCTGTGCCCTGGCATTGAGACCACGGAGCCTGTGCCCTGGCATTGAGACCACGGAGCCTGTGCCCTGGCATTGAGACCATGATGGACGCTGCGGAGCAGATGCTGGGGGCTCCAGGAGCCTGTGCCCTGGCATTGAGACCACGGAGCCTGTGCCCTGGCATTGAGACCATGATGGACGCTGCGGAACAGATGCTGGGGGCTCCAGGAGCCTGTGCCCTGGCATTGAGACCACGGAGCCTGTGCCCTGGCATTGAGACCATGATGGACGCTGCGGAACAGATGCTGGGATCTCGCGGAGCCTGTGCCCCTGGTGTCAGCCTTAACACGGCTGTGCTGCTGGGTGGAGGTGGCCACCAAGGGTCAGGGTTCAGGATGACACCCGACACCTGTCCCCCAAGGAGAGGAGGAACCATCAGCAGGAGAGACAGACACTTCTGAAGAAAGTATTCCAGGGCATGGCTGAGGTCGGTGGCTCGGGCAAGGGGACCCAGCTCCCCTAAACGCACCAGGGCCATCCAGACGAGGGGGCCATCCAGACGATGGCCTCCTGGCCTCTGGCTTTCCAGGGCTCAGCCCTGACCTAGCATGGCCGTGGTGGAGTGAGCCTGCAGATGGCCAGCTGTCACTCTGTAACTGCCTTTCAAATAAATATGCACATAAATCTTAAAGATAAATACAATTGATTCTGTCTGCTTTTGCTTGCCCCCTTGCAGGCTGGCCCACCCCTGGACATGAGGTAGGAGGGCAGTATAGCTAAGGATGGAAGACCTCTCTCCAAACCAACCCATCTTTTAACAAGTGGCCCCCAGGAAATGAAGGGAGTTTCCTATCATTATTTTTTTTTTTCAGTTGAGATTCCTTCATTGCAAGCATATACCAAGCATAGAGTCTAGCATCTTATTGTCCAGATAAGTTCAACGGCTTCTTGGGGAGACCTTCTCTGGTCTGAAGATAGAGCCAACAGAGTAAAATCCCAAGCAATTAAAGCTCCAGCATAACATCAGCAACAATATACAATGTTATGGTATTAATTGACATAGTATTGAGTAAAAAATATGTTAAAAATATTGCAAGTTCTTTTTTTTTTAAAGATTTATTTTTATTATTTTTTTATTGGAAAGGCGGATATACAGAGAGGAGAGACAGAGAGGAAGATCTTCCGTCCGATGATTCACTCCCCAAGTGAGCGCAACGGGCCATACTATGCCGATCCGAAGCCAGGAGCCTCTTCCGAGTCTCCCGCGCGGGTGCAGGTTCCCCAAGCTTTGGGCCGTCCTCAACTGCTTTCCCAGGCCACCGGCAGGGAGCTGGAAGGGAAGTGAGGCTGCCGGGATTAGAACCGGCCCCCACATGGGATCCTGGGCGTGCAAGGCGAGGACCTTTAACCACTTGCGCCACCGCGCCGGGCCCCAATATTGCAAGTTCTTAACCACATCCTGTGACTACTCCGTTGACATTTCCACAATTGAGGCACATAGCTGTTATAGGAGGGGCGTGCAGAGAGATCTTCCATACCTTGGTGAGGAGTACTTGCTCTGTGTCCTACCTAGTAAGGTATGTGTGAGTCCACGCTGACCAAACTTTCCTTGTTGTCCTCTGCCTGTCTATTCTAATTTGTGAGTTTGTGTGAGTGTGTTTAGGGGTGGGGGGCTCTGGAGCAACCCTGATGGTCATTGCAGAGAGGGTGGGGACCCAAAGCTGGAACTAAGTGAGGACCAGAGAAAGCTCCTCTCCCTAGTCCCGAAAGAGGTTTACTGTTCTTCTGAATCTGAGGACCACTCAGGGCTCCTGGCTGTTCCGATGACCTTGGATCCTGCGAGGAAGAATTCGGGCTTCTTCCATCCCATGTGGTAGGTCCAAAGCAGGGGATGCCATTTGAATTCTCGGGCTTCAAGGCCCTCCAGCTCCCCGTGGTCTCTTTGGCAGTTGGGATGTAGCCCTTGGTGCCCGCAGTGCCTATCATTGTTTCTTTAAAGGCCGCCAAGCATGAGCTTTCACCGAGCAGTCTGCTTGTAGGAGATACTTGTCTAGTTTTCCACTGATCCCTTAAACGTGCTGCATGTACAGCAGGGAGCCGGACACCCAGCCGTCCTCTGCTGCTCTCCCAGGCCACCAGCAAGGAGCTGGACAGGGAGTGGAGCAGCCGGTACGTGAACTGGCCTCCACAGGGGAGGGCTTGACCCGCAGGGCTGCACTGTATTTCTCAACTCTAGAATTCCTACTTGATCATTTCCCAAGATTTTTATTTTTCTTAAAGATTTTTTTTTTTTAATTGGAAAGGCAGATTTACAGAGAGCAGACAGAGAAAGATCTTCTGCCCACGGATTCACTGTCCAGATAGGCACAACAACCGGAGCTGAGCCGACACGGAGCCAGGAGGCTCTTCCACATCTCCCACGCAGGTGCAGGTCCCAAGGCTTGGGCCATCCTCAACTGCTTTCCCAGGCCACAGGCAGGGAGCTGGATGGGAAGTGGAGCAGCCGGGATTAGAACCCATGCCCGTAGGGGATCCTGATGCATGCAAGGTGAGGACTTGAGCTGCTAGGTTACCACACCAGACCGTTCTATTCCTTTTGTTCCTGTTTATTTTCAAGGGGTGCTCTCTTTCCTGTGGAAAATGTTTTACTTATTTTCATTTTATGTAAAAAATGAGAGAGAGCCTCTCCCATCTGACTCTATGCGCCAGCTGCCCCTGACAGCATGGTCTGGTCATGCCGGAGCCAGGAGCCTCCTTGTCTTGGGCTGCCGCCTGCCAGGGCACATGGGGGCCAGCGCTGGCTTGGGAAGGGGGCATCTAGGATGCCTGCACACCAGACCCTCCCCATGCCCCTCACCAGTGGACTCAGACCTCACCAGCTCCCAGCCTGTGGGGGTTCTCTCTGCTGGGAAGCTGGGGTGCCGGGCTGGCTCTGATGGGGCCACTCATGGGGTGTCTACAGGTACCCTGAGTGTGACCAGGCCCTTCTCAAGGCTGACATCCCTTCTTTTTATAAAATGAAAACAAAAACCGCACGCACTAACAACAAAACCATAATATGAGGCCAGTGTGGTGGCATAGCATACTACTCCTCTACTGCTTGTGGCCTGGGAAAGCAGTGGTGCACGGTCCAGTGCTTGGCCCCACACCCACGCGGGAGACCTGGAGGAAGCTCCTGGCTCCTGGCTTGGGATCAGCTCAGTTCGGCTCTGGTGACCGCTGCGGGAGTGAATCAGCAGAAGGAAGATCTTTCAAATAAAAACAAATAACATCCTGAAAAATCACAAAGCATGTTGTTATCTGAGAGGGAGAGTGACGCAGAGAGGAACAGAGCTCACCGAGTTAGGGTAGCGGGGACAGGGCTGTGGGGTCACCCTGGCAGGCCCCTGGCGTCCAGGTCCCAGCTCAAGGTCCACGCGGCCACTTCTGGCCCTGGCCGCTGTCTCTGCTCCCTGCTGACGGCCCCCACTTGGAACCACGGGGGTGGGGGCCGCTAAATACACAATTTCCAGAAGGAAGCACAACCCACAGGCACTGACCCCCTTCCCTGTAGAGACACCCACCCTTCCTCCCTCCCTCCTGGCCGGGCAGCCTGGCCTTCTCCTGGGACACGCAGCCGGGAACCTGCCACCCGCTCCCTCTCCCAGCCAGATGCCTACGGCTGCGGGGGTACTGGCCCCTTTTCACCCCCAGAGCACGCCACAGGCTGCCTCTACCCACTGCTACCACAGTCAGTGGGCAAACCCAAGCCCGCACACAGTGCCAAGACAACCCCGTGCGGTGCTGCTGCCGCGGGGAAGTTCCTGGACAAGCCGAGCAAGAGCGCTCTCTCCCCCTCTGCCTCCCCCTCTCTCCTCTCTCAGCGCGGAGGCCGGCGGGCGGCATGGACAGGGGAGAGGGCAGCAAGGGCAAGGACGCCCAGCCCGCTGGAGAGACGGCCGGGTCAGGTCGCGGGGCTGGGGAGGCGGTGGCGGCTGCACCCGCAGCGCTGACATCGCGCTGGCATCGCGCTGGCATCGCGGGGTCGCGCGGGGCGAGAGGGCCCCAGGCGTCCTGCAGTGACCGCGGCTCGGCCCTGCAGCTCCCGGGTCGCGGGTGGCCAGGAGCAGCGGCCGCGCGCCGTCCTCACCGCCTCCTCCACGCAGCCCTCGGGGACCCACCGCCGACACCCTGCGGCGCCGGGACCCTCAGCGGCGCTGGCCCTTTAAACCGCGACCCGCAGGACCTCGCGTTTCCATGACGACGCCGTGGGGTGCCAGTGTGGGGGGCGCGCGGGGCGCATGCGCGGGGCGCACACCGTCCTCCCAGTCGCCCGCGCCGCCGGTCGCGGGATTCCCGAAGCGCGGTAAGGCAGGGCGGGCGGGCGCGGGGCGCGGGGCGGGGCGGGGCGCGGTCCGGGGGTGGGAGAGGTGGTCGCGCCCCCGGCCCGGCTTTGGGGGTCCGGCGGGGAGGCTGCGGGCGCTGCCCATCGCTGCCGCTGCTGCAGGGCGGCCCGGGCTCCCTCCGCCGGCCATGGCCTCTCCGCCGCCGCCGCTGCTGCTGCTGCTGCTGCTGGGCCTCGCGCTGCTGGACGCCCGGGCCCGTGCCGAGGCCGCCGCCGGGAGCGCCGTCCCCGCGCAGAGTGAGTGCGGGCCCTCGCCGCGCGCCTTTGTCCCCGCGACCGTCCCTCGGCCGCCCGCGCTGGGTGCGGGGAGGGGGCGTGCCGGGTGCCGCGCCCTCCCCGCCTGAGCCTCGCTGCACTGCAGGCCGCCCGTGCGTGGACTGCCACGCGTTCGAGTTTATGCAGCGCGCCCTGCAGGACCTGCGGAAGACGGCCTACAGCCTGGACGCGCGGGTGAGCCCGCAGCCCGGCCCGCGCCCCTGGGGTCCTCAGGTCGGGGAGGGGCGGGTTGGCAAGCAGGTGCGGCTGGGCTCTCGGGATGCTGGGGGCGGGTCCTGCTGGTCCTTGTCTGGCCGGCCCTGGGGAGGCGGGTTGTTAAGGACCCCCGAGAGCAGGTGTCCGGCGGGACCCCAGCGCGGCGCCTGAGTAAGGGGCCGCTGGTTGCTTTGCAGACAGACTCCCTCCTGCTGCAGGCCGAGCGCCGGGCCCTGTGCGCCTGCTGGCCCGCGGGCCGCTGAGGACGCGCGGCCACTGCTCCTGCGAATAAACACGCGCCAGCACTCTCGTGTCGTGTCTGTCTCTCGGGCCTCAGCCCCGCGTCTGCCCCAGGGTCCCCCTCAGTGAGCCACCCGGTTTGGGGACTATGGGATGTGGACACTGGCGAACTGCCGCAGGTCTAAGTTCCCCCTCCATGCCCCGGCTGCTCCACACTGGAGTGGGGTTGGCCTTGGCGACTCCCAGTGGGTAGGGTGGGACACACGAGGCTGGCAGGGGCACTGACACCCAGGCTGTGTGTGCAGCCCCTGCAGGATCGCTGCCTCCTGTCAGAGGATTTCAGAACAGCAGGTTCTCAAGTGGTTAGGAGCAAACCCAGGGCTGCGGGAAGTTCAGTTCCTTGGCGCACCTGTGCCAGACAGGGAGGGCTGGGTGGTCCCTGCCCACTCCAGGATGTTGGGCTTCTGGCAGCTGGCCGCTCTGCACTGTTTCCAGCCCCACGGGCACCCTGGCTCCTCAGCTCTGTGGCATGTGTTCCCCAGGGACCCGGCAGGTGCTTGATGCCTCAGCCCACACCATGCCGGGGAGTCCTGAGTGGGTGCTCCGGCCCTGCTCCAACTCCCTGGCATCAGAGCACAGGGATGGAGGGGGTCAGGGGCCAATGCGAGAAGCCTAGCTTGCCCAGATCAGCAAGTCCGGCATGGGGACAGCAGATTCCTTCTCGGAGGGCAGGCCTGGGACTACCAGCCGTTGCTTCAGCTAGATGGCACTCTGGGATCTAGGTCTGTAATAAGGGCTGTGCTCATGACTTGGCAGCTCAGGGTCCCATTACTATAGAAAATGGGGGGCAGGAGACAGCCCATCGCCACCTGCAAATGCCAAGATCCCCTGAGGGCACCGCTTCCTGTCCCAGCTGCTCCACTCCCCCCAGCTCCCTGCCTGTGGACTGGGACGGCCCAATGCCTTGGGACCCTGCACCTAAGTGCAGGGGTGGGGGTGGGCTGGGAGGAAGCTCTTGGCTCCCATTTGGGGAGTGAACTAGCAGATGGAAGATCTCTCTCTCTCCTTTCCAAATCAATCAATAAATATCAGAATGGGGAATACTGGGGAGCCCTATCTTGGGTGGAGGGGGCAGCAAGCCAGGCGGGCAAGGTGTGGAGGGGAGCCCAGAGGCTGGCTCCTGGGGTGCAGCTGCAGGACCGGCTGCTGTCACTGTGCTTGGGATGGGCTTGGGAGCCCTGTGACAGGTGGATTGGTGGGGGGGTGGGGGGAGGGGAGTGCCAGGGAGGACAGGTGTGAGCCCCAGCCCTCCAAGCTTGGCCATGGGAGCAGCCTGCCTTTCAAATACGTAAACCTTGGACAAACACATAAAGGGCACCTAGGGTGGCCCAGTGGTGAGTTGGGCAGGCTTTCCTGGTGGCCCCATTTCCCCGCCCCCATCCCCCACCTGGCACCTGCTGGGGCCTCCTGGACCAGAGCCACTCTCCCATGGGCCCAAGGAGGGGGACACCACGGGCACCCGAAGCCTGGTCAGGCTGCCCCTGGCCCCTGGTCCCTGTCCAGCCTCTTGGAGGCGGTCCACTAAATCTCTTTCAGCCAGCCTGCTTGTGGCCACCCCTGAAGGGAGGGAGCTGGCGTCGGGAACGGGGCTTGCAGCCTCCAGTGACAGCTGCCCAGAGCCTCTTCTGTCCACAGGTGGTGGTCGGCCCCTCTGCTTAGCATCCTTAAGGGGAAGCTGGCTATAAAAAGTCCTGGGCTCGGGGGCTCCTCCCTGCATCTGGGTGTTCTGGCTGAGCCCCACGATGGCCCGAACCCTGGCCCCAGGCCACTATGCAGGTGGAGTTCACACCTGTGGTGGTTCGGGGAATGAGCCCAAGGGGCGGCAGCACTTGGCAGGCTCTGGGGTCAAGGGCAGGGCACAGCTCAGTTGCTCCTGTCTGCACCACAGACCAGGTCTCTCCCCTTTGCTGCACCTCATGTGGGGCTGGAGAGCGTCACTCCCCTCCCCAGCCCCTCTTGGCACACTCATCCTCACCAAGACCTTTTCCTGACTGGACCCCCGGTGTGCTTGGCTGCAAGGGGCGCCATCCACCTGACAGGGAGACTCCAGCCACGGGTCCAGCCGTGGCTCCGCCTGGCTAACCAGCAAGGCAGCGTGGGAACCCCGGCCACTTCCCCACGCGTCTGGGAGATGTGGAGGTGGCAGCCCTGATTGTCCTGCCCTTGACGTGGGCCTTAGTCGGCCTCCTTTTGACCTGCCCCAGAGACTCCCTTTTGCGCCAAGCGGCACCCTCACTCCCTCGTGCAGGCCGCGTTCCCGCCCGTCGGAGGGGGAGACCTCCTGGACCACAGCACCACAGGGTCTAGGGCTTTCGGGCTGGGGTCTTGCCCCAGGTAGTGCGGAGGGAACCCTGCTCCTGGTTGTCCTCAGAGTGTGACTGGCATGCACGAGGGCTGGGTCTGCCATGCCCTGGGGAGTCTACCCCCATACTAACGCCCTCACCCGCCACCTCCCCCCCCCTCCCCTCCGTCCGCGTCTCCTGCGCCCACAGCCCCCCCCCCCCCGCACCTGCACTGAGCCCATGGGGCGCATGCGCCGACCCGCCGGGCTGGGCCCGGGCCGGGAGGGGTCCTGCAAGCCTCGCACCCCGGAGCCGCTGCGGGAATCGGGCCCGAGGCGGAGGAGGGGTGCTGCGCGCGCTGGACGCGGCTCCGGGCTCCAGGGGCATCGGTCCTCGCGGACCGCACCTTCTCCCCCAAGCAGCCTGCGGGGCCCCATCGGCGGGTTCCCTGGGAGCCCTTGGGCCCCCTCGGTGGCCTCCGCTGGGCGCCGCCTTCAGACAAAGGGCGGGAGGCAGAGCTGGAGACGCGGCGGTGACTGCGCTCCTGGCCGCGGCGCGCTGCAGCAGAGGCGGGCCCGGCTCGAGTCGGGCGCCCCTCGGCCGCGCGCAGGGGCAGCATCGCGGGGCGCAAGACACCCGTCACGCGCTCCGGGTCCCGCCCTCCCACGGAGCGCCCTGCGGCTGGGACCCCCAGACTGAGCCCCGCCACCCGCTCCGCAGCGCGCACGCTCCTCCCTTGGGCACTTCCCCGCGGCCCGGCCGCTCCGTCGCGGCCGAAGTGTGCCACCAGGCGGGAGCGGGGGCGGCGTCTGCTCCCACCCGCGAGATCACATGGTGACCCTCGGCAGCCAATGCAGTGGACGCTAGGACCCTGCGGGACCCCGGGCGCCGCGACTGCACCGGCGCCGCTGCATTATAAATACTTCTCCAAAATGCGGCGCAGCTCCCTGCGCGCGCCCCGGCCGCCCGCCGCCTCCGCCCCGCGCCCCTGAGCCTCCGCCGCCGCCACCGCCGCCGCCGCCGCCGCCGCCGCTGCTGCGGGTCCGAGGGCGCCGCGCCCTTGCCCCTGGGCCCGGCTGTGCCCGCCGCGCCTGGCCCGCGTCCCTGCGCTGCGCCGCCCGGCCGGGTGCATGCATTGTGGGCCTCCCGACATGGTCTGCGAGACGAAGATCGTGGCCGCCGAGGACCATGAGGCGCTGCCGGGGGCCAAGAAGGACGCGTTGCTCGCCGGCGCCATGTGGCCCCCGCTGCCCGCCGCTCCGGGGCCGGCCGCCGCGCCCCCGCCGGCTCCGGGGGCCCAGCCCCGCGGCCGGGCCGGGGGTGCGGGACCACCCGAGGGGCGCGGCGTGTGCATCCGCGAGTTCCGCGCCGCCGAGCAGGAGGCTGCGCGCCGCATCTTCTACGACGGCATCCTGGAGCGCATTCCCAACACGGCCTTCCGCGGCCTGCGGCAGCACCCGCGCACACAGCTGCTCTACGCCCTGCTGGCGGGTTAGTGCGTGCGCGGCGCGGGCTGCGGGCCCGCTGCCCCTGCGGACCCCATCTCGGAGCCTGGCTGGGGGGGGCGGCGGGGAGGGGGCGGACACGCACCCGCGCTCCCTCTCGCTCTCTGCGGCGGCGGCCCGGGCTCTCGGCCAAGGCGCGCCGAGCTAGGGCGTGGGAACGAGCGCTGGCCAGGGGCTGCTCGTGCTGCAGAAGCTACGTGCTCCCTGCCCCGGGAGCGTCCCGCCTTGCTGGGGAGGGGGAATGGCGCGGCAGGTAGCGCGCTGCGGAGCCCCGGGGTGTGCGACTATATATAATCCGCGGGCGGGGGAGGCTGCCTGTGCAGTTCTAGCTGCGGGCGCGCCTTCCCAGAGGGGAGGGATGACAGCGGCCCCGCGGGGGGCTGCTCTTCGCGTTCCCGGCGCTGCGCCCCAGGAAAGGCGAACCCCCACTGTACGGACAGGGAGCTGGAGGCGGGGTGGGGGTGGCGGTGCGGGAGGCCCTGCGGCGCTCCCAAGGTCACCCAGCGGAGGCGACTCTCCCCGTGCTGTCCCCGCAGCCCGATGGCCAGGGCCCCTCCGGGTCATGGGGACCTCCCCCATCGCCCTGGTGGCAGCGGCCACTCCTAGTCTTTTTCTCCAGGTCAGAAAGTGAGGGCAGAGCGGAGCTGCGAGGGGCAGTGCGGGGTCGGGGGAAGCGAAGCGGCCCTGTGACTTCTGTCCGGGTTCCCGGCGGGGCACGCAGCTGTCCGCTGGAGCACGTGGGCATAAGCAGTAGAAGCCGCCCCGTGCTCTTGCCTGGGGTAGGGCTGGGGGTCCAGCGGCTCACCCGCGCCCCTCTGGCCCACAGCACTGTGCTTCGCCCTGACCCGCTCGCTGCTGTTGACAAGCCTGCTGCCCGCCGCACTGCTGGCCCTGCGCTACTACTACAGCCGCAAGGTGATCCTGGCCTACCTGGAGTGCGCGCTGCACACGGACATGGCCGACATCGAGCAGTACTACATGAAGCCGCCGGGTGAGTCTGCACTCCCTGCCGCCCCTGGCAGAGGACCTGGACCAGGCCGCGCTGGGGGACCCCTGATCCTACCTGGGTGGGGAGGAAGGGGGCTGGGCCTGGTGCCTGGGTTCCCGGTGGCCTGTGCCCTGTGGTTTCTTCACGCTGTGAGTCCTGGCCTTCCGTGGCTGCTCAAGGGCCTGCGGACTGGACTTGGGGGATGGGTGGTGGTTTAGGACACTGCAGGCAGCCGGCTGTGGTACTCCGCTCTGGCACTGCCAAGCTGTCTGTTCCCGGTCCCCTCCTCCTGCTGAGCTTCAGCCACTTCCTAGGCTGTCCCTCAGGAGTGAGACAGGCAGCCATGGGCCTGCCTAGAGGGACCCTGCCCAGGGCTCTGCCTTCTCTGGGTGTCAGCGATCTTGGGGGTCCTGGCACCGGACCCCTGCTGGAGCTGGTCTGAGTTGTAGGTGTGTCAGGGGTATGGGTCCAGGAGCCCAGGACTTGCAGAGCTAAGGGGGCTCCTCTGGTCCGTGGGCTGGCAGCCACTCCCTGTGGCTACTTCCTTTTCCTGTTGGCCGAGGGTGGGTGGTCAGGGATGGACTCAGGAGTGATCCTGGGTGAGAAAGGACTTCTCTCCCTCTCCCCCTGCCCCACCCTGGGCTGCCAGAGGCACCTGCAGTTGGCCAGGTTTGGTTGGCCCCTTGAGGAGAGTTGCTGGGGGGAAGGGGATGGAGAACCGTCAGATGGACTCGGCCAGGGAGGTGGGAGCAGCCACAGGCGGGCTGTGAGGGCCTTCTCGGGGCGGCTCTGGCCTCTTGTCCCAGGTCTCTGTGTCACCTTCAGCCACCAGAGGTCCATGGACTCTCCTGTGGCCTGTGCCCTGCTGGAGAGGGAGGCTGGGCGTGGGCCACACTGCGGCAGGGGGTAGCTGGGCTGGCAGCTCCTCTTGGCCTGGGGAGGGGTAGGGAGGTGGTGTGGCAGAGCTCCTCTGCCTCAGTTCCCACCAAAGGACCCCTTCTAATCATTGCGTGGGGCCCTGCCTCTTACTGGCACCCAGTGTCCTGGAGCAGGCCCAGCTTGGCTGGAGCCCACACAGTTCTTGATTCCTGGGGACACACTGGCGTTCAGCAGCCATTCTGGCCAGTGGGGCCGGATCTTGGCGAGCAGGCAGGGTGGGCTCTGTGCTCAGGGGGCTGGGTATGGCTGTTTGAGCCTGCACACCTGCATGGTGGCCCCAGCAGGACTGGGAGCTGGACCGTACCCTGGTGTGGGGGCCTGTGCTCACCCTCTGGCCCCGTCCACCCTGAAGGGAGAGAAGCAGTTTCCCTGACATCCCTGGTTGAACATTCCTGACCTACCCGTGTGACCACTGCCTGCAGGCTCCTGCTTCTGGGTGGCTGTGCTGGATGGCAACGTAGTGGGCATCGTGGCTGCGCGGGCGCACGAGGAGGACAACACGGTGGAGTTGCTGCGCATGTCCGTGGACTCGCGCTTCCGTGGCAAGGGCATTGCCAAGGCACTGGGCCGCAAGGTGCTGGAGTTCGCCATGCTACACAACTACTCAGCCGTGGTGTTGGGCACGACGGCCGTCAAGGTGGCTGCCCACAAGCTCTACGAGTCCTTGGGCTTCAGACACATGGGTGCGAATGACCACTACGTGCTACCTGGCATGACCCTCTCGCTGGCCGAGCGCCTCTTCTTCCAGGTCCGCTACCACCGCTACCGCCTGCAGCTGCGGGAGGAGTGACCGCTGCCGCCCGCCCACTGCCCGTCACCCGCCGCCTGGCCGCCCTGTCTGCCTTGCCCGCCTGCCCGCCGCCTGGCGCGGTCCTGCCCACCTTGCCTTTGTGTTGGGGTTCTCTTTGGACATTACGCAGCACCTGGCTGGTTCCTGGGGGTGGGGCCGCCAGGCTGCTGCTCACCTGTGGCACTTTGGCGGGGGGGTGGGTGGTCCGCAGCAGCAACCCCTCACCCTGCACAGGCTGTGGACTGCCCTCCGACTGTTCACCAAGCTGCCCGGCCTGCCTGTTGAGCACGGAGGCTCTGCGACGAAGCCTGGAGTAGCGGCGCCCCGGCACTTGGCCAGGCTCTGGCTCAGCCGGAGGCCCCGGGAGCGTGGCCTGCTGCCCCGCTTTGCCCTGTGCATGCTGAAGATGTGGTCTGGCTGCAGCATGCCGCGTGCCCACAGCGTCCTGCCCCGAATGGATCCCCGAGATCATGGCTGGTGAGCACCCCGCGCCAGCCTGACTGGCCTCCGCGAAGGCCCGCTCTGCAGGGGCCTGGACCACCTGCCCCCACCAGCTCCATTCTGTCTTGCTTTGCTCAGACGTTACCTCACCTCTTTCCTTCTGGCCCTGCCTCCTACCTGGGCTTGGCTGGCTGGTGTCCCACCCAGGCATGGGCCCCATAGCACCCTGTAGCACAGTGGGGGGTGGGGGGACCCGGGACGGGAGACACCTTTCCCTGACACTTGCTCTGTCAGGCGACCCCCACCCTAAGTTCCCAGGACTGCCTGCCCCACTGCATTAGCTTGGGACCGCCACCACGCCATGACCTGGGGCCACAGCTTCTCCCAGCCTGAAGCCAATCACTTTCTACTAAGTTACTTAGACAGAATAGCAGTCTGCATGACACTAACTCTTGGGACAAAATAGGAGCTTGCACCTTCAGACATGTGTGGTGCTAGCGTAGGCCCTGCTCTGCCTGGCTCACCCGGTGGGTGGAGGGTCCCCACAGCTCAGAATCAGAGGGTGGCCCTAGGATAGCCCAGTGTCCTAGCTCAAACGGAGGCTCCAGGAGGCCTGTTCCTGCCCAGGCAGGGTCCAGGGACCCCGGTGGGAGGAGGGGCAGGGCTGTGCACCCAGCTTCTCCCTTCCCAGGATGGGTACAGGCGGAGCCGGGGGGCAGTATGGGGCAGGCTGGCAGCACCTGGGTGTCCAGCTGAGCCTGGACATGACCTCCATGGCAGGAGGGGCGTGGAGTTCCACCTCACACTGCTTGGTGTGGGGGACTTGGGGGACAGGGGCTGGCAAGCAGGGTGGCCATGGAGCTGGGTTCCGGCCATCAAGGCCATGCACATGCCAGACCACGGAGGGAACGTTCGGTGGTTCGTGACTTCACGGGCCAAGCCCCGCTGCCCTGTTGGCAGTGAGGTTTGCAGAATCCTGTACAGATGCCGCCCCCACGTTCCCCACTGTGCACACCCCGCTGCCTGCCTGGTGGTACCCTGCCCTAGGAGGGGGTTTTGTAGACTGTACAGAAATTGGCACCCTATTTTCTTGCAGCTCTCAGATTTTGTTAATTGGGATTATACAGACAGACGTAAAGTGTTTTAGCAAAATGGAAACAAGCAGTTGTGCCTTTTCCTCTTTGTCTACGTGCGGCTGCACGCTGGTCTTGGTGTGGGTGCACTGAGGCTGGCTGGGCAGGAGCTGGGGGTGCTGTCTGCCTTCCCTGACCCTGTCTGCAGCTGGAGGGCCCTGGGTATGTGCAGGCAAGAAGGGGGTTGTGTAAGCCCACTGAGGCTGGGTGGAGCTGGGGGGCCTCGGGATGGCCAAGTGTCACCCCACTCCTGCCTGGGGTGTCGGGGTGTGTCCTGCACCTGTCTGCATATGGGGACCGCTCCCTGGGCTCTGGCCCAGTGAGCACACACACAGACTAGAAAGACATGCCAGGAGGAGGCGGCATTAAGAGCCAGAGCCTGCTGCCTGGGCCCTGAGTGGCAGAGACAACTGTGCCCACCAGGCCATAAGCAGCTGAGCAGGCCTGCGCCCACCAGGCCATAAGCAGTCGAGCAGGCCCGCGCCCACCAGGCCATGAGCAGCCGAGCAGGCCTGCGCCCACCAGGGGCGGGGCTGGCCCCCCCTACCGTGGCCCTGGAGTGAGTTCTGTTTGCAGACTCTCTAATGTTACTTCTACCTCTGTGAGACACCCTGGTCCCAGCAGCCTCTCTTGAGTTCTGGTCCCTGTCACCCCCTCTCTGGTGTGGCTGCCACCTGGGGGCCCAGCACCGTACTCAGGGGAGGGTGGCAGGTGCAGAGGGTGACCCAGAGTCAGTGTTCCATAAGCCTGTGGCACACAGCCAACAGGTGGCTCTGGGCCACTGGGCCAGTGTGTGGCATCGCTCGTTGCCCTCGGGGTGGCTGGCCTCAGATGAGCCGCTGGGACAGGCCACAGCCCCGATGTCTGGCTCCTGCCTGGCCTCACTCCCCATGGGCGGTGAGTAGAGGCCCCCATCCTACCCTGCATCCTTCCTCAGGGAGGGGGCAGGAGTCCCTGGGGGGGTCACCTTCCCTGAGGATGGCTTCCTGGGCAATCTGCCATGCCAAGGAAGCATATGGGGCCCCAAGGGCCTCACCTGGCCCCTGCCTGCCCTGGTGCCCTGAGTCCAGGGGAATCCACAGGGGCTGAGGCTAGCCCCTTCAGCCATGGGGTGCCCGAGGAGAAGACCTATTGCCGTGTCCTGCTTCCTGCCCGCGGGCTCCTCGTCTCTGCCGGAAGCTGTTTTTGTAAATGCATTCGAGCCACTGGCCCGGGTCCCTATGCTGGCAGATCCCTGGTTGACGCTTTTGGGGTCTGTCTGAGTTTTAGTCTGGGTGTGGGCAGCCCTGCCCAGGGCATAGACAATTAAGCCTGCATTCTACGGTTGGATGATTTTTAAAAAAACAGCAATAATTAGCCATTTTACAGGTGGAGTATGCCTGTGTGAGTGGGAATGTGTATCTGCACATGCTCAGGTCTGTGTGCAAGCACACACATCCAGACGTGTTAGCATGTGCGTGCATGTGAGGCTGCGTGTGTGCGTGTACACGTGTGGCAGTGGGGAGGTGGCTGCTCTCGATGCTGGGCTTGGCAGAGGCCCCGGCTCTATGCCCTTTCCCCTGTGGCCAGCCTGCGTGGGGCCCAGCAGGGCTATGCTCATTTCCGCTGGGCAGTCTCTGTCGGGGCCGGGTAAGCTGCCTGGCCTACCCCCCTCGCCCCCTGGGTCCCAGGAGTGGGCAGGGTGCTGGAGGCCCCACAGGTGGACTCCTGGCCAGGTTGGGGGCACACCCTCTGGTGGCATGTGTCACAGGGTGGGGGGCGGGGGCCTTACCTGATGTGGTTTGTTCCTGAAACTGTACTGTGAGCCCACATGGGGGCAGGGGTGTCCTGAGACCCTGGGAGGTGCCAAAAATGCACCCAGGGTCCTGGGGCACAAGCCGAGATCCTGAGGTGACAGGCTGGGGGGCCAGGGTGGGTGTGCCCCTTCTCCTGCACGGCCCCCAATGCTGCTGTTTTTCAATAAAACTGGAGTTGAAGGAAACGGACTGTGTGGTTTCTGAAGTGCCTCTGCCCACTGTGCCCAGGCCGCTGGCATCCAGGAGATGCTGGACTTTGTCCTGCCCGCAGGGGTTCTCCCTGGTCACCATCTGGGAAGGGTTGCCCTGGCTCACACTCAGCTTGGCCCGGGTGTGAGACTATGCCATCCTGAGCCCATGAACTCGCACAGAGCTGGCCTGGGGTACCCAGGAGGATGCCGGGGCTGGCCCTGCTTGTTGGCCCACAGCCAGGACCGTCCTAAGCAGCTCCTGGAGTGTCTTGGTGCCCCTTGCTTCTGTGCCATGATTCTGGGCACTGGTCTCAGGACCAGACAGAAAGCTTGGCTGCTTAGCCCTTGCTGTCCTGGTGGGGACTCTGACCAGTTCACTGCCCTGTCCTCCAGGCTCTAACACCTGGGTGCTCGAGTTCTTCTACAGGGCCAGCGCTGGGGACCACTGGGGTCTCGCCCCGGCCAAGACTCCTGGATATCGTAGGCTGCAGTGGGGAGGACGTGGAGGACAGGGAGGACGGGGAGGACGGAGGACGGGGAGGACGGAGGACGGCGCAGGCTGCAGTGGGGAGGACGGAGGACGGCGCAGGCGAGTGGGGAGGACGGAGGACGGCGCAGGCTGCAGTGGGGAGGACGGCGCAGGCTGCAGTGGGGAGGACGGCGCAGGCTGCAGTAGGGAGGACGGAGGACGGCGCAGGCTGCGAGTGGGGAGGACAGGGAGGACGGCGCAGGTGTGGGTTGTTGGCTAGCTCGGCACTTGCGTAGCAGTGAGTGGCTGCTGAGCTGCTGGATTTCCCCGACCTTGGGGCCCGTGGAACAAAAAGCTAGAGTGTGCAGCCCAGCCCCTCGCAGGGTCGAGTCGTTGGGACGCAGGAAGAGTCCATTCAGACAAGACAGATGGCTTCAGGAATTTACTTCTGGGCAGCTCTGGGCCCGAAGGGTTGACATGGTCTGTGCAAATTTGGAGTTGGTGACCCTGGAGGAGGCCACACAAGAATGGGTTGATGGAAACCAGTTCTCTCCTCCCACTGTTGGCCAGGGCTACAGACAAAATGAAACATGCCTATGCTGGGGGCAGGTGCTGTTGCTGAGAGTCAGGGTGACGAGCTGAGCCTGGGGTCCAGGCCTCCTGCAGTGGTGCCAGGTGTCCCCATGAGCGGCCAACCCTCAGGTTCACCCTTAAGGGCACCTGTGGGCAGCAGCCAGAGGTGAGAACAGGACCTGGGCCCGCTGACACCAGGCACCACTGAGCCCACGGTGCTCTGGCACACACCTCGTACCGTCACACACACATCTGCCACCATCTGTCTTCCACCTGCCAGACCTTGACACCAGCGAGGGCCGTCAGAGCTGGCCAGGCAAGGTGTTCTGTAATGGGCTGGCCTGTGTTGGGCTGCCCAGAGCACTGGCTCTGAGAGCTCTGAGCGGGCTCAACAGGACCTGACGGGGGTAGAGCTGCCGGAGGCTGTGGTCCTCATGTCCCGAGGGGGTTAAGGACCCTGCATGTGGCTTCTCACCAGGCTGACCGCCTCCCAGTGAGGGAAGGGTAAGTCAGAGCTGGGTGGCACTTCTGGGCCTGAGGCTTGCTCTCCTGCCCTCGGGCTGCCAAGTGCCCTGGGTGGTTCTGGCTGGGTCAAGCCAGGGGGATGAACACGGCGAACTGTCCACAACCCCTTACCTGCAGCCGGAGTTGCAGTGCCTGCGCCTGTGGCAAGGATTCCATGGATGCTCTGACGAGAGCTGCAGTAAGAAACAGGAGCTGTAGCCATCTGTGCAGAGGCCCCACAGGTCTCCTGCCATGAAAACCCCAGGCCGAACCTCAAACCTAACCCCCAACCCTAACCTCAAACCCCAAACTCTACACCTAAACCCCAATCCTAACACTAACCCTAACCTCAAATCTAACCCCCAATCCTTACCATAGCCCTAACCCTAACCCCAACCCTAACTTCAAACCCTACCCCTCAATATTAACTCTATCACTAATCTTAAACCCTAATCCCTATTCCTGCCCTAACCACCAACCTTAACCCTAACCACAACCAACCCTAAACCCCAAACCTAACCCTCAACCATCCCTAACCTTAAACCCTAACCCTAACCCTGGGACCAGAAGGCAGGGACAGGATAAGCTCCTGGCCAGCACCTGCCCCAGTCCCTCAAGCTCCACAGACACTGGGACCAGCCTCTCTAGGGTCCTGGCTCCCCACACATTGCCCCCAAGGGGTAGTTCCATCCCCTACTCCCCATGTCCAGGCCTACATGTCTCCAAGGCTCCTTAGCCCGGCCCTCCAGCCCCTCCTCCTGGCCTGCTCCATCTCCCATCACCCCCTCTGGGGCCTGTGGCTGCAGGTGGAGCCTGTGAGGGTAGCTTCATGGAGGAAGGGCCTGGCCTGCCAGTTCTCTGAACTTTTGTACCCCTTCAGGAAACCCAAGTGTCTTACTCTGTCCTTTGCTGACATGCAACACTGATACACACCCACCCAACTGCCAGGGCCGCCAGGGCTCTTCCAGCCTTTTGCTTTCCCTGGCCCATGGGTCAGAGACCTCTTGGGGGGAGCTGCGGGGGCGTGCAGGTCGCTCCATGCTGGTGGGGGCACACTGAGAAGTCTGCAGTTCACTGCCCACAGGGGTCTCTCCTCTACCATCCTGCCCCAGGCCCTCAGGTGTAGTGGACAGTGGCAGTGCCGATATGGTCTGGACAGCTGCAGGCTCCATGGTGGCGGGGGGCCCAGCCAGCCTCCCTCTGGCTCCGACCTCAAGCACAACCCCAGACAACGGGGCTCGCCGACCTGTCCCTATCAACGGCCACTGAGCACACAGGGTGGCTCTGTCTTTAGGCCTATTTCTTCTTTTTTTTTTTTTTAAGATTTATTTTATTTTATTTTATTTTATTTTTTTATTGGAAAGTCAGATATACAGAGAGGAAGAGAGACAGAGAAAGATCCTCTGTCCATTGAGTCACTCTCCAAGTGGTCGCAATGGCCAGAGCTGAGCTGAATCGAAGCCAGCAGCCAGCAGCCTCCTCCAGGTCTCCATGTGGGTGCAGGCTGCCAAGGCTCTGGGCCGTCCTTGACTGCTTTCCCAGGCCACAGGCAGAGAGCTGGATGGGAAGCAGGGCCGCCAGGATTAGAACCGGCCCCCATTTGGGCTTTCTCGTGTGCAAGGTGAGGACTTCAGCCACTAGGCTAATGTGCCAGGCCCTTCAGACCTATTTCTAAGTGAGCAGTAGTCACACATGGTGTTTGCAGGGCCGAGTCCCACTCCAGGAGGGGCCTCATGCCTATAGGACCAATGCCCAAGGTGCCACCAAGCCTGGTGTGCACCTGCCCCATGCCCCTCTTGCATGACTGCATCTGCTCCCCTCTACCTGCCCTGTTCCGGGCACGTGTCCTTGGGAGCTACTGCGTCCAGCTGGGAGGCCAGAATCAGAGCTTCTGAGAGGGGAACAACCAAGTCTGGTGCGTGGCCTCAAGGAACCCCCTGGGCTAGAGGTTCAGCAGAGGTTGGCATGAGGGCAGGATGGGCATGGGCCCGGACTCACAACAGCTGCTGCTGACTCTGTGTAGTGCCTTGCAGCCACCCACACCCACATCCACACCCGCTGGGATCACAGGACGCTCCCGGCGGGATCTGGACTACAGGCGGCCTGTCTGGACCTGAGCAGGGCGGCCAGGGGTGGTGCATCCTGGGGATGTTGGGTCTCCTGTTACTGTAAGCCCCTGCCCCGGCTCACCTGCAAACTCAGGGACTTGCGCGTCCTGCACCTCAAACAGCAGCTCATCATGGATCTGGGCCAGCAGCCTGGTGGGAGGAGGGGTGAGAGTCACACGGAGGGACTGTCAGGTCTCCCGCTGCCTGGAAGGATGTGGCTTTGTGGAGAGGGGCTGTAGATTCAGGTGTATGTGTGTGAGTGGGGGCGCAGGCAGTGATGGGGACATTGCGTGGCTGGCTCTTGGGACTCCCTGCTGGTCACAGAGAACACACCCAGCTGGACTGTGCCAGCTTGCTGGCTCTCCACATACTCCCTACAGAGTGGGACCTTGGGGGTTGGAGCTGCCTGGTGGGTGACCTCTCCACATTTTGGGACATGTGTGGCCCCTGCTGAGGGCTGCATCCCTGGGGTCACGTGTACTGGTCACTGCAGGATGGTCTTGGGGTCTGCTGTGTTCTGCCCCTTGCGTGGCTTCAGCTAGGTTGGAAGCAGGGACCGTGTCCCCCCTTGCCAACTCTGGAGGCAGCCCCTGGAGCTGGGGTCCTGATGCCAGAGGTCAGCCCTCCAGCGCCACACATGCTGGGCCTCACAGCATACATCTTGGCCTATTCGTGTGTCTGTGCTGGCTGCTGCTGTTGGCACATGGGCCCAGTCAGGAGCACTGCACAGGTCCTTCCAGAGCAGACATACCCCACAGCCCCCGGAGGCTTTTAGAGGTGCTCCATTGACCACCGCAACTCTCTGCTAGGGTCTAGAACATTCTGTGATGTGTGACGGCAGCAGGAGGCAAAGGGCCGGGCAGCCAGGAAGATGAGGGTCCCCCATGTCGGGGTGGACAGAGAGGCACTGCTTGGTGTCCAGCCGGACGGGGCACAGGGACGCGTGCGCTCTGTGGCAGACTGCCAGGCGTGCGGCCTCTTCACTGGGTTTGGCTGCGAGGCACCGCCTGCTTTCTCACGCACACTCTGGCCTCTGGTTCTCTGACTGCTAGGGTGACCAGCACCCGCACACGAAGCCCCTGCCACTCTTTCCGGATTTAGCTGAGCAGTTTTCACACTGCTTGAGGCCCAAGCGGCTGGTGCGGCAGAAGCCTAAGAATAGTCTGATAGTTAGTCACTCTCACAGCCCCAAGACATGGCCACAGTCTTAACTGGAAACTGGGACGCCAGAAACGGAGAGTCACCTCCGGGCAGCCAAGAGGCTGCCTGCTGATGGTACTTCCTGTCTCTGCTGCTGAGGGGACACAAACTCTAGGTCCTGCTGATGTCACTTCCTGTCTGCTGGAGAGGCTGCACAGTTCCCTTCTTCTGGAACAGCCTGGTTCATTTCCCCACAGGAGTGGCCACCCTGCTGAAGCCCCCCATGGCTCCGTTCTGACGGCGCACATCCACCTCTGGCCAGGCTCCAGGTGGGCTGGGCCGTGAGAAGCTGTGCTGGGCTCCTCAGTGCCCGTTCCTCCACTCCACGCTTAGGGTTGCTGGACTGTCTTCAACTCTAACACGATCTAAGATCCAGAAGGGCCTTATTCTGAGGGGCATGTCAGCAGAGAGGTGGCCACTTGCTGCCCAGCACCCAGGCACAGTTGGGGGCTGGGAGCATACCAAGGCCTTCACCATAAGTAGGTGGTACCTCCTGTCAGGGTGCTCTGTGCTGCTGAACCATCCAGGGGCATACAGCACCCCAAGAACTTTCAGGCCTCTGGGCAGGGAGACAAACTCATATGAGGTCCATGTCTGGACTTTCTGAACATGTTACTTGTGGGGTCACGTGTGCACACAGGGGTCACTTGTGGGGTCACGTGTGCACACAGGGGTCACTTGTGGGGTCACGTGTGCATACAGGGGTCACTTGTGGGGTCACGTGTGCACACAGGGGTCATTCGTGGGGTCACGTGTGCACACAGGGGTCTCATGGGGTCACGTGTGCACACAGGGGTCATTCGTGGGGTCACGTGTGCACACAGGGGTCACTCATGGGGTCACGTGTGCACACAGGGGTCACTCATGGGGTCACGTGTGCACACAGGGGTCATTCGTGGGGTCACGTGTGCATACAGGGCTCTCATGGGGGTCACATGTGCACACGGGGTCACTCATGGGGTCACGTGTGTGCACACAGGGGTCACTCATGGGGTCACGTGTGCACACAGGTGTCACTCATGGGGTCACGTGTGCATACAGGGCTCTCATGGGGGTCACGGTGTGCACACAGGGGTCATTCGTGGGGTCACATGTGCACACAGGGGTCATTCGTGGGGTCACGTGTGCACACAGGGGTCACTCATGGGGGTCACATGTGTGCACACAGGGGTCACTCATGGGGGTCACATGTGTGCACACAGGGGTCACTCATGGGGTCACGTGTGCACACAGGGGTCATTCGTGGGATCACGTGTGCATACAGGGGTCACTCGTGGGGTCACATGTGCACACAGGGGTCACTCATGGGGTCACGTGTGCACACAGGGGTCACTCATGGGGTCACGTGTGCACACAGGGGTCACTCGTGGGGTCACGTGTGCACACAGGGGTCACTCATGGGGTCACGTGTGCACACAGGGGTCATTCGTGGGGTCACGTGTGCACACAGGGGTCACTCATGGGGTCACGTGTGCACACAGGGGTCACTCGTGGGGTCACGTGTGCACACAGGGGTCACTCGTGGGGTCACATGTGCACACAGGGGTCACTCATGGGGGTCACGTGTGCACACAGGGGTCACTTGTGGGGTCACGTGTGCACACAGGGGTCACTCGTGGGGTCACGTGTGCACACAGGGGTCACTCGTGGGGTCACGTGTGCACACAGGGGTCATTCGTGGGGTCACGTGTGCACACAGGGGTCACTCGTGGGGTCACATGTGTACACAGGGGTCTCGGGAGCACATGTGCAGACACACAGGCCCAGGTCCTACTCTCGCTAGTTCACCTTGTGTGCTGGGCGTCACGGGCACACTTTGTTGTGGCTCACCAGGGGCTAGCTGTCAGAACGTGAGAGCTGGCCACTGGTTTGTGATCCACTTGCAGATGGGCTCAGCCGCTCCTCTTCTCAATCAGTTCCACACAAAGTGAAAGGACAGTTTCCCTGACTGCTCCCAGATGCAATGTAACATTGGCTATCGGACACTGTCCTCTGTGTCAAGGGGGCAGTGCAGTCTCTTCCCCAAGCCCATGGGCTCTCAGCCAGCAATGGCCATCATGGGAGATGGTGGTGGGCAGTGGAACTGAGGCTGCCTGGGGTCTGCAACAACCTGTCAGGGTGGGCTGAAGTGATTGGTCAGCTGAAATGGGGGCCTGGGATGCCTTGAGGTGAGCTTGGGGTCCAAATCAGCCATCAGCCAATGCCACGACCTCGACTGGCCAGGTGCAGGTGGCTGGGCATGCCAGGGGAACAGCTGAGGCAGAGGGAGGTCTGAGAGCACCCTGGGCCTTGGTGCTGGCACCAGAGCCCCTGCCTCCCAGGCTCAGGGGACAGGGGGCAGGAATGGGCAGGGGCATGGCTGGGGCAATCTGGAGCCCACAGCTTCTGACTGAGTGCTGTGGGCAGCCGAGTGGGAAGAGTGGCTCGCCTGCACCAAGGCTGGGAGTGGCTGCTTGGTGCCTGCATGTCCACCTGTAGTGGCTGGCCTCACCCAGGGTCACAGGACCCCTTGCATGGTGGAAGGTAGCAGGCCTGGCCACAGAGTGTGCCACACACAATGACCCCTCCTGCCACTGACCTGGCTGTCAAGGAGGGCGACGTGGCGACTGCGGTGAAGATGTGGATCATCGCCATCTTACAGAGGTCTGCAGCCGAGCCTGGGGGACACAAAGGGTCCTGCTTCAGTCTCAGGGTGCATGGCACCTGTTCCTACAGGTGCTCACTACTACAGACAATGGTGGCCTTCTGGTCCAGACAGGAAACAAGCACCCTCGCTCCTGCCAGCTGCTTTGCGGGCTGCTGCAGCTCCGGCCCTCAATGCCCCAGGCCACGCTCTGGTGCTGGCTGCACTGCTGGAGCCTCGGTTTCCCAGCTGCATGCATGGGTGCAGCACTGCCTGGCTTGGCTCCCAGGGAAAATGTCCTAATTGCAAAGCTGGCCCTTCCCGGGGGCCTGTCCCCTGTGGGCACTGTTTCACCCCTGACAGCAGCCTCAAGGCACGAGTAGAGAACACCACGGTGATGTTTGGTTGGGCACCCCTCCTCCCCACTCCCTGCCACGGAGACACATGTGGACACAGACATGCGAGTGGCAGCTGGCAGGCTCAGGGCCTCCAAAGTACCTTGCACCACAAAGTTCACAGCCTGGCGCTCTGCCTGGGCCCGGAGCTGCTGGTCCCGTGCGTGGATCCTCGGCAGAGGCCGCCTTCTGCCCATGATGGATGTCACATAGCCTGCGTGGCACATGGAAGAGGCAGGAGAGAAGCATTGCCGAGTGGGCTCTGCACCCCTCTGCGAGCGCCCGCAGGCCCCTGAAGGACCTTCTGACTGCTGATGCTGGGCTTGGCTCTGGTGGACAGCACGGACTGGAGAGGGCACCACCATCACTAACCAGGCAGCTGGGTTGTGTTCTCTCCATGGTCAGCTGCACTTGGATCTGATGCAGGACCAGGAGGGCAGCCTTTGTCCTGGCACAGGAAGGGCTCTGGTCTGAGTGCCAGCTGGTACCACAGGGGAAGCAATAGCCTTGCTGCCCCCGGGAGGCCGGGGCTGCTGGGCTATCTGGGAAAATGAGTGTGAATGCATTGCACAGGTCAGGTGTCTTCCTGGACAGTGAGGACTTATTTCAAGCAGGTGTCGGTGACAAATCTATCCCTCCGTACTGTATGTACAGGGACAGAGCATGTCCTTGTGTGTGCCAGATGACACCTGACCCTCACAGGAACTGGCGGGAAGGACGAGGAAGTGTCTGCTGCATTCCAGTAGCTGCAGCTTCCTGGGTCTAGGGGTCATTGCAGACGTTACGCTGTGGGGTGATGGGCAGTGTTTGGCCAGCTTACATTCTATGTGGGTCACCTGGATCCCTCCAAGTTCAGTTTTGCTAGGTGGAGTCTAAGTGAGTTTGGATGTATTGCTGGGGTCCGTGCAGTAGGTGTGGATGACACGAAGGTGTGACGAGGACAGCTCCCCTGCTTGGCAGGGCCCGGGGAAGCTGTTAGGCAAGGCCCGGCGGATTTCTCTCTGACCACCCTGACGCTGTTTCACTCCCTGGCTGCATGGACACTCAAGCACCTCACTAAGAATTCTGTAATCTATTGAGGCATTGTTGTTTGCCCCTGCGAGATGGGTTTTGCCATTGATGTGAGCTTGCGAGTTAATGTCACTGATAATATCTTGGTGAGTGAGCCTTTGACAATTTATACACAGGAGCACAATTAAGCCCATGCCATTTTTGGACACCTTATTGGGTACTTAACCATTGTCTTAGAATTTGGCCCAGACATGCAGCACTCCTTCAGGGAAGGGGCTTGAAAATATCCTAAATATTAATGCAAGTGATGAGAGTGAGAGCTGAAACTGCTATGGCAATAAATACAGTTATTGTTATTTCAAAGGCCAGCCTGCCTTTGCAATTTTTTAGAGCATAGAAAATGTAACTGTTTTAGCTGCTTTTATAATTTTTAGCTAGAGGAATTAAGGATGCTTTTATTAAAAAAAATGCTTTTGATTATTGTCTCATTGTTTATGGGGTTATAGAGTCTGTAGTTGTAGGGAGATTAACATTTGAAATTTCTGTTTTAGATTTTAGGTTTTTTCCCTTGTAACCTATTTTCCCATTAAATGATGGGTAAATTATAGAAGTAGAAATGTGGTGGGAATGTACTACTGATTAGCAGGTAATCTCATGTGCCTTGGCCTTGGAGTCCTGGCTGTTGCTCCATGGCTGCTGTTGAAGAATGAATAATGGCTTGCTTTGAAGAATATGAATATAGTATTTTGCAGAATTGTCTTTAGGGGCACCTGCTTAGCCTTGAAGTGCAGACGGAGTGACCAAATGTCTGTACATGCCCCCCTAGTCTTGAAGTAAAAAATAGAACAATTAGTTGCTTGTGCAGAAGCTTGAGAGGGGTTTTGAGTAAATAAAAAGGACAGCTTTTCTTGAGCTGTGATGAGAACGCACCAAGTGTCTGTGTCTTTCTTTATCACCGACTCCACGCACCCTTCCCGAGCTCCGAACTCGGCTGGAGCTGGACTCCAGCAATGTACCTTTTCCAGCAAGGTGGTAATGGACTTTCCATGCTAAATGCCTGCCCCGCACTTCATGCTCAGAGCAAGAGCTTATTTGCCTGCTAATCAGCTGTTGCCAGGAGTTAGTTTTTGCTTACCCAGCTGCCTGCCCACCCTGTTCCCCTGTCCAGCCTCAAATGACCCACATACCACATACCCACCCGGCCACCTGCTCATGGAACCAGAGCCACAGATTCTGCCAGCCACAGAGGGGAGAGTGTAGCTACAGCTGGCTCACCTGTTTGGTGACACTGAGCAATGGTCGCTTGGGCAAAGTCCTTGATCTTTTTGTACTTCTGCAAAAACATCTCCAGAAACTGTGCAGCTTCCTGAGGGGGCACGCCAAGGCAGGAAGCAAGCCGCTCTTTTCCTGTATGTCAGAAACACAAGGTCAGAACCCAGCTCACCCCTGTGTCATGCGAGTGGGTGCTCTGGGGAGTGGGTGCACACGAGGTCAGAGCCCAGCTCACACCTGTGTCATGCGAGTGGGTGCTCTGGGGAGTGGGTGCACACGAGGTCAGAGCCCAGCTCACACCTGTGTCATGCGAGCAGGTGTCCTGGGAAATGGGTGCACACGAGGTCTGAGTCCGGCCAACACTTGCGTGATGCGAGTGGGTGAACATGGGCCCCTGAGGTGGCACAGGGCCTCTGCTCCTCTAGGTAAGATGGCATTGGTTGTGACTTGAGCACCAGCAATGACACTGTGTAATGGCTCATGGAAGAGGACAATGGACGGTGTGGCCTCCTGTCCCCCCAGGAGCCTAGCTGCACCTCGCACAGCTCCTGAATGGGGTGGGAAGAGCAGAAATGGCAGTTCAGGGAGGAGTCCAGGGCTGTGGGAGCCCAAGTGTACAGTCAGCAGGCACTGCCTCTGCACAGTGGGGTCTTGGAGGGTCCTTGTCTCAGATTACCACCATCCTGGAGCTCCCCAAGTCCTGGCTTGGGTTCTTATGTGGGGTCCTTGGTGTTGCCACCAAACATCTGTTTATGCAGCAGTGCTGGCCGATAGGGTGCCTGGCATGTCAAGGAAGGGCCCTTCACTCAGCCTGGCCAGTGTGAGACCTGATTCCAGAACAGGGCATGGCTCAAGGGGGACACAAGGAAAGCTCATGCTGTATTGGGAGGAAATCATCCCAGGAGCTCAGACCGCTACAGTTGAGATCAGTGCTCTAGGCCCAGACCATTGCTCTAGTCACTGGGCATTTAGGCACAGCGCCCAAACCTACCTCTGGGTCTGAGCCCAGCTCCTTCACCATGGCAGGAAGAGGGGGGCTGTTCATGGCCTTGGGGAGATCCCCAACCCTGTGAGCTAGAGACTGGCACTCTGGGGTCAACAAGGAGCCCTCATGAACCAAGCACCTGAACAGTTCTCAGTAGGATCTGTTCCTGCTTGGGGCTTAGCAGAAAACAACAGTTTAAGAAGAGGATGAGAGGTCCATGGCCACAGGAGGTACCCAGAGCAAGCAGCAGCCAGGGCCAGGGTCATGATCAGGGTGAGGGACAGGGGCAGGGTCATGGTCAGGGTCAGGGTGAGGGCCAGGGTCAGAATCAGGGCCAGAGTCAGGGTCAGAGTCAGGATAAGGGCTAGGGCCAGGGCCAGGGTTCATGGTCAGGGTCAGAGTCAGGGTGAGGGCTAGGGCTAGGGCCAGGGTCATGGCCAGAGTCAGGGAGAGGGCCAGGGTTCATGGTTAGGGTCAGAGTCAGGGCCAGGGTTCATGGTTAGGGTCAGAGTTAGGGCCAGGGTTCATGGTCAGGTTCAGAGTCAGGGTGAGGGCCAGAGACAGGGCCAGGGTCAGGGCTAGGGCCACAGGCCTGCTCTGATCTGTACCAGGCTGACCCATGATCAGGTTGGAGGCTCCCCATTGGTTTTGGGCAGCACGGCCCAGAGCTCACAGCCCAGGTAGTGGAGAGGGTGGAGGAAGACATCTCTAAGGACTGGGATGGAGCAGCCACTCAGATCTGGTCTTCTCATTAGGTCCCTCCTAAGCTGGCCAGCTGCTGTGGCCAGCAGTCCTGGACAGGACAGTTCCAGGTGTCCTGTGATGGTAAAGGGGCAGGGAGAATGGGAAAGCCTGGGTGGCTGCTCCTTTAAGCTTATCCCAACAGAGAGGGATCGAGTCTTGGAGCTGGTCCTCCTTCTATGCCAGACCTGCCTGGCTGGTGAAACAGAAAACAAAACAAAAAAAATTCCAAATCCCTTAGGGCTTAGTTCAGGGACTGTGTGCGTTTTGACATTTTACTGGAAGAATCCTTCTGCAATCCACGGTTGTGAGAACCAGCAAATGCTACAGCTGAAACACAAGGCAGGACTGCCATCTAAGCCTCAGCTCCTCTCATTTCTCATCTTTAAGTCCATCTGGTGTATTTTCTATTTCAGGAATAGCAGTTTTCAGTTTTAGAATTATGTATGGATTCTTTTTTGCTTGTTTCTCATCTCTCAGGAGCATGTCTCTTCATGAGCTGGTTCTCACGGCAGCTCTGAGCGGTGGGCTCTGACTGCAGGTCACTGTGTCCACAGTGACTTTCCCCCTGGAAGATGTTCCGGCTATCCTGGCTCTTCTGGACTATCTCCTGGACATTATGAAGGATCAGGTCACTGCCTTTCTCGCAGGGGAATCATGAGCCAGACTCCAGCCCCCTTCAGTCCCCTTCATAGAAGTCTGGGCATCTGGGAACCTGCACCTTGCATTCAGGCCAGGGGTCAGCCAGCAAGCTGGGCAGAGCTCATACTGAACTCAGTCTCTCACTTCACCTCCCTGATTTTCCAGCTGGTCCAAACCAGAGATGCCTGCCCGGGTGTGGGCTGCCCACAGCACTGGCAGCGGTGAGGACAGCCAGCACTGGGCAAGTGCTGGGCCCATCCTGTTTTCTGGAGGTGGGTGCTGCTGCTGGCTGCCTGCCTCCAGGCAGTGGTTCTCAACACCCCTGTGGTTTTAGTGGGCACACCATGCAGGCCTGGTGCACTGCAGGGTGCACCCCAGCCCAGCCCCTCCACGTAGGGTGCACCCAGCCAGCCCCTCCATGCAGGCCTGGTCCACTGCAGGGTGCACTCCAGCCCAGCCCCTCCATGCAGGCCTGGTGCATTGCAGGGTGCACCCCAGCCAGCCCCTCCATGCAGGGTGCACTGCAGAGTACACCCCAGCCCAGCCCCTCCATGCAGGTCACATTTGGCTACAAGCCACACATGGCTCCCTGGCTGCTGCATTCATCTAGACCCATGGCTGCAGCGGGGGCAGGGCCAGGAGGGTGGAGATTGGCTCCCACTGTGGTGTTCTGGGGGGTGCAAGAGGACGGGCATGCCCGGGAAGGCAGCTCTCCTAGGAGGCTGACAGAGAAGTCCAAGTCGGCCAAGTCACTCAGTGGCACAGCTTATCATGTGGTCCTACGTGCGCCTCACTACCTCATCAGACGCCAGACGAAGGTGTGACTTCCCCAAGCGTCAAGTGGAAACCGACACAGACCGCTGGGATTCTCTCCTCTGAGCTTCATGCCAACTTGCTTCACTTCCACATAGAAATTTCCTCCATGATTACAGTGAATCAGGTTGCTGCTTTTGAGCTGTAATCAGGCATGTGCCCATCTGCCTGAGAGAACTCGGGTTCACTTGGTGGGAGATGAGGCGACCACCCCAAATCCCAGGTGAAGCATACAGTGGACATTCCCACTGAGAGCTCACTGCTTCTGTGTGTCATGGTAACACCTGCATGTGTCTCTGCATGTATTACAGTCTCCACATGAGGAAACCACCTCACTCCATCTTCTCCAGGTGCTGCTTGCACTGTCACGGCGTTGTACCCACGTGTCCATCTCGGGGCAGCGGTGCACACCAGGCCTCAGCAATGCCTCCACTCTAACTGCATACTCAGCTGGCTGCTCCCATGTATGTTGCAAAACTTGGTTCAGTCAGGGCTGCCCTAGCCGTCCACCTGGCTGAGCTCTTCCCAGGCCAGGGGCACCAGCGACTCCTGGTGCCAGCTCTTAGGCCTCCCTATGTGACTCTTCTGACAGATTTAGACCCCTAGCTTCCTTCCATGATCCTCCTGGTGCCAGGGTAGGTCAGGCCTATGGCCCTAACTCACCAAACATCTGCTCATCACTTAACAAATGCACTTGGGGTATCCGAGGCTGACCTAGGTGTGACAGTAGCTTGGAGCAAGGCTGTGAGTCAGAGGGCACTTCCTGCTGGACACATGGGCTGGTGGGCAGAGGCTGAACTCAGGCACAAGGAGCAGGCAGCTGCAGCTGCCAGCCCTGCACGCCCTGCTGGCTCACATGCCCAGTGCGTGGCCGGAGGAGAGTGGACGCCAGCATTGCCCAGCAGGCTACAGGGGGCCGAGCCAGAGTCTTGCTTCCCCCACTGTCCTGATGTCTCCTCTGTTGTCTCTAAGATAGTCCTTGCCCCCACCACAAACTTGATTCCTGCACAGTGCCCTGGGATTATGTGCCAGCAGCTTCCTGCTGGCTCCAAGGTGTTTCCATGCAAGCACGGCACTGTGAGATGCTGGGCACAGGCTGCCTGGAGCCCTGCTCACTGACCTCACTGTGAGACACTGCACACAGGCTGGTCCAGAGCCACCCATTTGATGGACTTCAGGTTTCAGAACAGGACCCCCACCAGAGCCACAGTCATCCTGTCACACTGGACAGAACAATGGAGCAGCTAAGGCAGGTTCAGGGCGGGACCCTCTGTCACTGCTGGCTAAAAGTGCCAGATCGCCCTCCTCTCTCCTCTCCGACCTCAAGGCTGGTGACTCGCTGTTTCTTTCCCCGCAAACTGCACACTCCCTCTGGGGAACCCCAGTCAGCATCCTGAGTCGCAATGTGGGCAGACCTGGCTCCCCTGGGCCTGGACCCACACAGTGAGTGCTGTCTGAAGTCACCAGGTACGTGGTGATTGCTCACCTGGACGTGCGGGCTGAGACCGTGGATGTGAGGTGGGAGGGGTCCCTCCGACAGCAAAGTGAAGACTTGCCAGTGGAGGTGGGCTCTGGGTACATCCCGCGAGAGGCACTCAGGAGCACCCCAGTGACAGGCGCCATATGCATGGTGCCAGAGTGGCTGTCACAGACACCTACTATGAGCTGTCTGTCCCACTGCTGGACTGCGGCCTGTGTGGCCTCACTGCCCTACCTGGAGGGACACAGGGCTTCCCCAGCCGGAAGATAAGTCCTCCTCCTAGGGTCTTTGTACCAGGTCTGCCCCCGAAAGGAGACTGAGCCAGCCAAGGAGGGCAGACAGCCAGATCAGGCCACACTGACCCAGATGGCCCGAGGCCAGGGTACTGCAGCTGGAGGGGAAGCAGGAGAGCAGGAGGCGAGGTGCGCAGAGAAGCCACCAGGAGCCCACCCTGCCCTCCTGCCCTCAGGTGGGCCCTCCTCAATCTGTGCTGGCAGGAGGCCTGACTCTGCCTTGTGTGAGGGACTGGCTTTGGCAGTGTGGCTCAGCTGGGAGTGCTCTGCTCTGAGGGAGACGGGGAAATGTCCAGACAGCATGTGTGCAGGTGGCTTAACCCCAGAAGCCTGGCATGTGGTCAGACGGGGCCTCTGCTCGGCACAGCCGGCTGCTGAGAGCTGGGCTGCACGGCCCAGCCATACTTCACCTGTGCAGCCCAGCTTCCATGGCCTCACCTGAGAAGGCTGGCTGGGACACCGTGATAGCTGCCAGTAGCAAACCACACACAGGCCTCAAAGGGTGGTCTCTCTGGGGAATGGACATCCAGCTGGTGGCAGGAGGGGACCCCAAGCTCTCAGCCCCTGATTGCTGCCCACCTGCTCCGTAGACCACTGAGTACACCACCTTTTTGGTCTTCTCTCTGTCCGTGTGTGTCACGCGTTCCACAGGGATATCCTTCCTGTGTGGAAAGATGGTAGGATCAGAGATGGCTGTCACTGTTGGCTATTTTACCCTTGTCCCTGGAGGGTCTGTCCCATGACTCTGAAAGGGACGTGTCCCACATCTGTGGCTTTGAACTCTGCCCGGGTCCCTAGAGGAATACAGATGCTGTGGTCATAACAGCCAGGGCACAAACTGTGAAGCTTGCACAGCTCAAATCCAGAAAAGGGGCCAGTGCTGTGGCACCAGCATCCTGGCTCCTCTGCTAATGTGCCTGGGAAAGAGTGGAGACTGGCCCAAGTGCTTGGTCCCCCGTACCATGTGGGGAACTCAGACAGAATTCCAGGCTCTCAACCTTGGTCATTTGGAGAATGAACCAGCAGATTAAAGATGATCTCTCACTTGCTCAGTCACTCTGCCTTCCAAATGGTAAATTAAGGACAGCTTGTGGAGCTGGCGTTGTAGCATACTGGGTGAGGCTGTCGCTTGTAATTTGAGAATCCTACATGGGAACTGGTTTGAGTCCCAGCTGCTCCAGTGACAATCCAGCTGCATGCATGGAAGACTGCCTGCTCCCCATGTGTGAGGCCTGGAAGAAGCTTCCAGCTGCTGGCTCTGGCCTGCCCCAGGCCTGGCCAGTGAGGCCATCTGAGGAGCGAACCAGGTGATCTCTCCTCCCCTTCTCTGTGACTCAAATAAACAAGTGTTTAAAAATAAATAAAATAATTAAGAAAAAAAAAAGAAAAGCTTCCACTTGACTTACCCAGGGTCATCTACAGTTAAAGAGGACAGCGGCCAACATCACGGTGTAAGAGGTTAGCCTGCCCCATCCCCGGCCTCAGTTCCCAGGCTCAGGGGCAGCCTGGCCCAGCTCTGCTCATGCTGGCCACTGGGGGCGTGGAGGGAAGACTGCGCTCTCTCTTGATCTCTCTCTGTATTCCAAGTGTCTGCAACTTGGCCTTTCAAACCAATCACACAATCTTTAAAAAGACAAGGCTGCAGCCTTAACAAGGGGGTCTGATGGCAGCCGTGGGAGGGAGTGGACACAGTGGGAAGGGAGTGGACACAGTGGGGAGGGAGTGGACACAGTGGGGAGGGAGTGGACACAGTGGGAAGGGAGTGGACACAGTGGGGAGAGAGTGGACGCAGTGGGGAGAGAGTGGACGCAGTGGGGAGGGAGTGGACACAGTGGGGAGGGAGGGGACGCAGTGGGGAGGGAGTGGACACAGTGGGGAGGGAGTGGACACAGTGGGGAGGGAGGGGACGCAGTGGGGAGGGAGGGGACGCAGTGGGAAGGGAGGGGACGCAGTGGGGAGGGAGTGGACACAGTGGGGAGGGAGTGGACACAGTGGGGAGGGAGGGGACGCAGTGGGGAGGGAGTGGACACAGTGGGGAGGGAGGGGACGCAGTGAGGAGGGAGGGGACGCAGTGGGAGAGAGTGGACGCAGTGGGGAGGGAGGGGACGCAGTGGGGAGGGAGGGGACGCAGTGGGGAGGGAGGGGACGCAGTGGGAAGGGAGGGGACGCAGTGGGGAGAGAGTGGACGCAGTGAGGAGGGAGGGGACGCAGTGAGGAGGGAGGGGACGCAGTGGGAGAGAGTGGACGCAGTGGGGAGGGAGGGGACGCAGTGGGGAGGGAGTGGACACAGTGGGGAGGGAGGGGACACAGTGAGGAGGGAGTGGACACAGTGGGGAGGGAGGGGACACAGTGGGGAGAGAGTGGACGCAGTGGGGAGGGAGGGGACGCAGTGGGGAGGGAGGGGACGCAGTGGGAAGGGAGGGGACGCAGTGGGGAGGGAGGGGACGCAGTGGCCTCCCTTGTCTGACGTTCAGGATGGGAAGTGTCTGAGGCTAGCAGCCCTAATGCCTCCCTGGAGAACTCCACAGAGAACCACACGGTCCTGGATCCAACAACAGGCACATCAGGCAGTGAGATTGCCCATGAAGTCCAGGGCTCCTACAACGTGGGACAGACCAGCATCTCAGGTCCACGTGGGCATTCACAATGACCAGTGTATCTTAAGGTACAAAAAATCTCTAAAAGTCTTCATAAAGCGGACCTGGTGCAACAGCCTAGTGCCTAAGGTCCTGGCCTTGCATGTGCCAAGATCCCATATGGGTGCTGGTTCTAATCCTGGCAGCTCCACTTCTCATCCAACCTCCTGCTTGCAGCCTGGGAGGGCAGTCGGAGACAGCCCAAGGTCTTGGGTTCCTGTGCCTGCGTGGGAGAACCAGATGAGGCTCTGGGCTCCTGGCTTCGGATTGGCTCAGCAGCCACTTGGGGAGTGAATCAGTGGATGGAGGATCTTCCTCTCTGTATCTCCTTCTCTCTATATCTGACTTCGCAGTAAAAATAAATAAATCTTTAAAAAAGTATGCATAAACTAGAAAAACAATCACTCTCTGAAGAGTGCAATAAAACAATAAATGAAAACAAAACTGGAAGATTTCTTCAAAATAGACCAGACAAGCCTGTGCTCTCTTCAAGTGTATTGTGGGTTTGTGGAGCTGCGAGTGGAGCCCCCGACCCTGTGACCGTGGTTCTGGGTGGGCGCACGGCAGAGCGGGGGCTGCGAGTGGAGCCCCCGACCCTGTGACTGTGGTTCTGGGTGGGCGCACGGCAGAGCGGGGGCTGCGAGTGGAGCCCCCGACCCTGTGACCGTGGTTCTGGGTGGGTGCACAGCAGAGCGGGGGCTGCGAGTGGAGCCCCCGACCCTGTGACTGTGGTTCTGGGTGGGCACATGGCAGGGTCAGTGGGGAGGGCTGCGAGTGGAGCCCCCGACCCTGTGACCGTGGTTTTGGGTGGGCACACGGCAGGGTCAGTGGGGAGGGCTGCGAGTGGAGCCCCCGACCCTATCACTGTGGATCTGGATGGGCGCACGGCAGGGGTGCAGCTGTGTTTCTGGCAGTCGCTCTGTCTGGTTGCAGAAGCTTAGGGATGCTGGCCGCCCAGGCGGGTCACTGCTGAGGGTCCTGTGCTCATGTGGAGAAGGACACAGGTCCCCTGTGTGGTCCAGAGCCCACGTGGGCAGGGTTGCAGCCACTGTGGCTAACTCCCTCCAGGAACTGATCGCTTAATGAGACAGGAGGTGAAGGTGTGACTGTACTCTCCCTGCTGCTGGCCACAATGATCTAACTCTACCGTGTCGATTGGGGTGTTACTCTGGGTTTGTGGAATGACGAGAGCTTCCTATCCCACTCAGTACTCAGCGCTGGAAATCTGAAGGAGCAGACACTCGACTGAACCACAGAGGCACGGGTGGAAGATACACACGAGAAGGGGAGAACCCAGAGGAAGCGTTTCCACAAGTGTCCCCAAGCAGATGCAGAAATGTAAGAACTGTGAACAAGGAAGACAAGAGGAGACAAAGAGATGGAAGAAAAATGAAACTAAAATCAGAAATTAGAATCAAGATGGTGGAATAGGGTAAAGACACATTTATACAGAAGGAGAAACATTAGCTGGTGTAAAGCAGGGAGGGCACATTCCAGGAAATACGAGAGGACAGACCAACAGCAGAGGGGCACCTGGAGACTGACAGACACAGGAAAGCAGCAGACACAACGGTGTGGTGTTGCAGTGACTGATACCCCAATGGCATTCAGCAAGCGGCAATCTGAATTGCACCGGCAGCCAGAAATCCACCAGCAACAAGGTGGAAAGGGATATTCACCAGGAGCTCACGAGGTGAACCCAGACAAAGAACTGCTTGTCCTTATAGTGTGTTTGATTTGACCAGGAGCAGAGTCAGAGTGGCAGGTCCCAGAGGGGCAGTGTGGGAACAGCATGGATTTCAGAGCACAGTCTGCCCCCTAGAGCTGAATTGGGCGCCATTTTGTGTAGGGAGGCAAAGGCTATGGAAAAGGATTATGCATGCGCTGAGCTGGGAGCAAACTCATTTCTGGCTCAGTGAACTGTAACAATGCGGCATCCTACAGGTTCCACACAAGACAGGTCCAGGTAGCCCTCAGACCTGATGGCCAGCCAATCATGAATTCTAGTAGTGGCACATCAGGTGCCATTTTGTACAGTGCAGCAAGGACTTTAAGACTGCAGGGAAAACAGTGAGCTGTGCATGTGCCGAGCTGGGAGCGAACTGAGCACAATGTGTTGCACTGGTCTCAGTGGAAAATAATATCAACTTTGGCATTATACGGGTCAAGATAGGTCCATGTGGGTCTCAGACCTAACGGCCAACAGGTTCTGGCAAGATCAGCACCACCAACAACCTAGCTATATAGAGTACCTGGTGTCTCCCTAATCCTGGGACCTGCTCCAAGTGCAACTGAGAGAAAGGTTGTACAAAGGTACAGCCTCAGCACAGTATCACAGGCGATGGAGAATTTTGAGCCAGGAGCTGGGGCTACGGAGACCATGGTGCTTTCCCAGGCCACAGGTAGGGAGCTGGATGGGAAGCAGAGCTGCCAGGACATAAACCAGCACCCATATGGGATGCTGGTGTGTGCAAGGTGAGGACTTTAGCCACTAGGCTACCGTGCCAGGCCTTAACTCTGCCTTTCAAACAATGAAATCGATCTTTATGGCAAAGACATAATGACTGCATCATGCAGAGTGGCTATATGCTGGTGTGTTTAGTCACTGCAGTTGGGGGCAGCTTGGAGGTTTGGTCCTAGCTGATGGGCATTCCTTGGGCAAGCAGACCATCCATCAAACTGTGATTTTTAGAGATGATTTCTACAATTTTTTCCAAACTCCAGTTTTGATGTATAACTGTGCGATCTAAGACCTTTGCAAGGAAATGATTCTTTGAATATGTTACTAATCATTTTAGAATAAAACATCTAATTTTTTTTCTTTTTGAGTCTGAACCAATAGAGAATTGATCAGAAACAAACATTTTTTTTAATTATGTGTTTGGTCTTGTTCATTTTTTTATCATGTACTATTCTAGACCCCTGTTTAATTTCCACAGTGACTAATTACAGGGTAAGTCACAGACACTGCATTACCATTGCTGCCGGGGAATCAGAAGTGACTACCACGCAGACATTAGAAACCC